AGGCAGCATCTTATAAAGCAGAGACATCACCTTGCCAACAAAGGTCCGTATAGTTAAAGCCATGGTTTTCCCAGTAGTGATGTATGGAAGTGAGAGCTGGACCATAAAGAAGGCTGACTGCCGAAGAATTGATGCTTTTGAATTATGGTGCTGGAGGAGACTCTTGAGAGTCCCATGGACTGCAAGAAGATCAAACGTATCCATTCTGAAGCAAATCAGCCCTGAGTGCTCACTGGAAGGACAGATCCTGAAGCTGAGGCTCCAATACTTTGGCCACCTCATGAGAAGAGAAGACTCCCTGGAAAAGACCCTGATGTTGGGAAAGATTGAGGGCACAAGGAGAAGGGGACGACAGAGGACGAGATGGTTGGATAGTGTTCTCGAAGCTACCAGCATGAGTGTGACCAAACTGCAGGAGGCAGTGGAAGACAGAAGTGCCTGGCATGCTCTGGTCCATGGGGTCATGAAGAGTTGGACATGACTAAACGACTAAACAACAACATTTCCAAGCTCCCATGAGCTGCTTCCTCTGACACTATGCTGCTCATGTGAGTAGGCCACTCAGGTAAATGTGCAAAAAAGCTGCAAAGAAGGTAGTATACAAATGGGATCTATTCATTTTTAGGAAGCAATAGAAGACCCTTTTTATTATTTAGTTAGACACTTTGCTGCATCCCAGTGGTGGGCATCACTAGACACTTGCTGTCAGTGTCTGTGCGCTGGCAAGGAGCCCAATGCTGAACAGAGCACTAAAGCCTAACTGCTGGTATTAGGGTTGTAACCTGCAGAATGACGAGGTGGTTTTAGGGTAGCATGACCAGGGCAGTCACACTGGGTGCCCTGCTGCAGGGGATGCCACAACAAGGCTGTAGAACAGTGCATGAGAGGGGGGCAGGGGTGATGAACTGTAGCATCACATGGGGTGCTGCTGAAGTTTAGGAGCCTAAAGTCTGGCACCTACTAGATGGACTAATGGACTGACTCAAAATAAAGCATCCTGTTGTGTTCCACAGCCATCAGCCTGTGCAGGAGCATTTGGTGCTCTGTGTGTGTGTGTGTGTGTGTGTGTGTGTGTGTGTGTGTGTGTAACAGCAGGCAAGAGAAGCAAGCAGGAAGTCTCAATGGTATATTGCTCCCATTGGCCCTAGATAAGGGATTTGGGCTAGGAAACTCTGTTGTGTAGCAGGAAGGAGATTGCAGTGCTCCTCTTTTTCCAGGGACCAAAAAAACCCCTCAGACCTTGGATCCAGCCTTTCTTTCTTTCTCTTTCTTTCTTTCTGTCTTTCTAAAAGATAACTCAGTATTTTTCTCAGCAATTCACAGCCACCATCAAACCCGCATAGAAGAATGCTGCTCTGTAGCTCATTTGTGTTCGTGATACAAATGCTTTTGCAAGACAGAGGGGCAAGGAACGAAAGAGGGCGGCTAGCTATGCATGTCACTATCACTGTTGTGTCCTGCATAAATCTTCGAAATGCTGGAAGTGAACCACAGCTCTTCATCTCGCATGAATGCTGCTCCACAGTGTCCCCTAGTGCCCTAAAAACAAAAATGCTGCATGAAATGTAGCCTGAGGAATCCTTCCTCTCAACCATGTTTTTGTGTTTCTGGGGGACATGCAAACACCTTGTGCATGCATAGAGAAAGGCAGTGTTACTGGTGTCTGTCAGGTCTGCCCCAAAAACCCAAATCCTGGGCCGAAATAAACTAAATGGAGAGGCCATTTGACTCATACAAGGTTAATATGTTATTAGGGGCATCTGTCTCAAGAGACAAAGGAGTGCACCTCTGTGGATGAAGTCCACTCTCAAAGTCCTTTCCTTTGGGCTCCCCCGCCACAGCCACTCCTGTTATGCAATCTGACTTCTGTTTTATTCCCCTACCCAACCCTGACTTCATGCAAATCTGGGCTTGCGATGTGGCACTACAGATCCTCCAAAGGGGGCTAGGTGATGACAGCCTTACGCTTTTTCATACATAGGGAGATACTTAATGCATAATACAGCTGCATCCTTTTGAAGTGTGAATTATTCAACGAAGGGGTAGAGGGAGGGGAAGCATTTTTAAACATTAAGTGGTTCTTGAAAAGTTTGCCAGCCTTTCCCCTTCTCATATCCTCTCTTTCTGCAGGTTTCTCTTTGCCTGGCTGAGCATCACTGAGCACAAGAGGCACAATTAAGACACAGCCCACACATGTGATACAAAAAGCCGAATGTGAACTTTGATCTGTTCTTTCTACAGTAATGAGCAATTTCTGCTGTGTGTGTGTGTGTGTGTGTGTGTGTGTAGGGGGTCAGGGAATGAAGCCAAGAGTGTGTGTGCATTTGAAAGCAACGATTGTGGGAAGAACACCTGAGATGCCAAGATGACTGCGAGGGATGATACATCAGTGGGAAATGGAGAGAATGGGTGGGGGTGGTCATAGAAATTCTCCGGAGAGCTGGAGAGAAACCTCCTCTGAAATTTCACAGCAAAAAGAACAGGAGCGTTTGCTGAAGCAGGAGGCCTTACACATTCGTTTCAGGCAGATTCATCTGGGTAAAACAATAAACAGAGGTTTGTGGCCATAGGAAGCTGCTTCACACTGAGTCAGGCCACTGGTCCATCTAGTTTGGTATTGTCTACACTGACCAGCAGCAGATCTCCAGCACTTCCTATTGGGGGGGGGGGTTATTTCCCAGCCCTACCAGGAAATTCCAGGGGTTGAACCTAGAACCTTCTCCAAAGTCGAAGAATGCACAGATAATAGATGGACCTTTTCCATGCGTGTCTGTACAGTGGTACCTCGGGTTACATATGCTTCAGGTTACATACGCTTCAGGTTACAGACTCTGCTAACCCAGAAATAGTGCTTCAGGTTAAGAACTTTGCTTCAGGTTGAGAACAGAAATCATGCTCCGGCGGCGCAGCAGCAGCGGGAGGCCCCATTAGCTAAAGTGGTGCTTCAGGTTAAGAACAGTTTCAGGTTAAGTACGGACCTCCGGAACAAATTAAGTACTTAACCCGAGGTACCACTGTATACCTGAAAAGCACACCATTTCCTCAGTTCCATTAGCGCCTTTTGAAATGAACAGTCCAGGTGGGAGCATGGGGCTAATCAGAGTTACAGTTCCCCATGGCAGAATTTGCCCGGGTAAGTTCAGACTTCTCTGAGGCCATTCTGTATGCTTAAGGAGCAGGTAACATGTTGATATGCTGAGTTAGAGGAAGCCAATGTTTTGTGGTAGGAAAGGACTCCCATGCATTTTAAGAGCTGCACTGGGAATGCAACTGGGGCAGCATTTCAGGGTAGGGCGATGTTGCATCGGGAACCATTCCTCCTGTCAAATGCCTGACACTCAGCTGGTAAAGGCACAGGAGCCCTGCCAGTGAAAAGTGCCAACTCTTTCTGTACAATGAATCTCCATTAGCAGCTCCATCCAACTGTAAGAAATTAATGAGGACTAGAAATAGAACAAGGGGATCAGCCGGGGGAAGAGCTATGCCTCCTTTAATTGCCCAGTCCCATTGCTAGCACCTGACCTTCCACATTCATGGGGAATTTGCATTTCGTTTGCTGATTCCTAGATAGTGGTTGCCCGTAGACTTGAGCAGTTTGAAATGCAAAGCGTTTGACAAAGCCATACTGATTGGATTCTAGCAAAGCAAACACGTTGTTTTACTGGTAATTAATATAATTGGCTATTAGAAGAAAGCACTGCCTCAATTAATTGGTCTCTGTAGAAGGAATATCAAGTCTTTGGGGGAAAGCATGCTTCTCAGAAGGAAAGAATTATTAATTCAAATGATTTTTTTTTCTTGGGTACCAAAATTCCAGCCCAATACAGAGTCTTCAAGTTATTTACTAAGGCCAAATTAATCTTGTCCCTTTCCCAGAAATGAAGTCCCTTTGAAATACATATAAAAGAAAATATCCCACTGAGATGTTTTCGGGACCATCCAGTTACCAGCTGTTGCTGCTGCAGCATCGCTAATTGTTGGGAACCTGATTGAAACTCAGATTGCTAATTTATTATCTACATGGTTTTTAAAAAACAAAAATGTGGCAAAGAAGCCAAGAACTCAGCATGTCTACCCAAGAGTGCACTGTGGACACGTCATAGATCTGCACAAAAGGCTTTGAACTTTGGCAGCTGGTTGGACTACCTCGGGGATGACTAACTGGCAGCCAGTAGACCATATGTAAGCCCCTTGAGCAATTTAACCTGATCTCTTGTAAACCTTCCAAAACTATTGCTGGGTTGAAAGAAACGGAGGCTGCATACCTTAATGCTACACCGCTTGGATTTTGCATGCAGTATGCAAATGTCAATATTGCCTGTGCATATGAGCTCCATAATTGCGAAACCCATTGCTGCTAGATAGTTCCAGCTTTAAAAGGGAGTGGATCAGAGTCTGGAAAACAGAGTGGGCTGGAGGAATCCAGGAGATGGGTACCACTGATGCCATATGCTTCTGTGTGATTCACTGGGTGAAATCTGCAGCAACGATGCAATTCATGATGGCTTGGGTTGCTTGCACACCAGACATTTAAGGCATATTTCCCCACCTCAATAATCCCAGGAACCATGGTTTGCTGAGGATGCTGGGAATTTCAGCTCTGTGAGGGGCAAGCTACAGTTTCCAGCAGGGGTACCAACTTGAATGAAATATGGGGGGCCAAATAAGCCCCCAGCCCACATAATCTATCACAAGATGTTGCGTATGCACACCATTTGAATGGCAATGCCCATTAGCTTGGGGGGGCAGCCCCCTCAAATATTTTTTTGGAGGGGCTGAAGGGACCTCAGCCCCAAGGAGTTTCCAGGATTCATTGGGGGGTGGGGGTGGAATGTGTTCTAAATATATGTTGTGTATGCAGAAGTGACACTATTCATGATGTTAAGAATGTGAGGCAGCCCTCTAGAAGTATGGTAATGAAAAATCACACAAAAAGCATGTTGATATGTTCATGCTGCTATACTTTCATGTACACATCATAGAAAAAAAATCTGAATCCATGGCAATTAATAAACAAATTTATTCACCCATAAAATTCATAAATATCACAGATTGCTCTGGATGGGGAGGAGGGTAGAGAACACTGACCACATATTATTCCACTGTAGAATTTGACGTACCTCAGAGACATTCTGGATGTTTCAATGGCCACAAAGAGTTCACACCTTGAAAGCAGAAGTATTGCACATCATTCACATATGAACAAGAAAAGGAGTGCCTGGAAAAGAGTCAGCCCAAGACATCTTGCCGCTTGAGGCAAATAACAAGATCTCATCCATGAATCTTACTTCATCGCAGGCAACATTATCTGCTGTGCCTGGAGGCAGCAGGCTAGCTTAGGAGGTGTGGGGCAGACCAAGTGGCAAACTCAGCCTGTCTGCCAACACCTCACCACCACTTCCTGTCTGTCAGCATTTGATGCCTGGGGTAGCTGGCTCCCTCTGCCAAATGGCAGCACCGGCCCCAATCAGAAGTACAACAATTTAAATCTCTCAATAGAAAAATAATTTGCAATTTTTGTTTTAATCACACTGAAAATCTATTTATATACACAGGCTTAAGCAAGAGAAGCTGAGATGCTTTATGTGGCTACTTCATGTGCCTTTTACGATGCATTAGCAATCCCAGAATAGAAATGGAAATACAGGTGGGAATGAATGCAGACGCAGAAAGTATATTTCAGACATGGGACAGCTTGTCATGCTCTGGTGCTGCAGAGGAAAATGGCCTCTACTGAAATTCTCTGATCTGCACAACTATTAAGGATACGGGGGTTTCATTTTCTATGGCATCTCTGGTCACCACTGCAGGAAATCTGGGACTAGATTCCATAAGGACAGATAACTGCAAAGTGAAAAATGGCTCTTGCACAGTCCGTTAGAATTCCCTGAAGTCCAAGAGCCTTGATCAAACACTGCTTTTATATCTCTAAGTCTAAGCAAACATCCAAAGTTGTGAAGGCTAAATATATTGAAGGGGCGGGGGAGTCCGCCATTTGGGACTCACAGGGATGTGCTAACTATTGCATCTGACACCCAGGCTCAAAGAGTGGAGGCATTCGGCCAACCTTAAGAAAAACCATCCAAGTGGTTGGTGGCCAGCTGGCCAAATATGGGTGTGACTCCTCCTGTACTTTTAACTGCTGTTTCATTTGCAGAAATCAGGAGATGAACCTCTTTGCAACATGGAAATAAATGCTATCACCTGCTAGCATCTGAAGACCAAATTGCTGTTTAAGCATGGATGCCATGGTTGTGTTACGGCAAAACTTGCGCTTTAGAACTTCCTATTATTAGGAAGGTTCCTCCACCATATTGTTTTAAACATCTGCAGAAACTTTTTAAAAAAATCATGAAGCCTACCCTGTTCTCTATATTTGATTTTTTAAAATTCTGGTGTGTGTCCCCCCCCCCCCCCCGGTGTTTAATTATAGTTGTTTTATGTATGCTTCTTTCTTAAGGGCTTTGTGAATTCTAGCCGTGCTTCATCTACAGCTATACAATGTACACTGCTCTGAGAGCTCTTTGGTTACACAGCTTAAAACTCTTTCTGGATAAAATTAATGAGACTACCAAACGTTTATTTTAATTGCAAGCCAATGGACAGTATTATTGTTCTGTATTGACTGCATGCTGAAAGTAATTTAGGCCCTTAATAAATAAGAGGCAAGAAATGAGAGAATAATGACTCCTGTATCAACACACACTTCCATGTATATGGCCACTACTACCCACAGTCATGCACAGACATATGCATGCACACTGCACCACATGGTAAGATGCAAGGAAGCGCAACAGGAGTCCATTTGCCTCCCCCCCAATCCAATAGATGCCCACACACATATTGTGTTCTTATGTGCTTTTAGTGGAGAGGATGGAGCAGAGGAAACGCTTGCCTTTGCCTCCTCTCCCACCCTGACACAAGCAGAAACACAGAGAAATCATTCCTCCTACTCCCTCTCTCTCCTTCCTTCTGCAACTTCCAAGCAGCTGGGATTGAGCTGGGACCTGTTGAGCATGCTAAGTGCGCATCTGGACAAGTGATGCTAAGACATTCATTGGGGTGGGGGGTTTGACCCCACACTATTTCCCCAACTCTCTTCCTGCCCACCCTATGTCTATTCCCGGTTGCCCTTACGCAGCCCGATCATGTTCAAAAATGGAACCTAATTGTTTCTTGTTTTTATTTTTTTATTTAGAGTGTTGTCTATGCTGTACTTTTGTACTGTTTTATTGTTGTTAGCCGCCCTGAGCCCGGCTTCGGCTGGGGAGGGCGGGATATAAATAAAATTTATTATTATTATTATTATTATTATTATTATTATTATTATTCTCATCAATGTCATGTAATTTAAAACGTGATCATTTTCCATTTGAGGGGAAAGCATTAAATTGCACGGGGGAGGAGCTCTCTTCTTTCATATGCCAATCCACTATTGCTGAAATTAGTGGCCCAGTCCATATTTACACATGTAGGGGATTCTAATGTGTCTGTTAAATTGGTGATGGAAATGAGGAAAAGCAACACCTTCCCAGTCCTCCTTTAGGCAGGAATCCCACCCACAGAATTCAATGGGGCTTAGTAAAGGTAAAGGGACCCCTGACCATTAGGTCCAGTCGTGGCAGCTTCTGGGGTTGCGGCGTTCATCTCGCTTTATTGGCCGAGGGAGCCGGTGTACAGCTTCTGGGTCATGTGGCCAGCATGACTAAGCTGCTTCTGGCAAACCCGAGCAGCACACGGAAACGCCGTTTATCTTCCCGCCAGAGCGGTACCTATTTATGTACTTGGACTTTGAGGTGCTTTCGAACTGCTAGGTTGGCAGGAGCAGGGACCGAGCAATGGGAGCTCACCCCGTCGGGGGATTCGAACCACCAACCTTCTGATCAGCAAGTCCTAGGCTCTGCAGTTTAACCCACAGCGCCACCCGTGTCCCACACATCAATGGGGCTTACTTCTGGGTAAACATGGATAGGATTGTGCTGCTAGTCTTCGCTATTCTGTTCACTTTCAGCATGGGTGGCTCACATCCAGTATATGACACGCCTATCACTCCTGTCTATTGACCATGCTGAGTGGGGCAAGAGTTGGAGAGCAATGTCCCATCTTTGACAGCACTGCACCCCTGCAGGCCACACAGCACTGATGCATGGCCCATGATGGCTGAATTACTGAGAAACTGCAAGGTCAACATGTGAAGAAAACCAACACTATGTGGCATCTACCTTTTGTAGGTACTTCAGATGAAGATGGTGGCATGGGGACGCTTTGTACTCTGGTGTTACACCCCCCCCACACACACACAAACACAAAAATGCAGTCTTCACCCAGGAATCTCAGCATTTTTAGATAAAATAATATTCAAAGTGACCTAACACTGCCAATGTTTTAGACTACAGTTCCCATAAGCCCCAGTCAGCATAGCCAATGGTGAGAAATGATGGGGTTTGTAGTTCAAAGCTTTGGGGCAGGGGGCTTCATATTGGCTACCCCTGGCATTCATGTTAAGGCATTTGCATGTGCTCTGATACTGGCAAAGTCTCTTTCTGTACAACAGCGCAAAGCCCTGTGTACATGTTAAGACATTCAAATGGAGCTGCTATTTTTGAGGCAGCTAGCCACACCATTGAAATAATGCATGTAGCATGCATGCCTGAGGAATTGTGATGACGTCTTCAAATGGCTTAGCTCCCTGTGGAAAGTTCCACTTGTACAGGGGAGACTGCCTGCCCCCTTCCCTTGAAAGAGCAGAAGTGCAAGGAGCCAAGTCCATGAAAAAGGCAATGGAATCAATGCTGCAGCATGTCCTTACATACAGCAACAACAAATAATACTTTGCCCTTAGACATGTTGTAGCTCCTCTCAAAAGGAGCTCAGTTAACATGCAAAGCAAAGTGGGCTGCGCCCTCTGTGCCTGGGTGCAGAACTAATCCCACTGTAAATGAACATTTGATATTTATATTTTGAAAAGATGAAAAAAAGACCTGGTCAGAACATATGCACCTTTCTATTGGAACACATGTGTCTAGCCTTGCTTACACACCAAAAAAACCCCAAACCCCCACACAAATGACACACCAAAGGCAGCAGGGGGGTGGGGGGGTGGAATGGATATAATCACAATATGTACAGTTCTCATCTGTTTTTTCAGGTGTTTTATTATTCTACATAAAGCCCCTCATTGTGGCTCTCACTATCACCACAGTTAACTGGCTGATTTTTGTGAAGTTCCCAGCAACATAATAATTTTCTGCTTTTTTAAAAGAAATGTGTGGCAGCTGTTGGACAGGCCTCATGATTATTACTTTCATAATTATAAAGGAGTGCTATTTCTGAAATGGGCTAGATAGGCTTATTTCTCTAGTCTGGCGCTGTTCTGGTTAAAAAGCAGCAGATGTTTATGCTACTCATGAAGGAAAAGAAAGAAAAAGGAGGGAAGACACCCCAGCCAGCACCAGCCTAGAGTGATTTGTGGAAAAGTTGCTAAATAATCATAATCGTAATATGACTAATGGAAAAGGGAAAATGGAAGCTGTGGAATAATTGGAGAGAATGCTTGGTTGGGTGAGTCATTGTTTCCACCTTGCCTTGGGACTGTAGTGATGACACAGTGGGACTGTCAAACCCCAGAGTACTCTAAGGAAGCAAAAAAGCAAAAGAAAGTTAGCTGTATAGGTGCAGATTACAAATTTGACATAACAAGGACTAGCAATTCTAATCTGCTACTTTGGAAAGTTGTTTGTTTGCTGTGCATTAGGACATCTCTTAAGATATTGTAAAGAAATTTTGGTTCCTGGAGTCAAAGAGAAGGTTTTCCACTGTTTGTGTGCCATTTTCCTCTGTTTGCATACCATTTTGAATCAAAATGTCAGAATGAACCTTTCAAAACTGGCCTGGCCTTTTGGTTGCAGTTGATCCTCGGAGCTATTAAAGCAGTGCTTTACTCTACCAAGGACCTTTCAAAGATGTTTGCATATTCTTTCTCAACTTCCTTATCCCCCAAACACTAGCCCACTAGCTGGGGACGACTCCGGAAGGTGAGAGCCATTTTGGAATAAGTGCAACCCCACCCACACAGCTAAGAATGATGAAATGGTGCGAGCAAGATCTATGTGTGAGATAGAAAAAACCAAAGCTGTCAGTCTGAAAAACAGGCAGAGACAGCTGAGCTGAGTTTTGAGCTCTGCAAGTCAAAAGCATCTGGGATGCAGGAATGCCTTGCTCTGATGGGACTGCAGTGGGAATTTTCTGTTAAAATGTTTACATTATCTTCCTCCGCTAGTATATATGTAACACAACAAAACAAAACAAAATGCCAAAGAAAGGCCTCTCCATCAATATCATCTGCTAAAGAAAACCGAACTTGGCTATCTACTACTACTGCCACCACCAGCCTCTGCTTAGAAGAGTGGTATACAGTGGTACCTCTGGTTGCAGGAGGAATCTGTTCCAGAGCTCCAGTCAGATCCCAAGGTTTTTGCTACTGGAGGAGTCTGTTCTGCACATGCGTGCGGTGTGGTAAAGCGCTTCTGCGCATAAGCGCGCAGCGAAACCCAGAAAAATACTTCCAGGTTTGCCGCATGTGTATCCCATGTTAGAATTCTGCTCCATGATTGCAGTCATGGGATTGTTGTCTATCACATGATGGTGTATGTTTTGACTCCACAGAGTGGGAAGTGAAGGAGACAGGATGTTTATGTTACTGTGTTTCATGAAGTGGGACTATTGTCCTTTGTTCTTTCTCTTTGCTGTCTGATGCTAGAGAGAGAGAGAGCCATGTTGCAGTGCTCCGTGTGTGTTTATATGTAAATAAAGTAGATTAGCCAAAATGCTGAGTTGCTGAGGTCTGTTACACAAGCTGCGAAGACTCTGCAGACCCGAGTGTGCCAATGTCTGATGGCATTGGTCGCTGTGATGTTCGGGCTGAAGAAAGCTTTTGAAGCTCCTGAACAAACAACCAGGAGGGAAAGAACATGCCAGTCAGGCATGTGTCTCTGCCAGGGTCCTACTCGAGTGTAAGACGAGCTCCTGACATCCCAAAGGATACGTAACCAGAGGTGTGCGTAAGCAGAGGTACCACTGTACAAGCAACAGCTGTCAAGTCTACCATTCAGTATTTTCATGATCTAAAGGAACTGGGTTGAATCGTTTAGAAAACTGTGTAAAAAATATATATTTCCCAAGTTGCCATTTTAGCCTGCTACACATAGGCCCATAAAATGGTCTGAAGGAAAACTGAGCAGTTCTACTGTAGCCATTAAGCAGTCTGGCCTCATAAGCTGTCCTGAAGGGAGCCCCCAGCCCAAACGATATGCAAACAGCTCCAAATTCCTCCAAGGAGATGGAGGTCTGTGTGATATTTTATTATTATTTTAAAAAACCAGCCATGTAAAGTCAAATCAAGCACCTTTAAACTCCTATTGATTTGTAACAAGTAAATGAGTAAGTGCATGTTCAACTCTCCCCAGTGAAATTAGTGTCAAGAAAGGTGGAACTTTAGCTGGCTCCTGCACTCTGCTCCAGAGCTATAGCTATGGAGGCAACGAAGTAAGGTGAGTTTGAAAGGCAGGTTTTTATTATTATTACTTCCTGTGAATGAGTGCTTGCCATTCAAAGGGGGAAAATCACACAAACACACACAGGTATGGCTAATGCAAACACTTAGGCAGGCCTAAAGCAACTCTTTGGATTGGGGCCATTTCTCTCTCTCTCTCTCTCTCTCTCTCTCTCTCTCTCTCTCTCTGTCTGTCTCTCTCTGTCTCTCTCTCTCTCTCTCTCTCTCTCTCTCTTACCTTCATTCCTAGTCCCCTTCGTCTTAGTCAGATGTTCGAGAAGATTCTAGGCTGATCATTTGCAAAGTGAAGTTTACTGGTGGCTGTCCTTCAGGCTGTTGTGCATTGCTGGGAACAATTTCTTTCACTGGCAGATTTTCTTCTGGAGACTCTTCCTCTCCTGTTATCCTCTGTTCGTTTCTATATTTTTCCTCCACAGGCTCTTCAGTACCTGCTTCCATGGCTTTGTCGCTCTGAGCACCCCATGTTTTTCTTTTTACTACGGCTGCAAAAACTTCTTTCCTCCCAGCCTCCTCCTTGTGAGATAGCATTTGAGCCTCTTCTACTGAAACTTCCCCCTCAAGTTCTTTAGGCTCTTCTTCCTCTTCCTCCTCCACTTCTTCGCTCATAAACGATACTTGTTCTATCAACTTCTGCATCCCTGCCAACAGAGCTTCCTCCACATCTCGCAGCGTTATCGTTGGTTCTCCTGTATAATATGCCTCCTCTTCCTTCTCTACTTCATCGCTTGCATCTTCTACCTGCACCTCCAGGTCAGGTGACATTTTACCGGCCACAGTCTCTTTTGGTGTTTTTTCCACTTCATCTTGGAAGCTGACTTTACTGCCCATTCCTCCTTCTGCTAATGCTGCTTTTTGTGTGAATGGCTCGGATAGGTGTGATGCCTCTGTCACGCCAGCTACCCTTGGGGTTCCTGTGATGGTCATCCCATGGGCTATTTCCTTCTCATGTGCCATGGACAGAGACCCCCTTTCTCTCTCTATCCCTGAAACTTCAGCCTCTGTCCTTCTTCTAATTGCCACCTTTCTCCCTGCCTTTGTCTCTTCAAAATCCACTTCTTCTCCTTCTGCCTCTGTCTTCCTTCTTCCTACTCTTTGTTTCTGTTTAGGTGCTGCCACTCCAGATCCCAGAATCACTTCTGTCCCTCCCTCTTCAACTTCCTCACCCTCCTCTTCAATTAGATCCTCTTCCTCCACTGTACCTTCTGCACTGGCCACCACGCCTTCAAGTGTTGCTCTTCTTCCAGCCCTTCTTTCTGAACTTGTCTTGACACCTGACCTCTCTGCCTTTCGTATTACTCTTGTTTCCTGGGCTGTCGTATGTTCATCTTCTGCTGCTGAAATGACCCCCTCAGCCTCACTCTCTGACAAGGGTTCATCCACCTCAGATTCCAGTTTCTGTCCAGCTGAACCTTCATCTCTAGATATTCTTTTCTTCTCTTGTTGATACATTTTCCTTCCAGCCCTTCTTTCTGAACTCGGCTTGACTGCTGACCTCTCTGCCTTTCGTATTACTCTTGCTTCCTGGGCTGTCGTGTCTTCATCTTCTGCTCCAGAAATGGCCTCCTCAGCCTCAATGTCCGACAAGGGTTCGCCCACCTCAGATTCCAGTTTCTGTCCAGCTGAACCTTCGTCTCTAGATATTCTTTTCTTCCCTTGTTGATGCGTTCTCCTTCCAGCCCTTCTTTCTGAACTTGGCTTGACCGCTGACCTCTCTGCCTTTCGTATTGTTCTTGCTTCCTGGGCTGTTGTATCCTCATCTTCTGCTCCAGAAATGGCCTCTTCACCCTCAGTGTCCGACAAGGGTTCACCTTCCCAAGGTTCTGGTTCCTCTTGAGCTGAACCTTCATCTCTAGATATTCTTTTCTTCTTTCTCAATTCTACGTGTGTTTTCCTTTCAGCCCTTCTTTCTGAACTTGGCTTAACTGCTGACCTCTCTGTCTTTCTTATTACCCTTGCTTCCTGGGCTGTCGTGTCTTCATCTTCTGCTCCTGAAATGACTCCCTCAGCCTCACTCTCCGACAAGGGTTCATCCACCTCAGATTCCAGTTTCTGTCCAGCTGCACCTTCGTCTCTAGATATTCTTTTCTTCTCTTGTTGATGCGTTTTCCTTCCAGCCCTTCTTTCTGAACTCGCCTTGACCGCTGACCTATCTGCCTTTCGTATTACTCTTGCTCCCTGGTCTCTCATTTCTTCATCTTCTGCTCCTGAAATGACTCCCTCAGCCTCACTTTCCGAAAAGCGTTCACCCACCCAAGGTGCTACTTTCTGTTGAGCTGAACCTTCGTCTCTAGATATTCTTTTCTTCTCTCTCACTTCTAAGTGTGTTTTCCTTCCAGCTCTTCTTTCTGAACTTGGCTTGACTGCTGACCTCTCTGCCTTTCGTATTATTCTTGCTTCCTGGGCTGTCGTATCCTCATCTTCTGCTCCAGAAATGGCCTCCTCACCCTCAGTGTCCGACAAGGGTTCACCCACCTCAGATTCCAGTTTCTGTCCAGCTGCACCTTCGTCTCTAGATATTCTTTTCTTCTCTTGTTGATACGTTTTCCTTCCAGCCCTTCTTTCTGAACTTGGCTTGACCGCTGACCTATCTGCCTTTCGTATTGTTCTTGCTTCCTGGGCTGTCGTATCCTCATCTTCTGCTCCAGAAATGGCCTCCTCACTCTCAGTGTCCGACAAGGGTTCACCTTCCCAAGGTTCTGGTTCCTCTTGAGCTGAACCTGCATCTCTAGATATTCTTTTCTTCTTTCTCACTTCTACGTGTGTTTTCCTTCCAGCCCTTCTTTCTGAACTTGGCTTGACACCTGACCTCTCTGCCTTTCGTATTGTTCTTGCTTCCTGGGCTGTCGTATCCTCATCTTCTGCTGCTGAAATGACCCCCTCAGCCTCGCTCTCTGATAAAGATTCACCTTCCCAAGGTTCTAGTTCCTCTTGAGCTGAACTTTCGTCTCTAGATATTCTTTTCTTCTCTCTCACTTCTAAGTGTGGTTTTCTTCCAGCCCTTCTTTGTGAACTTGGCTTGCCTGCTGACCTCCCTGCCTGTCGTATTACTCTTGCTTCCTGGGCTGTCGTGTCTTCATCTTCTGCTCCAGAAATGGCCTCCTCAGCCTCAATGTCCGACAAGGGTTCGCCCACCTCAGATTCCAGTTTCTGTCCAGCTGCACCTTTGTCTCTAGATATTCTTTTCTTCTCTTGTTGATACATTTTCCTTCCAGCCCTTCTTTCTGAACTCGGCTTGACCGCTGACCTATCTGCCTTTCGTATTGTTCTTGCTTCCTGGGCTGTCGTATCCTCATCTTCTGCTGCTGAAATGACCCCCTCAGCCTCACTCTCTGATAAGGATTCACCTTCCCAAGGTTCTAGTTCCTCTTGAGCTGAACTTTCATCTCTAGATATTCTTTTCTTCTCTCTCACTTCTAAGTGTGGTTTTCTTCCAGCCCTTTTTTCTGAACTTGGCTTGCCTGCTGACCTCCCTGCCTGTCGTATTACTCTTGCTCCCTGGTCTCTCATTTCTTCATCTTCTGCTGCTGAAACGACCCCCTCAGCCTCACTTTCCGAAAAGCGTTCACCCACCCAAGGTGCTACTTTCTGTTGAGCTGAACCTTCGTCTCTAGACATTTTTTTCTTCTGTTTCACTTCTGGAGATGTTTTTTTGGTCTCACCCCCCCACAGGCCTGAAATGTCTTGGACTATTTCCTCCATTTCAGATGAAACTCCTTGTCTGACACCTTTGCTGCCATATACTAGGGCTCCAGAAACAGCTGCTTTTTCCTCATCTGTGGAGACAACCCCTTCAAGGTTTGACCCCGGAGCCATGTCTTCTGCTTCCACAAAAGAACCATCCTCCAGTTGGATTTTCGGGTATATTTTGTCTTTCACACCTCCCTTCAATAATTTGCCTTCCTTACTTTCCATATCATCTCCCAAAGCTTCTTCTTCATCTTGTGTTTTCTCTCCCTTCCCCAGAGAACTCTTTGGTTTTTTGAGCTTTTTCTCTGCTTTTGCCTTTCCCCCAGCTGCCTTTCCTTCCTGATGCATAACTTCTTTTTTGGCATTGTCCAAATCTGATTCCACTACTGCTTCTTCCTCCAGTTCTGCTGCAAGCTCCTTATTTCCTGCTCGTTTTGCTTTACGAGCTGTTACATCTTTGCCTCGCAATTCTTCTCCCAAAGCTGTTTCTTCGGGGCCTTCCTCATCGGCAAGCTCCTCTTCGTCAAGTGCTCTTTCCTTGCCCACCATCTGTCTTGCATGTTCCACTTGCCCCGCAACCTTCTGTGATTCAAGCGCTCTCGATTCTTTTGCCAAGGAAGCTCCATCTGGCACTATTAAAATAAGCACAGCATGAGTTGTAATTGTGATAACTCTATCAGTATTGGGTTGGGCTTTTTCTTTTTTAAAAAAATACATTGCAATGAAAGTGTCGTGTTTTTCAACCTTCCTTGCAGAGAATGGCTTGGCTTAGCCATTGTGAATCATCTGATGAGATTCTGCACTGACAACTTGTGGGCTAGATTGTGTGGATTAACCCATGAGGGACTGATGTGTGAAGGAAGCTACCTCGTGGGAATACACTGGACATGCTAATTTTCTGGACCCACATGGTTCTATAGAGGTCAAGGCACAATAATGCAGGAGGGAGCCTTCTCCTGCTTTGACCCATTTTGTCCTGCTTAAGAAACTGCCACATGTTTCTGCCCCCTCCCACATTTTTTAGAAGCAGCAATTTCTATATAAGCAGAAAGTTGTCAGTCAACCCTTCTTTTCCCAATAGCCTTGCCCATGAACAGATATTGAAAGAAATTAGCCATGTTACTGAAACTGGAATATAAATACTCAGACAGCAAGTTCATCTTGCAGAATAGCTCCATACCAAGTGAAGAGTTGCTGAATGATAGCACTGCAGAGATGAAAGGCATCTGGCAGCCATTAAATCAAGCATATACTGGTAAATATTGATACGTACACACACACTAACACACAAGTGGGAGAATGGAGTGCTCAAAAAACAACTGGGACCCCAGTATCAAAAGAAAGGGGAGCACTACTCCACACCCTGATCAAAAAAAGACTCGTTGTGCAAAGTGCATTTGATACTAATGAAATTTATGCAGGTTGGTATTAACTGTTCTCATTGATTTCAGTAGTGGAACTGGTTGTCCAATCCTATGCATGTCCAATTTTCCACCCAGCAAAGGGTATATAGGCTGCAGCCTAACTTTATTTTTCCTATTGGAGCTGTTGTCATTAAGTTGGGAGATACTTCACAAGCCTACATGTTATTAATTATGCTTGATAAACTACATTTGAAAAATTATGTTCTAAAATGTTAAAGGATATAAAGGAGTGGAAAGAATCATATTGACATCTATACAGAGAAATGGTTTCTTCCTGACTTGTATGCTTGTATAATCTAAACACTTTGCAGGAAAAATTGTAGGAGCTGAAGTGCTGATGGCATCCATCTATGCCCTTATGTGTGATGTTCAATGAACAATGCAATCATACCAGACAAATCCTGGAATCAAAAAGCTGCATCTGAGGGGAATAGAGCTGGAAAGAGTGGTTATAATTCAGCCAGAAGGTCAAGGGAGGTAGTGAGGGGAGTGAAGCAGTATTATTAAGAAAAACCACCATTTCCCTAGTGACAAAGTTGTTTATGGAAATTGTAAAATTTGTACAGAATAGTGTGAAGTAGGAGGAAACATCAAAAGCTTTCTTCTTTATCCTCCTCCATTAGTCTAATCAAGCACATGCTTATCTATCACGTAGGCCAAGACTTTCAAGTAGAATTTGGGTAATTAAGGCTCAAACCGGACATTGCAGGACATGCGTTGTTGATTCTGCTCCACATCTTCCCATACCATCTAGCAGAAGGAAGCATTCTTGGTGCTTGCTTGCTTGCTCTTCCTTAATGGGAATACTAGTTAAAAGGTGGGTTGATTCTAACCTGGTGGTTCAAGTCTGATCAGTGCAGCTTTAAGAATTTAAGAAATCTGCTGTATCAGACATGGCAAAGCACGCAAAAACACTCAAATGCACAAGCCAGCCTCCAAACAACCTAACAAGCAACCTTCTTGTTGCTAGTTATTCAGAAACAATCAAAACTACAAAATGAAGGAAATTAAAAGAAGGATGAGATGAGAGTATAAAATAAAAAGAATAAAGATCAACCAGTTTTGGAATGGGTTGTGGCACTTAAGGCTTTATCATTTGATTTTACCTTTATGTTTATCTCCTTTATGTTTATCTTTCTTAGCTATGCTCTCCTCCTCCTCCTCCTCCGTACTGGAGTCACTTGGTTCAGGTTCAGAACTCAAAAGTCGATCATGTTCCATGGCCTCAGCTATTTTCTCTTTGACGGATTTGCCATCTTCAAAAAATAGCACAACAATCACAAAACAGGGAGCAAAAGAGAGAAATTGGGGAAATGCTTACAGGTTACTCTACTAGCAATTAAGGATGCCAATTAAAATCCATGTCACTGACATGGATGCATTAAACACATACATAAAGTAAATAGCATCCCATCTATCAGATATTAAAATTGCATGCAGTGGAATTTCCACAATACAAAACAACAACTGCCACTACTACTACTACTACTACTACTACTACACACAAGTTACAAAAAATACCACCAGATCATAAGGTGATCTTTTTGTTCAGAAATATTTTTAATTTGCACACAAACCAAAATAACAAGACAATAGAAAACCTGCAGGTAAACTCAGGACATTTTTGAATACTAAGTTTCCAGATGCAATTCCAATGATTCCATCAATTCTCTAAACAGGTTAAATAGCTTGTGAGCTTCATCTCATTTTGATGCATGGGCAGATCCAAATGCAAATCCCCATGCTTCAACAAACATTTGATATTCCTAAACGCATGAGAAGCAACATGTCCTATTCTGCTACATTTCCAGCACATTCTTATTAGGCCATGACACAGTTTAAAGTTGTGCTAATATTTTCATTGTAACCTCAGTGCTTATGCAATAAAGTTTATTTACATTTCACTTGTTCTTAACAGAGTATGTATTATTAATATTGCATTCCTATTAGCTTAGCAACCACTATTCCCGAAACAGAAACAGAAGATTTTTTCTTCTTCTCGTCTCCAAAACGACATGTATATAAAAAGAAATCACTGCTGAAAGTTGCAAAGCTCTCTGGCATTAGTGTAGATTTCTTTAAAATAGGAAGCCTGATGGGTTCTGCCTAGGTGTACACACCTCATTAGCCCCATTGGGATCTGAACCCTCCCCAGTATTGCTTTGTGAACAAGTCTTGTACACAAGGAGTTTAAACCACTTGGTGTGTAAGGATGATTTTCTTCCAGTTCTGCAGTGTGGGTGAAACAGGTAGGTCATTGCAGTGAGAGGCTTGATGCTGCAATAAATTATGCACACACTGGCACCTATCCCATTCTAGTCATGCTGCCTACAACCAGTGACGGAAGGGTCTGGATGTGTCTAGGAGACAAATAATTATACAACTTTTAGAAGACATCAGAAGGCAGCCCTGTACCGGGAGGTTTTTGATATCTGATGTCTTATTATGTTTTTATAAGTGCTGGAAGCCACCCAGAGTAGCTGGGGCAACCCAGATAGATGGGTGGAGTATAAAGAATAAAATTATTAATATTATTGTTATTACTGAGATGTACTTATTTTATTTTATTTCAGTCCTGCCTTTCTACCGGTATAGGACCCAAGGCAGCTCACAATATGTAGATGCAGATCCAAATGCTCATCCAGAATGGACACCCGCACCTCAACATACATGGAAGCCTGCTTCTGTAGGGGGGTTTCTCTTTCTTGCTACAAAATAAAGTCCACTGAACATGTTTTATTTTTGTTTTTTGTTTTCTTTCGTCTCCCCCTATATCTGCCATGATCAACCCTATTCAAGTAGACATTCAGCAGACGGCAAAAAAAAACTTTTTGCAAAAAAAGAAAGAAAAAAAGGGAGAGGCAGAAGATAATTTCAGTAGCCAGGCAAAAATCTCAACATCTCCAGCTACCACAGCAGCAGAGTCTGGAGACATCCTCTGCTAAATGCTATGTTAATTCAGATCCAGGACTATCAAACAACCGTTTAATTACCATGTTCAGAAATCTGAGCTAAACAGAAATGATGATACCCTTCTGCACTAAAATCTGTGGCAGGCCATTAACTCAACCCACATGATTACTCCATGCTTCCATTTTGTATTAGAGCACTTAATCCTATGTGTGTACTTGTTAAGTGGTTAATAACTTCATTCTTCAACAGTACTTAAATATTCATCTCATCTAACAGTCTAATTGGGAAGTTGCTCACATTGAGAATCCAGCATATGGATGAAGGGAAAGATTTCAAACAACTAAAACACCCATAAATAATTCAGCATAATCATCCAGAACTGTACTTTTCACTCTCTTTTTTTCAATTTTCCTCCGTGTTAGATACATAACAAATTGCAAGGCAATGAAAAGCAACCCAGCCCAAAGATGTTTGCAAACCATTCCAATTTTCATAACATTCTGCACATGCCAAACTATTCCATTGAACAGCACAAAGCAATAAGAAATAAACCATCAATGTCTATTAATAGGAAGCAAGATCACTGTATAATTCATCACCAGATGATTGCAGATAAAAATACAAATCAGAAGAATTAGCATGACTTATGGCTTTTTTTCGTGTCTGCATCACTATGGGTTGATATTAAGTGACTAGAATGATTTCACTATGATCTACAGTTAAAAATAATAATACTACACAAACTTAATTGTTTCTTTCCCTCCAAGGGGTTTAGACCCAGAAAAAATAGGAATCGATTGTGCAAACAGTATGCATTTTATGATCCAAAATAATAATAATTATATATATGGTTTTAGAGGAGGGGTCATACCATAGCTTGTTGATAGAGTACGTGATTTGTGTGCAGAAGGCCCCAAATTCAATTCTTGGCATCACCAGTTTGAAAGGTCAGATAGCAGGTGATATGAATGACCTCTGCTTAAGGCTTTGGAGAGTCTCTGCCAGCCAGAGTAGGCAATACTGGATAGGATGAATAGTCTGACTGGATATAAGGCAGACTCCTATACTCCTATCTTTAATTTGCTAAGTTTAAAGCTATGAAACTTGTCCATAATCTCACAATAAAAAAATGTGGAACAGAAACTTTTATCTCGTGTCTCACATATTCATCACTCTAAACAATAAAAGCACACAAAGATGTGGTTTAGATGTCATTATGTCTCTGAACCTACAAGAAGTATACACTGATTTAACTTCGTTTGATGCAATTGTTTTTCCCTATGTTGATAAATAGCCTCTCCAGCTGTGCTTTCAGACGGGATGGCAATCAAGTTTGGGCACTGCTTGATCTCAGATCCATTTCACCTGCTTGTCTCCCTTTTCCATCGAGGAAAGTAATAAATTCAGCCGTCACAAAATGCCATGCAAACGATAGTGATGGAGACAAGAGGAAAGCTCGCCAAAGCCTTACATGTTAAATCACACAGACCACAACTATAGCACCCGAAACAACAGCATGGCACAGACGTTTCAGAGCATGACACTGCCAGCAATTTGGCACACACAGTAAACTGAGGGTGGGAGAGGGGAATCACATCTTTCTAACATACAATGTTGTGTTTCACATGCCATTATCAAAGCTTAGAATGCAAAATGATGCAGTCAGTCAAGAACAAGCAAAGCCACACAGTTGTATGCAATGGACCCATCAGAGTTCTGACTGCAGACCATACTTACCACCTTCATCCTCATCTTCAGAAGGTCCTCTGCTTCTGGTGTCTCCTCGACGGCTGTGTTCAGAATGACCTAACACATCCTTCTCCCTGTCGTCCCTCACACTCCTGTGCACCGAACCTACAAACTTGCCTTCCTCACTGCCTGGACTTGAGTCTTGACTTCTTGCCTTCCTGACTTTGTGAGAGGTGCGTGGCACGTCTCTGGCTGCTTTGCTGGTGGCATCCCCCATGTCCGGCTCTTCCTCCATATCGGTTCCTTGGCCTTCCTCTCTTTGGGTCTTTGCGGTTTCACTTTCATACCCTGAATGTCTGTTGGTCTTCTCTCGCTTGCGGCCTCGCTTTCCCATCTCGCGGTCGGAGTCGTTTTCGCTGCTGTATGGCATGCTGCTGGAGGAGAGGGAGCGTGCAACCTTCCTGTCTACAAAGAGTAAAACACAATTTCATTTCAATGGCACCTTACCTCTTCTCAGCGCTTGAAATCATTGCTTGGAGGGTCTTGCGGAGAAACCTAGGGCTGTGTGTGAAACAGGCTTCCCTTCACAGCAGCACAAAGTGTTGCTAGGGGGATGTGAGAGCCCTTCAGGTTAGTGCTAAAGCACCAGGTTTTATAAGAATGAGTTCAATTTAGGCATCTACTCTTTAAAATATTTCTTGGGGATTGAGTAGTTAAGAACTTCCTGCTTCTGAGTCTGCTCTTATGGGTACATTAAAGATCAGCATAAAGCTGTCTCCAATATTCCCTAGTTACTTTTATGCCAGGCAAGAGAGGCTTGTTTTCACTGCAGTGATCTATCTGCTTCCTTTTCTTGTTGTATTTAAGGTGGGGGGGGGGAGGCTGTGTAACTCCTTTTAAAAGGAGTTGTCTGTCTGTTTTGGGGTGTGTTTGCCTGGGTCTTTCACTTGAGGATCTTCAACATCAGCGCCTGTGCCTAAGATGAAAATGCAAAGTTTTGCTGAAATCCTTATTCACTTTGCTTTTGCTCAATGGTTCCTGTGCTCTAAAACACAGTATCAGAAAAAAATCAGTAACCGTATTTATTTTTTCTGAAATATATCTGTAACACCTTTCATGCACAAGGTGGTGTAAAAAGGGGAGGGGCAATAAAATTACAATTCAGAATAAAATTGCAGCTGCTAGGTCAGTGGCAAAATGCTTAAGGAGACCTTGAGATGATGAATGAAATCAAGGTAGCGTCTAAAAGTGGAACATTGTAGTAACAGGTGACTTCAACTACCCTCACATAGACTGGCTACATATGTGTTCTAGTCATGGCAAAGAGATAAAAATGCTAGGTATTCTAAATGACAGTGCTCCAGAACAGTTGGTGTTGGAACTGACCAAAAGGGCAGTGACCCTAGACTTAATCTTGAGTGGCATACAGGACTTGGTGCAAGATTTAAGCATTGTTGAGCCAATGGGGAACAGTGACCATTAAGCTGTAAAATTAAATATACATGTAAATGGCTAGGTCTCCAAGGAAATCCAACAAGGTCACATTTGATTTCAAAAGAGGAAATGTCCCCAAAATGAGCATGTTGGTAAAAAGGAAATTGAAAAGCCAAATCACTCCAAATGCTTGGGAGTTAAGACCACAATGTTAGAAACTCAACTTGAGTGTATACTGCAAATCAGGAAAAGTATCACGAGGACCAAGATGCTCCTGTGAGATCTCAGAAAGTACCGGTATTTCATTTACTGCAAGGCACTGAGGAAAGGAGGTCTTGAACCAGGCAGACGAAGGGCTTCTCCACACTTATCTTTCCTCCACTTTTTCCAGGAAATCAGCAAAAAACCTGAATTGACATTTGCTCCAATGGAGAACTAAAGAGAAGTTTTTTGTGGGGAAAGCTCTGGGGCATTTTTAAAAAATGCTTGGACACGGTACTTTTAAGCATGAACCCATGCCTGGAAAGAGTGGGGCAAAAGGTAAGTGAGGCTAAGCCCTAACTGTAGGGCATGAGCCCCAACTAGACTGAAGTAGCTATCAGCTGCATTGACAGGTCAATCAACGCCTGCACACCTGGGCCTATAATGGTCTGGCCTGAGAGCTGCCCCGTCAGTCCAAACAACTTTTTTTGTGATGAGTGCCTTGTCCTAGCCCTAGTTTATCCATGTCCCTTGCACTGATTATGCCCCTACCTTTGGCCCCTCAGACCTGACTTGCTCTAGCCTTATCCTTGTCTGATTGCTCTACAACCTTGTCGCTGTATCCAAGAACTGAGAGCAGACACCTTGCTCAGGCTGGACACTTATGTAGTCTTTTCTGATAAAGCCACCCAGTTAAGGGAAAGCTCAAGCATGGATTGAGACTAAGGACTACTCAGTATCACTTTATAAAATGCTGCAGCTTCTAATTTCATTTGCAATAAATCCTCGACAAACAAAGTTCATTCATTTGCAGATACCTAACATTTCAACTGAATAATAGAATCCATTGGAAATCCGTTATAGACAAAACTAAAATCAATACTGTAACGTATTATACTCTTGTGTTTTCTATCAAATGCAGTTCTGAGTTCTGAGCTCCTTTCATGTCCTGCCTGCTTCCGATAATTACTTGTAAATTTTGCTAATATTTTAAATTATTCTTTCCATCTGTGCTGCTCTGAATATTCTGCAGGGCTTGTGATTCTTTTGTAAAGGGGAGTGGGGAGGAAAACATGTTTACTTGAGCAAAAATGCAGGGTTTTCTTTATTCTTTCATTGCACTTCTGTAATGTAAAGCATTTTCCAGTGAATATTATAAGAATGAATGAAACACTACTGCGAGGTGGTCATTAAAATCTCTCTTTTCCATATGGGAAGCAAGGCTGTAGAACATATAGCTAATCAATGTACATAGTCAACCAGTAAACCAATTGGAGCCAGAACTCAGTAACACTGGTCCAGATTCAGCACTCTAACAAATGGACAGCGTCACGTAATGCATTTGATAAATATTAACATAACCCTCAGCATAAGATACTGAATGGATGCTTTATTTTGGGGGGATGAATGTTACTGGTGGATACTGGATCAACACTCCTGATGACTTAAGGAGATATGTTTAGCAACAAAGCAGATAGAGACCCAGAAGTAATGTGAGCATCTAGCTCCTCCAACTAGCCTGTCTTCATCAACCAGGACTTTCAAGGTGAGTCTTCACATTAATCCACATGGTAATGTAATAACGCAGGAGAAGAAATGTGTTAGGGCTGGTGCAAACAAGCACACAACATGAAGGTTATTTAAAGATTGTTTCCAGCCCAATGGCACACACGCAAAAATTTGCTGCATACTTCAGGGTGGGGTAGCATGTTTTTTTTAAATGTCACCATAGCCTTCAAAAGAAAAGGGAAAAGCTTCAACATGCTACACAGAGACAGCTGCTTTAAAAGGCACCCATGCGTGTCTTGTTTTGTGTGGACCAGTTGTAGGTTAACACAAATCGCTCCCTCAGAAAATTGCAGCAAATTAAAAACCAGGCTGGAAAGTGATAAGATTTAATTATCTATGGCAGCTTGTCATTGGTCAAAACACAGACATAGGGAACCTTATCACATCTTGTGCTTGAAGCTTGTCATTGGTGCCAGCTAATAGTATCAAATGTATGAAAGGAGGCCTTGAGTGCCATCTATTGGATTGGAAAGATAAGCAGAAACACTTTTAATAATTTAATAATAAATATACCTTCAGCTTCAGTGTCTCTTTGAATGTTCTTTAGAAATGGTGAAAGGAGAAGAAAGACTGACTCATACTTCCACTCCCATCTCCCAAGGGAGGTTCTCATCTGAAGGGACAATGTATACAACGCGCACACAGAGAAGATGCATAATTCTACCTATCCATCTGGAAAATGCATATCATACCTGGAAGGATCTATCTCTTTTCCTCCCTGAACACAAGAATATGGATGTGGTTAAACAGAGCGCTTGAGTGATTCACGCTTGTTCTGCTGCCATTTGCCTCTGAGACATGTGCAAAAGCCACCTTAAAGCAGCATTAGATTTCAGCCTCGAAGTGTGTAAAAGGCCATGAGACATTTCAGCAACCCAGGTCATTAAAAATATTATCAGGTTTTTTTGAAAACATAAACAGCCTGATACAGAAATAGCTGTTTGCCTCAGCAAAAACAGCCTGCACTGCTTTCCAGCTAATGAGTCATCCTGATTTATTCACAGGATTATGGCCTACGAGGATTTGAAAACCATACGTTCAGTCTTCTCTGACCCGTTCTCTGCCTGCGCTCAACAAAAATATTGCATGGAAAAATAAGGATTACCGTTTCTCATTTATCTAGAGACACTATTAAAATCTTCCACATTTGGAGAAATTTCGCCTTCATTTGGACCTGCACCAGCTGCTGAAATTCAAAGCTGTCAAGAAAGTGCACAGATTGGAGCGGGCCATCGTTTTATTATTATTTATGAAGGACAGGCTCCTATAGTCATTTCAATTTTATTTTTATTTTTTAGTAAAAACAGAGTCAAGGAAATACGTGCATTGCAGTCCCTCAAAATCCTCTGTAACTATGTGCTGAAAACCCTAAGGGTGGAATTCAACTGATGAGTTCTGTAAGTGGAAGCCCACCTAAGGACTTCCACTTGTGCAACAGGGCATTTCCACCTCCTCTCCTTGCATGCCCTGCCCCCTTCCCCTACCATTAGTTCAAGGGGCAGGGGCAGGAGAAACCCCAGAACAGCATGCAGAGGAGATTGTTCCATTTGGCAAGCTACAATGCTGGTCTGGACAGAACAACATAGTGAGACACTGAATTCTTCCCTATGAGTGGTATCCAGTGTACCACTATGTGAATCTTCAGTCAGTGCAAGGATTTCTGCTTGAGCAATGGAATCTTCTCTCCTTCTCCCCACAACACTTCCCCCAAATCTGTTCCCCCAACCCAATGCAGCAGGTTTGGGGGCTGGGGTATTAGGGGAGGAGAGGGAGGCAAGCCCTACTGCGCAAGCAAAAATCCATGCACTGACAGGATGTGCTAGTTTAATACCACTCTAGATGGACCTAGCAAATGTTAATTTCAAAGAATGCCTCCAAGGTAGTATCATTGTAAGGGAAACTGAGAAAAGAAAAGGAAGATAGACCCAGCTGTCTAGTGCTGCTTTGAGTATCCTGCCAGAATGTGTCTGAAGATGAGGGGACTAGGAGAGGCATCATTGATGGGCCTTGCTGGGCATCAAACGCCCAAGGATGCTGGGTTCTGATGCCAGCCCAGAAGGTGTCCCCATTTCCCTCCTTTCATTAGTTTATGGTATTTAAGGGAAACGTAGGGGAAAGCAACATTCTAACAAATGCACACAATCTTTTATTCTGGTCACCATCATGTCATGACTAAGGCCAAGGCCTCTTTCAGCCATCTTGAGGTTTCAGGAAAATAGCTACATCTCAATGTTCAAAGCTTTCACTCTGCTTTTTGATTGCATGCCATGTATATCCTTCATAATGAAAAGAGAATATTGGAGCTCACTCATACTTCCTTCAAAAAGAGAGCACACAGGAGAAAGCTATTGTTCCTGACCTAGCCAAGTCTTCTTCTAGGGCGAGTCTTGGAGTAACTTTGTTACGTCCTAGCACAGAAGGAATCTCACATTAGCTCTGGAGCAGTTTTGTACAGTTAACTTCAGTTGTTTACAGAATCAACTAAGTTCGTTTTCAAAACTGTGATTCTCCACAATTGCAAAGCGTGCCAGTGGCAAGGACAGTGAGAGGCGAAATCACTTTCAGCCATCTTGAGGTGTCAATAAAACAGCTACTTTCATGTATTTCAGGGCCCTGCTATACTGTATCTGAGCTTCCTTTGATTGGCTGGAACTTACAGACAATAAAGTCTGGATATTGGGAGACGGTGGAAAGAAGGGAGAAATGGGCTTCTAGTAAATGTTTTCAGAAGGTGTCTCTAATTTCCATTTTTCCTGGCGACTAAGGCAAGGATGGAAATCTGCTTAGGAATGAATGTCCGAAGCACATCCTCCAGCGCGGAACAACACACTAGAGACAGAAACTTATTTTGTTTCTTGCTGAAAACTGCTCCAGGAAGTAAGAGAATCCAATTCTCACCAACAGCAGTTGGGCGACATTACACAAATCAAGCCAACAGATATATTAAAACTTCTAAAGTAATGGCTTTAGACTGTGTCAATAAAAATGACCCGAATGGGTGCTTTATTGTCATTCTGTAAGGAGCACTGTTACACCAACAGAAAGAATTACTTGACCTATTTTCTCATTTTTTCGTGTGCAGAGTACTATGTTTACAATTGGGATACAGGGTTGTTAAATGAAACTAATCTATTAGCACATCAGAACCGAGAGCAGGGCTTCATAGAGGTAGTCTTCAGTTGTATGGAACTAGAACACTGATGGGACATTTACTCTTTTTGCTACTCATGAACAGCTGCAGAGGCCTGGCATATCATTGTCACACTCTCAGTGATTCCTGCTAAACTGGCCACAAACCACCGGTTTCTAGTAGTTCAAAGGATTGCAAGAAGGATAACAAATATGCAACATGTGACTCAGAGACAAAATACATGATCAGCACCCTAACATGAAGTAAGCATTCCTAGACCATACCACTTCAGAATGCACATGGGGGGAGGCAAGAATGTTTACTGGCCCCCAAACAGGAGGAGGGGGATCACTAGACTTGCAAAATGAATGTTGGGGAGAAAGCAAAGTCTAAAGGCCAACCCAGACAAATGCGAACGGATTGATGACAATGAATGTGTCTAGTTTTAAATGTTAAATTACATCTTCAGGGGGCATCCCTCAAGATCAAGACCACACACATGGGAAAGGGAGATTTGACTTCCTGCCCATGCCACAGTTCTGATTAAAACCCCTGTATTCACACTGCTATTTATCCTCCAGAGTCAATCTTGCAATGGCACTGCTTATGATTTCTTCTCACCTCATCGTCACCAGTCATTGAGGCTTTGTGATTGTGGGTTTACCCACAGAAGGGAATTCCAGGAAGTGGAGGAAGGAAGAAAATGCCCTAATACTGTATTGATTTGGTTTGCATACGTACTTGAGGGTGACACAAGTGCAGCTCCCAATCTCCAGCTCCCATCTCAGAACCTACAGCTCCTTCCCCACCAGATAAGATTTCAAGAATCAGCTACTTCAGTCCCCAGGGGCATTTCTAATTAATTATTTGCTGTTAATTGTTCACATAACACCAACACTGTAAAGTGGACTGCTATTGTTTGCATTTGGCAAGCGACAAACTGACAACCAAAAAACCACACTAAGCTTTCGTCCACGGCACAACATTGGGTCTGTCGTATCCAATTTACTCTGGCAGTCTCTTTTGAATGATAAGCAGTCTCCTGAAACTGCAGACAATCCTATATGGCTTCGCTGTAGTTACTGAACTACTTCTGGATGGGAAAACAAAGAAAGCTATGGCTGGTGCCCATGATGATGAAAACTGTAATCACTGAAGTGATAGTGAGTGCTAACCCAATATGGTTGGTCATCTCATTTCTACAGCCTCTAGCTACAAAACATACACATTTCCTAACCAGTCTTGCATGCTATTAATAAAACACTTCAATAAAGACTGTCACGCCTATCCAATTAGCATGATCATTCCACTTAAGTTATATCTCATTGGGATTTCTGCTCTGAATGGATCAATTACTATCACACAAAATGGGTCAGGATTTTTTGTTAAATGCTACTTATCTGAAATTTGTTCATCTGTAAAACTCAGAGTGCATTATTTAACTCCCTGCTGGGAGTGAGTATAGGGGCCAAGATCTACTCTGCTTCCAGTTAAATCCACAATTAAAACAAAACTATTTTTTAAAACTGCTTAATGAATGGCATGCTGAATTAATGTTAAATAGCAGCAGCAGCAGAGCACGCACGAGCAGCCAAGCATATTTTTGTACAAAGCATACGGTTGAGGAAACAATAGTCAAAAGAAATTTACTACTGGCTTCATCAGTTACTTATCCAGAAGTGCAGCTTGTTATGTGTCTTAATATAATTAATTGAGTGCATGTAGCGGATTAATAATGAAAACCCCAAGTCAGCCCCATGAACACTTGTGCTACAGGCACTGTAGCAGTGACAGGTGTCACAAACAAAGCCTTCCTTCATGCACACCACTTCAAACCACTATAACTACAGGCCGATTTAATCCTATGTTCATTTCCTTATAAGTATATCAATGTTCAAACCTATTCTTTCTTTGTATACCTTGTAGACCCTTCATAATTAAAAGAGAATATTGGAGCTCACTAACGTTTCCTTCAAAAAAAAGTGAAAGCAGGAGAAAAATATCATTCCTGACTTAGCTAAGTCTTCTCCTAGAGGGAGTATGGGAGTAGCTACGTTCCATCCTATAGCACAGAAGGAATTGCAAAGTAGCTTTGGATCAGGTTTGCACAGTAAATGTGAGTTGCTTACAGAATCAAGCAAATCAGTATTCGAAACCGTAACCTTCCAACAACTAGAAAGTGTGCCACAGCAAATGCACTGATGGTGAGGGCAAAATCACTCAGAATGCAAATGCAAATGAAATGCATCAAAAACACACGAAGATGTTATGGTTTAAAAGAAACCATTCACATGAGCCAAGGATGAGATAACAACATAAACACGGTTTCCATAGTTTTCTTTACTCATAACCACGAGTACAAATCCTGTATCCAACTAGAAATTTAGTACGCCACCTTCCTTGTCCTCAACCCTAAAAAGTAGTCCATGCATTTTACTGAGTTTCACATCAATGGAGATTCAAGGGGGTGACATTTGGTCTTCCAGGAAGGATGTGGCTGACTGCTATAAGAAACAGAAGGCTGGACTACACAGACCTTTGGTCTGATCATACATATCTGATGTTGTTCTAAGGGAACTTCAGCCTCTACTGTAAGAAGCAGGTCCACCTAATTGTGATGTCAAACAACCAAGGCAAATCTGGAATCAGTTTCTACTTACGGTTATTTACCTCCAGAGTGAAATGAAAAAGAAAATCAATAAATACATACCTTTATTTATTTTATTATTATAGCCTCAGCACTGTTTTTCAGCTGCAAGCACATTTACAGAAGTGGCTCTTCTTCTAATCCCAATACTTCAAACTGAAAGTTATCAGTCAACATTATTTAACTTTAGGTAAATTGTGAGGAGCCTATATCAGTCCTGGCTACCTGGGTCTCCTCCATACAGAAGCAAGTGGAAAAACATGTAGCAGCTTCATGCATTGGGGGAACTTGCATGCAGCATAATCCAGAGTTTACCTGCTCAAAAAATCTCAATGGGACTTCCTTCCAAATATGTGTTGTAAGATTAAAGTCTTACTTTTTAACATATGCCTGCTTCTAATGGCCAAAGCACCCTGTCCTAAACAAGAAAGAAACAATAATGTCCCTTTTTATGTTAAACTTCTCCATTTTAAAGTTGAATTCCGACGATTCACACTCTGATGCAAGGAAACGTTTCCAAATAGCTGTATTTACTGTGCAGCTACATTATTAATGTAAGGCTATGTAAAGGAGATTCTTCTTCATCTCCTAATGACTTGGGTGGACCATTTGTGCAAATGAGGAAGCATTTTTGCAATATTCATTGGGTGGAACAAAAATACATAAATGAATTCCAAACAAGAGAATTTAATCAGAAGCAAGTGAATTATGCATCCGAAAATGAAAGAGCAGGAAGAAAGCTGTTTAGATTGGACCCTGCCACAAAGCAAGACTTTCTACCCAGCACCAAATACAATCTACACCAGGGATGGGGGAACCTGTAGTCTTCAGATATTATCAGCAACCCTGACCATTGGCCATGCTAGCTGGGGCTCATGGAAGTTGTAGTGCAACAACTCTGAAAGACCACAGATTCCCAATCTCTGATGTACATCATCCACAATGAGATGTGCCCTAAGTAGAGGGCAGATGCCCTGATAGATGCCTGCATAAAAGAAAGCTATCCATGACCCAAGCCATTTTCAAGAGGAAGAGCACCCTCAGAGTTATTAGCAATTTCAGCAAAAGGAAAATTCATTCCCCAGATAAGATGATTTGCCAAGACTTAAATCATACCAGTTATCAGATCAGTCCAGCTATTAACAAAGGCTGCCACAATATATATTTTTAGGCAATGCAACTACACGCCACCTAGTACCATGTGACCACAAGCCTGAGAAGTAACACCAGCTTTTTAAAAAAGAAAGAGCATGTAATTATTTCTTAAATGATTAGCAAAGCTGCAAGCTGATTATCCTTCATGGTCACTGGCTGCTTAGAGAAATCAAAGTCTCTTTGATCAGAACAAAGATTTGTCCATGCAGACCAACTGCAAACCTGGTTTGACACCCCGAGTTTGCCGTCGACTTTTGTGCTTCCTATAGAAACACTGGATCTTTCTCGCAGCAGTGTCCATTTCCCAGTCAGCTGCTTTACCTTTCCCTATTTCACACAGAAAATACAAATACAAAAGCTACATTAACGTTTGGCTTGGGAAAAGAGCTCTCCGATAAAGCCTGTCAAAATGGAAGGCATTTCAATGGAGAGATTTCAGGGGAGCAGTAAACACAGAATGCCTGGTCCAGTTTGACAAGCAACTGTTGTGTAAGTTATGGCAGTATCAAAAAGAAACAGCAGGATAAGAAATAAACAGGAAGAAATCAGGTCTGCGCCGATGGAAAGCCAAAACGCTTGCAATTTCCATTGTTTTGCAAGCATGCCTAGCTTTTGGACCCGTTTCGCTGTTTGTATTAATGAATGGGAAATGAGATACATGCTTCCCATTAGATTATTTATGAAGGTGTGCGGCTCAGAATACATAAAGGAAATAATTATCTCCATCAGTTATGCTGACTGGGGAGGACAGAGGTTACCAAAAATGTTATTTATGCTACTGAAAACTAATTCCGCAGCATTTTAATTTCCTTGTGGTAACAATTATCTAGGGTTCATCATTCTGAGTGTTTGTCCCCTGCACAGAACTCAGAAGGCACAGGACTGCATATTTATCGCCCTGAGGTTGTGGGCATGTCATTCTTGGATCAAAATGGAGTCACGCTGCAACCGCTGACCAGAATTTGGCTTGTGGAAAGCCCTGCTTACTATGGAGCCCAGAGGGATGGCAGGAGAGAGCCCTTAGAATTGTTGCTATGGGTTCTCACTTTCATATACAGTGGTACATTTTTTGGTGCCTGGTACTTTACAATGCAAAAGTGACATCTACAGGCTGCCATGCAAGATGTTTCTTTTCATATGATGAAAACTATACACAGTTTCATACATTATGCCAGTTCATACATTACAGATTAATTGGCTCTTTCTCTTTTAGCTCTTTTAGCCAGGAACTCACAGAATACCATGAATGTGCTCGTGTCAAAAAGACACAAGTGATTCATTGCAACATGTGAATTGGAACACAGGAACACAGAAGGAGCATTGACAAACATTGACAAAGTATCCCCAAGTAGCCTCGTCTACAGGTGTCTGGATATTTATGTTTGAAAAGGATCTTGCAGGGGGAAGTTTGTGCAGAGTTCTACACTGCAGGACAGGGTGATATGATATCACATCAGCAGTGGGAGCACACTACATGCGAGGCCTGCTCCTGATACGAATCTGCCTTATACCATACCCTCCATTTCTCCGATGAAAATAGGGACGACCCATTCCATAATGATAATCTTCCTATTTATACCCAACACATCTACCTGGGTTGTCACAGCCACTCTGGGTGGCTTCCAACATATATAAAAACATAATAAAACATTAAGCATTGAAAATAACTTCCCTATACAGGATTGTCTTCAGACGGCTTGGGGGTCGGATAACTCCATACCCTCCAACATTTCTCCAATGAAAATAGGGATGCCCTAGGGAAAAGCAGGACATTCCAGGATCAAATCAGAAACTGGAACAGCTTCTCTAAATCAGGGATGTCCCTGGAAAATAGGGACACTTGGAAGGGTCTGTTACACTGAGCCAGACCATAGGTCCATCTAGTGCAATACTGCCTACACAGTGGCTCTCCAGGGTTTCATACAGGGGACATTCCCATTATCAAGTTGAATCTGGGAGCTTTTGCATTGAAGGAGATGTTCCACCACTCAACAACAGCCCCTTCCCTAAGGTCCTGGTCTCACAGTAGTGCACAGAAGTGTCTGAGCAGGCCCATAATCTATGGATCACAATAATCAAACATTGTCTGAAATTAGCAGTACATGAGATGTATTTCCTGTGTAAGTGGGAGGTCTTAAGGATGAGAGGGGAAGGCAAGGTAAAAAAAGGAAACCTGTACTCCCAGGGGCAGCCCACCCACGAGGCAAGGTGAGGAGACTGCTTCAGGAGGCAGGGTCCAGGGTCCACCCAGGGCAACAGAACCCAATGTTGATCTTACTCTACTGCATTGTCCCTGGCCTCCTTCACCCCTGGCAGGGAGGGGGAGGAGTCGTCCTGGGGTCCACCTCAGGTGCCAACATGTCTTGGTCCAGCCCTGTGTGCTCCTCCCCTCTCCCCCCGCCCCCACCAGCTATATTTGGGAGCTTGAGAAGGCCAGAGGTCTATTCCACTCTACACAATGTTGGACATCCACAATTCAAGGTGAGCATGGGCGCGCTTTAAATAAAAATTATAACACCGCGCTTCTCAATGGGCATCATAAATTCCTGTCCAAGTTAATGGGTTCTGGAGTGAGACTGAAACCTTTCCAGAGGAACAAAGGAAGTGGTCTGAAAGAGAGAGCTTAATTTCTGTCTTCACACACACTGGAGAAGAGAGACCCAAATTTCCTCTTCTAGCTGCCGCCTATCTGGCCATTCTCATATAGTACCTGAGAGATAAAAGAGGTTTAAAGAAGCAGCTTGGGAGACTTTGCTTATTTTGTGCTGACTGGCACATTCTATATCAATTTAGCAATCGTAATTCAAATGGGTACTTAAATGTGAACCACAAAATAGATAACCCATTACAGGGCGTATGTAACAAGTTAAACATGCATCAGGCCATTCATTCTATGCCACTCTAAGGAAAACAACTAACCTTGTTTTCTCTCCTCCTCCAAGTCACTCCCGGTGTATCCATCACTTTCATCTCGTTCACTGTCAGAGGCCCGCGAAGCTTTCAGTGATGACTTTTTATTCTCCTTTTCATGGTCTAAATTATCTTTTTCATCATCTGAGGGTGACTTTGACATTCTTTTCATTTGATCACCAGCCTGTCCTTCTTCATTAACTTTCCCATCTGATTTCTCTTCATCTGCTTCAAAATCTTCATCGTATGCTGAAATATAAGGACAAGCATACCGTGAGATAGAAAATGGACCACAAACTACTTGAATATCTCATTAACCCCAAATAGGTTAAGCCCATTAGTCTTTGTTCTCCTTTGCATTTGACCCTTTTCTGCCTATATATACACACACACACACACACAAACAATAAAGTTAACATGCTGAGCCATGGATTTAAACTGTACAATGATACAGTAATGTTAAAAACTTTTTCTTGCTACTCCATACGCAAGAGAGGCAGGGCAAATTGTGGCATAATCTCCACACTAAGTACATTGGAATTATTTCAGTGGAGGAGAGGATGATTAGGACTTGTAGTTGTTATACATTCCAAATCCTCACAGACTTTGCAAGGTGTGTGGGAACCAACAGAAATCTTATTTTCTGTTCACTATGCACCACCTCTCACATTGTGGTTTTTAAGTATACAAGCAAAAATATGAAACACACAAACACATATACTTGGAGACACATACTTCATAAATATATGCCTTTAAGAAAGCCAGGACTGCCCACAGTAAACCTGCCTAACTATATATTTTGTGGAAAACTTGTTTGCTACCTTGCAGTGTTTCAAATGGCCTGAAATCAACCCCACAAAATCAAATGCATTCTATTATTTCTCTTTGTGGGTCTCATTCAGACATAATCACATTGAAGCAAATAATTACACTGGCAAACAGTCCTGAAATATGTTTTTGGGAAATGTGTGTTTGTGAAGAATACATGTAATTCCATCCCAAAATATCTGATAGTTGCTCAGATGTAAACAGAGGCATCATGGAAACAGTAGAACCCTCACTTGCTTATCACAAAAGACTCCATCCCTGATCTGACCAAACCATGTAACACCCACCCATCTCTTCACTGATGTAGGGATCGCTCTAGAATAATTGCAAGGAGTGATGATGTTAAACAAATGAAGTAAGGAGTGATGGTGTTAAACAAATGAAGTAGCTATCAGTGGTCTTAGCTGAGTTGGAAGTCTGGGCTGGCAAGAAGAATTCTTAACATAATTGGGGGCTTTTTTTTACAAGGAAAATGCTGCATACTGTTAAGTGTGACTACATGGCATCACGAAAGGAAAGGATTGAATCCAAAGGCAAAAATGGCAGCTGAAAAGGTAACTCTGGTTCTCAATGCATTTTGGAGGAAATCTCCATCTATTAATATTGTGTAACTGCTTGGTACAGTTACTGTTGCTGCGGCACACCTAAGACAACATTTTGTGTCTTTTGTATCTTTGAATTTTTTTATAGCTGTAATTGATCCCCGCCTCCTTTTTGGTGTTGGATCCAAAGGTGTCCTTTTGTGAATGGAAACCCAACCCAAGATACCTCAACCCAGTCTGGCATTCATGCTGTAATAAATGCAAACCATTGTTCCAGTTTGACAAATAATGCACAGGTTATGCAATTTACCTGTAGTGCTCTAGTTCCTACCCACAGCTGAGAGTACTACCCTAGGCCAAGGAAGAGGTCCACCTCAGCATTGGAGATCATCATCAGTGAATGGATTAATTGTATGCTGATACACTGAGATGCATGTGGACTTTTCACAAATAAAGCATTTTGGCAGCATCCCTTTGTTTCACTACCACCTTGCAGAGAAGCAACAAACTGTTATCACGTAAAAGAAGCTGTCATGTTAACCAGATATATTCCCTGGGGACCACATTTTTTCACCTCTTTCCTTTCCCTATCAACTTTCCTCCATGTTCAAATGACAGAATGCCAGGAAGAACAAGAAATATAGGGGGGAGCATCTCATGCGGAACCAATTAGGCAAATAAACAATAACCTGTAGAGTGGGGCTTAAGGAGTAAGTAAATTTAATTGCATCAATTGAGGGTACCAGCTGCATCTGGGACAGCCAGAGTCTCCTCCACAGGTAATTGTCTGAAAGGTATCTACCTCCTGAAGGGGGAAGAGGGGAGATGAAACAAAACTGCACAGCTGGTAACTAATGAGAAACTTGCAATAAACTCACAAAGGAAGTTTCAGGAGTTGGAAGTGAGAATATATTTATGGCGGGAAAATAGATAGAGCATGCAAAGGACTCACATGTGGAAACAAACAAAAGTCAGTGGTGGGGCTTCAATTCCTGTACAGAGGGGCAACTTTGCTAACAGGACAGCCCAGCTCTGCTCAAATGCATGATTTTAGTCCTATTAGTAGAAGCAGAGGACTCTACCAGACTCCTGCTAATAGGACTAAATGCATGCATTTGAGGTGAATCCGTTGACTGAACTCTAAATCTGAAAATAATGAATTAATTCCAAATTTTTCATTTAGAGATGATAAATGTGTGTGTATGTGTGCAGAACTGAAGTCATCCCTTACTACTTGCTGCATTCTCCTTGAAGCAGAAACCGTAGGCCACTTTTGCTCACAAAGAGGTAAAAACACAATGTACATAGTTACATCTGCTTCATGGCAAGGGGAGAAAACCTGTGGCCATCCAAATGTTGTCACACTATAGCTCCCATCATCCTCGACCATACTAGCTGGGGCTCATGGGAGTTGCAGTTCAACAGCTTCTGGAGAACCAACATTTCTCACCCACGCTTTACAGATTACAAGCTTTGCCATGTCATGTGTACAGTGGTACCTCGGTTTTCGAACGTAATCCATTCTGGAAGACTGTTCGACTTCTGAAACATTCAAAAACCGAAGCGCAAAGGGTGGTCTGCAAATTTAATTGAGTAAATTGAGAAACACTCAGCGGAAGCCATTCAACTTCTGGGGCGCATTCAAAAACAGAAGCATTTAGTTACGGGTTTTTGGCGTTCGAAAACAGAAACATTCAACTTCTGAGACATTCTCTGTACCAGGAAATCTCATCATGCCTCTTTAGCAGTATTTTAGGCATCATTTCAAAGTGTATTTGGAGTTTATTTACTTACTTTGGCTTTGTTGTTTTTTGTGCTTTATAAAGAATGAAGGATAAATTGGTGATATTCTTAATTGTTTTTAAGCAGCATTGTAAGCCACTATGTTTGAAAAAGTTAGAACAGGCTTCCTCAACCTTGGCCCTCCAGATATTTTAGGACTACAATTCCCATCCCCCCTGACCACTGGTCCTGCTAGCTAGGGATCATGGGAGTTGTAGGCCAAAAACATCTGGAAGGCTGAGTCTGAGGAAGCCTGAGTTAGAACTATCTTAAATAAATAAACAGCTCTGCAAAATGGTTATAGCTAAACAAAAAGGGGTTAAATGGTCACTAATGGCATTGTATCAGTAATAGGAACTCCTGTGTCTGGCCATGCAGCCTATCATGTGACGACATCTCTGTGGGTGTGATGATGAGTGTGTGTACGATTATGTTTATGAACACAGGATAACTAGGGGGCAATTTTCATAGGAACTTAAGGAGCTATTTTATATGGGGTTAGACCATTGGTCCTTCTAGCCCTGTAGTCCTCAACCTTTCCAGACCCAGGACACACCTTCAACACAATTATTAACCGGGGGGCACTTCTTAATTCCCCCCCCCCCATATATTTGTATTGTGATAGCACTGCTGTTGCGACCCACAATAGACCATGGGGTTCAGGTGGTGCTGTGGTCTAAACCAGTGAGCCTTTTGGGCTTACCGATTGTAAGGTCGGCATTTCAAATCCATGTGATGGGGTGAGTTCCCATTGCCTTGTCCCAACTCCTGCCAACCTAGCAGTTTGAAAGCATACCAGCATGAGTAGATAAATAGGTACCACCGCAGAAGGTAAACAGTGTTTCCATTCGCCAGAAGTGGTTTAGTCATGCTGGCCACATGGATAAATGCCAACTCCCTTGGTCTGAAAAGCAGAGATGAGTGCCACACCCCATAGTCAAATTCGACTGGAATTAACTGTCCAGGGGTCCTTTACCTTTTACCTTACCATAAATCAGTGACCCAGTATTGAGTCCTGACACACCAGTTGAAAACCAATGATCTAGCCCATGTTTGCTTAATTATAACTGGCAGGTGCTCTCTAGGGTCTCAGGCAGAGAGGGGTCTCCTCTGTCATCTACCACCTGAGATTCCTTAACTGAAGATGCCAGAGATTGGCACTAGAACTTTATGCCTGCAGGGCATATACTGTGCAACAATTTCTCCCCATTCATACTGTACCATCAATCGCTGCAATTCTTGGGCTCTTTTCATGGTCACCAAGGGCTCTTTCTATTGCTCTTTTTCTTTCCTCCACTTGCATTTCTTGAGCATCTCCCACAAATTCTTTCTGTTGTCTGGGAGCTGGAGTAAACCTTAAATATTTGCTTTCCTCTCCACTGCTGCTACTCCCTGGTAGCTTACTGCTATATTCTTCCTTCGCAGAATCTTCTTTCTTTTCTTCATCGGCAACAACGATCTTTTTCTTGGGAGGCGAAGGCTTTTTGTCCAGACCCATTGCGATGATACACCTGGCAAAGGCAGAGTGGGAGATTATGAAAGCAGACCATGGATAATGGAAAGGACACAAACCATGGGGCTTTCCTGTGGCTTAAGAGCCTTGAAGAAACAACATCAGATTTACAGCTGCATCTTAGGTTCCTGTGCTTATATGTGCAAAGAAGTGCTTATAAGTGCAAAGAAGTGGGTTATATCCAATATTAATCAAGCTCAAAGGAGACACATCTACTGAAATTAATAGACATGCCCAACTTAGACCCATTAATTTCAGTGGGTCTACTCTGAGTAGGACTATCTGTGGATTCATAAGGAATGGTTGCAAAATGGCAATGCCATCAAACTTAGCTTGTTATGGATGGGGGGGAAATAGCATGGTTAACAGGTTGCAAATTGTATTGGAGAAATACGAAGCAGGCATATTGATCTGGGAAAAGAAGAAGAGCCTCTTTTAAGAGGAGTAGCCACAATTTTGTTGGCAGAGGATGAGAAAGGATGCAAACACATGTTTTTATCCCACAGCGAATCATACTTTGTAAAGATTTCTATAAAAAGAATTATTTGTCTGGTTTATTCCACGGTGCACCACTTACCGTATATACTCGAGTATAAGCCGACTTTTTCAGCACATTTTTAATGCTGAAAAAGCCCCCCTCGGCTTATACTCGAGTCAGGGTCCTTTCGGGCTGCTACTTCCTGCTCCTCCACCTTTGCCGCTGTTGGTGGCGGCAGCAGAGGAAGAACAAGCCCCTTTGGGGCTGCTTGTTCTTCCTCCACCGCCGCCACCACCAGCCTCTGGTGTGGTGAACCGGCTTATACGCAGTACGTTTCCCCATTTTTTTGTGGTAAAATTCAGTGCCTCAGCTTATATTCAGGTCGGCTTATACTTGAGTATATATGGTTCAAAATTATGTTTTCAAAGACTTGTAGAGAGTCTGTATTCCTACAAACTATGATTGTTTAGGTGTGATTTGTTCTCCTGCACTATCCTCTCCATATATATATATTTTCTTTTGCTCTATCAGGAGCCCCTGTGGGGACTTAGCAATCACAAGACAGGAAGACAAACCCTATTATGGCTTATGACTTAGGAACACATCGTCAAAAGAATTGGGGAGGGAGGAAGAAATGGACATATATCACAGTGCAATTGGGGGAGGGAAGGACTGGTGCTGTTTACTCTCTTCATAAGTGATCTGGAATCTGAGGTAAGCAGTGAAGTCATCAAGGTTGTAGAAGATATTATAGACGATAGAAACCTAAGCAGACTGCTAAAAGCTCTAAAACGGTATTTTCAAACTGGGTGCATGGGCAACAAAATAGCAAATGAGGTTCATAGCCATAATAATTAAAATGGTTAGAAGTGCAATCCTATGCATATCTACTAAGAAGAAAGCCCCACTGAATTCAATGGGGCTTATTCCCAGGTATGTGTCTATACTAGGATTGCATACTTAAGACTTACATGTTGATATGTCAGAAGTAAACATTCTTCCCTTATAAAAGATATTGTTTGAAGCATTTTGCTATTTTCCCAAGTTTTTTGGAGCAAATTGGCACAGAAACACACGCATGTAGCTAGTTTGGACGTTTACTGAAAAATACAACCACCTCTAATTTGCATGCTTTCCACTCCTCCGAACAGCCTTATCACACCAGTGATAGCATAACATTTACATACATTATGCAAATCTTACTCTGAAGAGAGGGAAAGTGTTTCTGGATAGTGGAATATGCTTATCTGAAAAGTAATTTGGCTCTATGGGGGTTCCCATTTCTTTCTTTTTCTTCTGCTTTTCGTTGTTATTTATAAAATATCCTATAACAGGGAAAGATGAGACTAGAAAATTTGAATGCATTCTCTTGCCTGGTACTACTTTGCAAATCAAAAGAAATGTTGTAGAAAGGAATGCTTCCAAGGAGAAATTGCTGCGTTGCCACTGATTTCAGCGAAAGACAAAAATGAGAGTCCTGGTGTGCCCATATTAATTTAATTGCAACATCAGAATAAACCAGGAAGTACATTGAAGACTCCATCCTTTAAAAGATGGCTGTGATCTATAATGTAATTTTTGAGCATTATTTTTATCTTAACCATCTTAGCATCGTTATTTCCTAAACAGACCTTGAATATTTAGGAAAAGATACAGCAATACCTGAAAGCACTTAATGAATACATTACTGGGATGCAGAGTTGAACAGAATTAGAAGACTCTCTTGTTCAGTCTACTGCTACAAAGCAGGACTGTTACCTTGAAAGCGCCCCACAAATCAACCCCAACCAAGCAAAGCCACAAAATGAGAGGAAAGCCATGCAAAAGTGGTGTCAACCGGTGAAACAGTTTCAAACAAATCAAGCAATCAAATGAAGCCATGCAGTGCCTTCATACTCGCGTCAATGGTTTATTGGTGTCTCGTTCTTAAGGTTTTTTGTTTTGTTTTTTGAATTCCCAGAATCTGAAAGTGCATCCTTGTTTAAAAGGTTTATTCTCTACTCTCCTTCAACTCATACGTGCATATGCACCTCCTGTGCCTCCTCAGTCTCTGTTATGCATTTGATGTCGCACGCTGCCACATACTCGAGTTCAAGAAACAGTAGAATAGCTGATCTAATTTTATGGCTATAGTTGACTATCCAGGGCTGCCTGTTTCAGCAAAACCAACCGAGAGTGGCATAACCCATAAATACTAACCAGCATATTGTGGCAGAAGCTTCCTTGGGTCAGCGCCAACTTTGTCAGATGCACCATGCCATCACGTACATTGGATGATGTGTTCTCAGGATCATGAAAGCTTCTGCCACAATTTAACTGCAAGTATTAAAATGGTGCTAATGGTGGGGTTTTGGGGCTGCATGAGGCTTCTCTTTTGGAGCTTGGAATCAGCAGGATCCAAGATGGCAGCCAGTTCGTGAACCTATAGCTGAACAGGTGCAGGGCCCTAAAAGAAGAGCCTGGCAGCAAATTCCAGAGCCGAGTTTCCTTCATGCCCATTTTATCTGCTACAGTCTCCAGGTCCCAACAGACAACCAACCCATTGTCCATACCTGTAGCAAGGAGCTGATCGTTCCACGTTGACAAGACCAAAGTATCCATGTTTGCCTCCCAGCCGAGTCCCCTTCCGATGTTTATATTCACAGCAGGTACTTAAGCGGTCCACTTGCATTCCATTGAGGTAAAAAGTGAGACTGAAGGGGAAGCCGTAATGCCGCTTGGAGACAAACTGAAAAGTTTCTGCAATTGAAAACAGCAGCAACAACACAAGACTGTTTTGAGCCTTTTCCACAGCATTTAAGGTGAGTTAAGAGCCGATTCAAGTGTACAGGGAAAGCATGTGGCACCTTATCGCTGGGAGGAGGTGGCACATATGAAAGATTTCCTGCATCAAGGGGAATGTGTGTGTGTGTGTGTGTGTGTGTAAAGGTGTGCCTGAGAGAAAGCTGGGCTCAAACTTTCTCAGGTGAGCTTTTTGGCATCAGAGTATTTCTACATTCAACCCTAACCCTGTAGATAGAAATGGCACTGTCCAAGAATGCCTCATCTGGCTTTTTCTGCTTGCTTCAGCTGGATTTAAAACGTGACAAGTAAGAAGCCCAATCATCTACTGTATTGACCAAGATGTTCTGCCACAAAAGGCCTGCAGAGCAAATAGCAGTTCAGAGAAGTGAAACCTGTGACCCTCCAGAGGCTGCTGGACTCCCTGGCAACCTATTGTCAGCCACTGGTCCACCATTACTATGAGACAGCCTTTCTCAACCTTGGGTCCCCAGAAGTTGTTGGACTACCATCATCCCTAGCTAGCAAGACGAGTGGTCAGGGATCATGGGAATAGTAGCCCAAAAACAGCTAGTTACCCAGGCTTGAGAAATACTGCTGTAAAAATTATTATAAAACATTTGTGAGAGTAAGCCTATAGAGCCTGGGGCTCAGGTACCTGTTGAGGCTGTGTTTGCTGTATATTGAGTTATCACTCTGATCTGAAACGCTCCCTCGGGTGAGACCACCTGCTGACGTCAAGTGGGTGGTGACTGGTGAGAGATTCTTAGTTTATGGCAAAATGTTTTGGAAACCTCTCCTTGAGGAGATTCACCTGGGCTTATGTTGTTATCGTTTCGATGCCAAGGAAATACTTTTGTTTCCTTCCCTCACTATGTAAAAGATGTTTATTTTCTTTCCTGATTCTCATTATAATGTTTCATCTCTTGTTCATTTTGTTATTTTAGTGATGCATTGTGATGTGTATGTGCATGAATTCTATTATACATCATCCTGGGAGCACTGCGTACTAAAAGTGGCAGGAGAGAAATTTAGCAAAAGAAATAACTAAGTTTAGGAAGAGGAAGCCAAAGCTCTAATCAAACTATAAACGTAAGGCATCTAATGTTGCCCAGTGGAGAGAATCTTGGATTCACCAGAGGCAACTATCTTCTTGTCAGATAAATTAATACTAAACAAGTAACTTGCCTCATTTGTTCTGTTGTGAGAATGAAAGTAGTTGCAACTCCAAAAAACTAGAAGGAACTTGCTTGCAACACTGCCATGGGTTGGGGCTGCAACAAAATGTTGCAGTGCAACATTCTGCTGTTCAGGATTCCAGCCTCTCCATTCCATTCTTGTTACCCATTTTCCATCCTCCCGATCACCCACTGCCAGAAGCACTCTATAGCTATGTTCTCATGCTCAGTCTTCATGAAGCCGTTTTTGAGGGATTCCCCTTTACCCTTTAGGGCTTTTTGTTTTCCTTTTTTTAAAAAAAAATGCCTTCAGTCATGCATGCTCTCCTTAGGTCACAGGCCCCACTGGTCATGCTTCACACCTGTGGTGGTTTTTTTCCTGGCTCTTTTTTGTCTTGATGGAAGCTACAGAATGCGTGCAGATACTAGCCTACTGTACTAGTATTTAAGCAGAGGTGGGGTGGCCATTTGTCATTGATGCTTTAGCTGAGATCCCTGCATTGCAAGGGGTTGGACTAGATGACCCCCAGGACCCTTCCAACTCTACAATTCTATGGTTCTATGTACAAAGGTAGCATTCACACTCATTGCCCCACATGACTTTATCTCTGGCCCCACCCACTACTTATATTTGACCTTCCGAAGGTTGCCCAGAAGGGAATTCATTCATTCATTCCTTTTATTTGTATCTTGCCCACCCACAGAGCTCAAGGTGGCCTATGTAGTTCTCCTCTTCCCTATTTTATCTTCACAACAACCCTGCAAGGTAAGAGAGAGGCAAGAGAGGAAGTGAGTGACCCAAGGTCACCCAGCAAGCTTCATGACTGAGTGGGGATTTGAACCTTGGTCTCCCAGGTCCTAGTCTGCCACTCTAACCACTACACCACACTGGCTCGCATGCTGAAAAGGGTTCGCCACCTGTGGTATGTCCCATCCAAGACCTCTGGGAATGGGCTATATTTATTTCTACATTGTATTCATTGCCTAGCACTACTGCAAATTAAATAATGTAAATTATATTTACTTAATTTATTATTTAATTCAAATAAATAAGTAAAATAGAGACTACATCCTTCCACAGCAATCGCCCTCTATCGTGCCATGAGATTAATTCTACCCAATGTGCAAGCCTTCCCTCAGATCAACATCGTCACCATTGATTCACGTTCAGAATCAAAGCTCAAGCATGTATTCATTTCCCTCCTGGAGTCATAAACAGCTCACCCTGATATATTATAGCTTCTTGTAAGCAGATAATTTGGTATTCATTTTACCCCTGCAAGCATTTTATTAACCATACATCTCCATCCAAAAATTAATCTAACCCGCTGTATTTTGCTAAATCACCGCTGTACATCCCCTTCTTCCATAATTTGCAAAAGTAATTGCAGCCTCGTTTTCAATCATGAAACAGTAAATCTAGACTTAGTTTGAGGCAGCTGGTATATACGTCCCTGGACACGCATAACGACACACAGCTTCGTGGAAATAATTTCGCTTCCACTTCCACAGTTTATCCACATAAAATAAAGAGTTTTCCAGAACTGAAATGAACTCTTGGGCTTTCTCATGCTTACCTCCCTCCAGTACTTTGGCTCTGAACACACACAGGTTTTCACCTCCACAGTGCTGTTGATATATTTTGATTTCCTCTCGGTTGTCTAAAAGGTCATAGGACAGGTGCACTGTTTTCCCCAAATAGATCATGGTAACATACGCATTGCTCTGTATTTGAGGCCTGTAGAACTTCACTGTCTCCTACATCAAAGAGCACAAAAGTCCACTGAGATACCTGCAGTTTTCCATGGCTGATATTTTCTGCTGTCAGTGTTCAGCAATCACACTCTGAGCATGTGGCAAGGCAGTGAGCAACTGGCAACTTGGCATGCACAATCCCTCTGCTAGAATCCAAAGCAATCACTTACGGCCTTCCCACTGTCTTGACACATATTCGAAATGCACCACATGGAAAGAGTCTAATGGACTAACCTAAGCTGATGTGGGTGGCACTGAGGTCTAAACCACAGAGCCTAGGGCTTGCCAATCAGAAGGTCAGCAGTTCAAAACCCCACGACAGGGTGAGCTCCTTTTGTTCGGTCCCTGCTCCTGCCAACCTAACCGTTCGAAAGCACGTCAAGTGCAAGTAGCTAAATAGGTACCGCTCCAGCGGGAAGGTAAACAGTGTTTCCGTGTGCTGCTCTGGTTCACCAGAAGTGGCTTAGTCATGCTGGCCACATGACCCGGAAGCTGTCTGCGGACAAACACTGGCTCCCTCGGCCTATAGAGCGAGATAAGCGTGCAACCCCAGAGTCGTCCACGACTGGACCTAACGGTCAGGGGTACCTTTACCTTTAAGCTGTTTGGGGCTGCACAGAGCATCACACGATGGAGAGATGTGGTACGTCAGAGGTAGAGAACATCTCATGCGGCAGTAATGGAAAAGGTGAATTCTATGCTGGAATTCTGTGTCCAGGGCAACTGGTATGCTGGCTGAGACCCTACCTGCCCGTGCACTGTCGCCAGAGTGGTACATGCTCTGGTTATCTCCTGTTTGAACTATTGCAATGCACTCTATGTGGGGCTACCTTTGAAGGTGACATGGGAACTACAACTAATCCAGAATGTGGCAGCTAGATTGGGTACCAGGAGCAGCTGCCAAGGACCATACAACACTGGTCGTAAAGGCTCTACACTGGCTCCCGGTCCATTTCCAAGTGTTGGTGTTGAGCTTTAAAGCTCTAAAACAGCCTCAGCCCCGTATACCTGAAGGAGCGTCTCCACCCCCATTGTTCAGCCTGGACACTGAAGTCCAGCTCCGAGGGCCTTCTGGCAGTTCCCTCGCTACGATAAGCAACGTTACAGGGAACCAGGCAGAGGGCTTTTTCTCAGCAGTGGTGCCCTCCCTGTGGAACGCCCTCCCATCAGATGTCAAGGAGATAAAGAACTATGCAACTTTTAAAAGACATCTGAAGGCAGCCCTGCATTGGGAAGTTTTTAATGTCTGATGTTGGAAGCCGCCCAGTGTGGCTGGGGCAACCCAGCCAGATGGGTGGGGTAACAACAACAACAACAACAACATCTCACTTCCAGCATAAAATAATAGGATCATTATGAAAGAGCTCAGAAATAAAACTGGCAATATCGCAATGGCATTGGAGAAATCTATGGTGAAACCACACTTGGAATACAGTGTACTGCTCTGGTCACCACACAGCAAGAAGAATACTGAAGCACTGTAAAGAAACTGCATCAGAAGTGCAGTAAAGAACAACTGGAATTCTGAGGAGTCTGAAGCAACCCACCTACGGAAAATATTAGTGTGGGGGGCTTTTTCCTTTAGGGGAAACGCAGGCAAGGGGTAATATGACAGAAGTATGCAGAAAGTGGATACAGAAAAATGTTCCCTCCTCTTTCATAATAATCCAGTGAAGGTAAATGATGTGACCAATGGAATTCACTGCCACACTTTAGGTAGCTTTATTAGACAAATTCATAGAGGATAAGTCTATCAGGGGCTACTAGTCACAAAGGCCATATAGGACTTCTAGGATCAGAGGCAGCGTGTTTGCAGAACTACAGGAGAGTGCTATAATAATAATAATAATAATAATAAATTATTATTTATACCCCGCCCAGCTGGCTGGGTTTCCCCAGCCACTCTGGGAGGCTTCCAGCAAAACACTAAAATACAATAACCTATTAAACATTAAAAGCTTCCCTAAACAGGGCTGCCTTTTGATGTCTTCTAAAAGTTTGGTAGTTATTTTTCTCTTTGACATCTGATGGGAGGGCGTTCCACAGGGTGGGCGCCACTACCAAGAAGGCCTTCTGTCTGGTTCCCTGTAACTTGGCTCCTCGCAGCGAGGGAACCGCCAGAAGGCCCTCGGCGCTGGACCTCAGTCTCCGGGCTGAACGATGGAGGTGGAGACGCTCCTTCAGGTATACTGGGCCAAGGCCGTTTAGGGCCTATTGCCTTCATGCCCTCCTTGTGGGCATCCCATAGGTATCGGACAGGAAAGAAAACACTGAACCAGATGGGACTTTGGCCTGATCCAAGATGTCACTTTAAAAAACAATCAATTTTATTGAAGGTTTTCAACATATAATACTATAAAAACCAGACAAAGATAATACCTAAAAAGTGCAAAATAATGAAAAGAGGGGAAAACAAACTAAAAGAAACAGAAACATACACAATATATGTGAGTGTGTGTGTGTTTGTTCTATCAACCTTCTATCTTCATCTTCCATTCACAAACAGAGATCCATTTTTATCTTAGTGCAATCCAAAGGTGAGGAGCCACTACAGAAAGCAGATCAGTTACATTCTGCAAACAGACAGAGTTTCAATTTGCAGGTGTATCAGTCTACATCCTCAAAGGTTTTAGGAGGAAATGTGATATCGAGGAAACATGAAAGCCAAAAATTATGGCAAAATCATATTACCTTCATCATTTGCTCCAAGCCATTGGGTGCGGTTGTTGGGCGAAAACGGCGGCCTCTCAGTGCCCCACTTTTCTTCTCACTTTTGGGAGGTGGTGGAATAGGTACCATAAAATTGTTCACGATAGGAAGTCGGTATGGGGATATTCCAGCTGAATAATCCAGAGATTTTAGCACCCCTTTCTCTCCCTGAAATATTTAACAGCAGTTAGCACCTATGCCTAACTTAAAATTATGCATTAAGTATTTGATAAACTTTTTTTGCTTAGAATTTCTCAGTACTTTAGATTCAATGGATTTTAAAAATCAAAAATAAATTTCTTTTTTTAAGGGGGTGAATACAGACCCACTTGTTCATTTCTGGTCTGCGATACAGATTCTCAATACATCCCACCCCTTTTACTGCTCCCCTAGGGTTTGGATTTCCCTTTGTCCTCTGCTTTTATGAGATAATATTTATGGGAGGTTTTCATGTGCATGTACTGTACCTCAGGGTTTGCCACAGTGAACTCTGTGTGAAAGGAAAGAACTGTGAGAAGGGCAAACCTGTGCTTGTAAACATGGAGTGGGCACATGCCAAGGTACACCACATCTCTCCCATTCACAGTTGACAGGGTTTCCTCCAGGGAACAAGGGGCACATGCACCGAGAACATTTGGTGCCTCATGTGTGAGGTTTGCACTTGCCAGAACATCCCCAGTGACTGTGGGTGTGCTGGAGAGCATCCAGTTGGCCATGTATCTGCATTCCAGTCATGAATCTGAATAATCACATGCCAGATCATGGCAGCTTACTAACTGAGGCAATTACAAAGAAAGTACACAATCAATGAAAGTGATTGGCAGTAGATTCAGAAAGTACTTCTCCGCACAACGTGTAAGTGATGAATAGAGTTCACTGCCAAAAGATGTGGCGAGGGCTACTGGCTTAGATGTTTTTAAAAAAGAGGATCAGACACACTTGTGGATCGATAGCTGTTAGCCATGACAGCTACATTAAACCTCCATGTTCAGAGGTAGTGACAGTACCAACGGCTGTGTTTCCGGGAAGAATCTGGCTGTTCACTGTCGGTGATAGAATGATGCTGACCTATATGGACCTTTGGTCTAACCCAGGGTTTCCTAAACTTTGATCTCCAGCTGTTTTTGGACTACAACTCCCATCATCCCTAGCTAGCAGGGAACCAGTGGTCAGGGATTTTAGTGCAAAAACAGCTGGAGACCCAACTATCTCAAAGGTCCATGCCCCTCCCAATGAACAGCAAATGCAGAATGAATGATGCAAAATAACACAAAAAAATGGAATGATAGATATCAGAAAAGAACAATATAATTTTGCTTAAGTTGGTACTAAGAGAAGTTACAAAACCAACTGTTTTTTGGGGGGGGGGCAGAATTTGAGTTACCCACTTCCTGGCACATGGAACTGGATAACTGACATCCTAGCACAGGCTTCCTCAAACTCGGCCCTCCAGACGTTTTTGGCCTACAACTCCCATGATCCCTAGCTAGCAGGACCAGTGGTCAGGGATGATGGGAATTGTAGTCTCAAAACATCTGGAGGGCCGAGTTTGAGGAAGCCTGTCCTAGCAGTTGAGTTTTTTTGTGTTAGGGAAGAGAAGAACAGGGAAGCAGCTAGAGAGAGTTTGGGGTACAGGTAGAATCAAAGAAGCACACCTGCTCAGCCAGGTCTGCCTTGATTCTGCTTGCAACCTGTGCTTCAAATTCTCACCCCACATCCCTAATTATTTGCCTCTATCAGCTCAATTGAAAAGGGGAGAAAGGGAGCTTTAAAACTGCATGTACCGGCACAGTATAATAATTTCACTTCGATTTCCAAAGAGTAAAAGAAACAGAAATTTCTCCTAGAACATTAGCCAACATAAGAGTTAACATCTTAAGCCTCAAAGAACTTGCTGTTGGACTACAGCTCCCATCATCCTTAGCTATGATATCTGGGGCAGGTGGGAGCTGGAATCCAATAATCTCTGGAGGGCACTGTGTTAGCTAACCTTGTGCTGGGCCATGAGTTAAGTATGAATACAGTGAGTGAGTTTATAATCATTCTTTCTACAGCAGCACTTGTATAAAAGAGCAAAGTCTGACCCCGCTGGCATATTGATGTTCTTTCTCATAGACGAGATGCTTTGGTCTAGAAGCAGCCTTTGGTGCAGGTTCATCTGTGGCACAGCTGAGAAGTGGCTGCAGTCGGACTGGTTGCTGTATGCTCCCTGGCGCGGTGCTTGGTCGAGGATAGGTAGCCTGGGCAAATTAAATAAATGGGAAAGTGGGAGACGCTTAGGAGCCGCTCACTCTATGTGACCTGGTGCTTTTGTTTCAAAGTACATAGGCTGAGGTCCAACACAGCTACTACTATCATATCCCATACTGCATAAATGGTCACGGGATCAGACCAGATGCTTTGCTCACTGTTCTGTCAGTAATAATTATGGTATTCAGACATATATTCTATTGGGAAGTCATGTAGACAAAATAAAGAACGATGTTTTTATAAGAGATTGAAGAGTCATCCGCTCTGGAGTTTAATGAGTATCTGAAGATGCTTGACTCCCTATTGTTTTATATTTGCAGCATCTGCACAACATCCTCCTCATCCAAGTTGGTTGGCTGTACTTTCCGTGTGTTAAAGTTTGATTTCCCCAAACCACAGATAATCCAGCAAGGAAAGAAAATCCAAAATAAAAATGCATGTTAACAGACTGTGGACACACTGAAGTGTGTTGTGTGGGTGAGCTTCTTCTTCTTCTTTTTTTACATTTGTGGTGACATTTTCTGGATGTAGTTTATGCACCCCCACCCCCTACTTCCATGCAGTTTCCATGAGCCCAAAGGAAAGGATGCAGCCTGCCCTTTTCCAGTGGTTGTTGCTCAAGGTAGGTGTGCAGTATTTTTATTTTTTAAGTAGCTATTTTGTGCAGAACTGCTCTTGCACAAAACAACTGTATTTTATATGGAAAAAAACATTTGCCCTTGCAGACATAGGAGGCAAGAAAAGAAAAAGGGAAGAAAGGCAGTGGAAACCTTTCTTGCAATTGACTCCATATTCTTGCTGGTCTCTGAGGGACACACTTTTAAAAACTGCTGTTTTGTGTAAATCTTGCATTAAAATAAAATAAAATGAAGGTGTGGATGTAGGTTCGCAAACCGGACACTACTTCCGGTTTTGCAGAGTTCGTAAACTGGGCTGTTCTTAAACAGAGTTCTTAAACAGGGCTGTTCTTAAACTGAGGTACCACTGTAACAGTATTTAAGGACACATTTCAACCAGCCAAAAATACTCAGGGAGGAAGCAAAGCGGGCCAGTGAGGGGCATGGTCTGTGAAGAGAGGGTGTTTGTTGATGGGGAGGCAATGTGGTATGGGAAGAGTCCCAACGGTTAGATAAAGAGAATTGGGGGGTTGAAGTAGGTCATCAGGCCTAGAGTTAAGTGTTGTTTTTTAGACAAAAGCAAAGAAAAAAATGTTACTGGTAAAAATAAATAAATCCCAATGTCGCAAATTCAGGAGTCTTAATACTTTGATTCCAGTTGGATCAAGGCTGTGGCCTGTGATGGCATAGCTGAAAGTTAAATGTAGGACAGGGTTGTAACAAACAAAACATGGCCTATGGGCCCTCTTCAACTCACCAGTTGACCTAACTGCCCCCTGTTGCCAAATCTGCGGCGCCCCAAGCGATTTCTTGGCCCAGTGGGTGGGTGTGGGGAAAGCAGGCGAGGTCCATCTTCCGCTGCCCTTCTTGATCGTTCCACCTAGAAAATTTAGATGCCTGAGAAAGTGGTATAGTTAAGAAACGGAAGATGCTCCCTGTTTGCCCTGCTGTGTGGAGAAATCTGTGAAAAGCAGTTTCTCAATTACTAAACCAGTATTCTGAGACCTCATAAGAGAGCCAAGACTAGCAAATGAGTCTTGAGGTATTAGTAAATGGGTTTTTATTTTCGTACAAATGTGGTTGTTGCTAGTCAAAAGCAAATCATGTCTAATAAGCTGTGAGAGAACACAGCCAATTATGCATTAAGAACAGAGAGAGAGAATTAGAGAGATGAAATAAATAACAATGCCATGGCTATATACATAGAAGTAACTGCTTACAGAATCTGACAAAGTTTCTTCACAGAATTCTTATCTCTCACACCAGTGATCCTATTCCTAGCACAGACAAAGAGATGCACAACATTCACAAAACAAGTTTTTGAGGTTTCCTGTAAGATGGAAGTGAAAAATATTTACCTTAACTCTCTGAATACGGTCTTTTCTGGCAGAAGTTTCAAATTTTCTTTTTATCTCACCCTGGTGATGACGCTAGTTAGGTGTTTTTAAAAAAAGAAAAGAAAAGGGAAATATCTTATTCACATGCACTGGAAGAAATAAAGTTTGAGGCTAATCTTCACCACTGCTCTGTGACGTGTTTTCCACCCATATTCACAAAACATGGGGGGAATGTATGTGTGTGCAGGAATGGGGTTCCTGTGTGTGACTTGCATAAAGCACATTACCAGGTGCATGTTGCAAGCTCCACAGAGCAACCAGTATGTCATTTCAACATTCTGGTTTGATCATACGCATTCAGCCTCACTGTGACATAATCAGCGCTCTGCTCGACATCTACAATAAATAAGTACTTTCCCAATTTTAATGTAGTTTTAAACCACATGTCATGTGACACTTCAGATATTGCTGGGCTAAAACTACCACCTTTCCTATCAGCTGCACTGTTTGGGGCCACCTTCATATAAATGTTTTCAGAGGTGGCAATGGTTGGCATAGGAGAAGAGGAGTGACCATTTTATTTTGCCCTAAACATACTGCCATGCATGGAATTATAAGTGTGAGACCCTGATTTGCACCGGGACCCTGTTGGGAGGGGGAGGGGACTTGAAGTGTCTGCATCACTTCAGTCTTCACGCAGATCAGGGGCTCTGCACCTGCCCTAGGCATTGGAATTAGAACTCTTATTTGAGCCAATAGAATCTCCCAACCCCCAATTCTAAAAACAGGCATAGGAGGACCAACCAAACTGGGAACAAATTATTAACACACACACACCCCTACAATTCTGTAGATGTTCTGATCTGAATCAAAGACCCTGTGCTCTTTAGAAGCCATTTTTGACATGATTTTAAGTAACAACCACTGAGCATGACTATTCAGAAGTTAAGCCCTATTGTGGCCAACAGGGCTACACCTAGGTAAATCTTACAAAAACCGCAAGGAACATCATGCCTCTGCTACTGTCACTTCTCTCTTTGCTGAGCTTCTCTTCCCACTCCTCAGGCCAGGCCCATGGCACTTTTCTGTCCTTTGGGGTCTTGTTACACATAATGGGGCAGCTAATGTAGTCCCCACCCCCGGTGTTGTTAAACTACAACTCTCATCAGACCTCTGTTCCACCCTTTGCATTTCACACCCCTTGTTTAGAGACCACTGATATTTCCCTTCCAGTCCTAGGCCTTGCCCGTAACTATCCCTGGCCACACAGAGCCTTTTCCTACGCTTGGTCTCTCACAGAAAAGGGAACATGGAGAAGGGAACAGCGAAATTTCTAATGTACTCCAAACCAAGTAAAACGATTCCTTTCTTATCCCACTTCCACTGATGGGGATTCCAGTCTTGACAAGCAGGGGAGTTGGAGAGAAGGTAATGCAAGTCCACAGCAAAACTCTCTTTGTGAATTCCACCGGCAAACTGTTCAAAACCATTGTGTTGGATGATCCATAAGGTCCCTTCAAAGGTCCTTGGGTGAGCAAGGTGTTTCTGCTGGTGTTATTTGGCTGACCGGGGGGGGAGGGAAGGCGATAGGTGACTGCTAAATTATCTCCATGTTTGTATGTGACGGCGGGACCTCCCTTAGAATTCCATGATTCCAAGGCAGTTGGTCTCAACTGCTGCTTTACGCTCTACACAAGAGAAAGTAGCCGTGCCAAAAGGAAGCATAGCATGAAAGCTGGCATCTTAGGAGGGCTCAAAAGACCTGAAGTCCAGGTAGAATAACCTGCATTATGGGTTGGGCTCCTGCATCATAGATATATAGATACATAGTGATTCGTGCACCTTAACATTGCACAGGATCAATCATGGAAGGGCATCAGCATCACAAAGGGAAAACAGAAGGCAGGAACAATCCATGAGTGGAACCAAGGCAGAATGGGGCCTACCTGCAGCCACATTTCCACCTTCTGTGTGAATGAGATAGCGCCTGCTCCTCCCTGCCCTGGCTCGCTCCTTACATCCATGCCCCTCTTTGTTATTGCTGGCTGTCCTTGACCTTGGGTGTTCGTATTGGTAGATGTGAGCATGTATCTGATGGGCTGTAATAGGTTCTTGAGTACACAGGTGGAACATGACCTCCTGCTGCCTTGCCCTCAGGAGATGACTGCGTGGAACCCAGTGGCTGTAGGGAACTCTTGCATTCTGAGATGCTCACGCCACTTTATTGGTTCTGACCAATTGCAGGCTATTCGTGTGTCTTTCCTTCCTCCCTTAACTTCCTCTTCCCTGCCAATATGAAATTATTGGAGAATGTGTTTTTGCTATGATTTAATATTTCTCAGGCCACTTGCAAATTAGTGGAGGAAAAATTTACCTGCTCGTGCAGGCATTTTATTGGAATTTACTCCAGATAAATAGATCTAGTCCTCTGATTCTATCCTCACAGTCGCTAACACACTGCTTAGCTTGCTTGCAAGCATGTGCATTTAATTCAGAAAAAAAATGTACAAACCAACTAAACAAAAGCAAACAAGCAAATCTACGGGGCACACATAAAAACAATTTGCCAGTAAATACCCAGGTAAAAGCTTGACTCTGCACTGGGATGTGGTTATCATTGGAGGTAGTATTCTTGTTGCTATTAGACTTGTGTTTTGTATAAAAATAAAACAATATGAATTATAATACCCAGATAATATTAGCAACATTTAAAGACAAAGACTAAATTATGTACCTAGGTCGGCTTGTTCAAACAAAGCAAGTTTTCAGCAGGAATCTAAAACAACATAGCAAGGATGCCTGCCTAATGTCAGTAGGCAGGGAGTTCAAAGGTTGTGACTCTAAATGGTTTACTCCATTCAGACGCAATACAAGCATTATGTGGCACGCGCAACAGTGTATGTTCCACAAACTGAAGCAGTCAAATAGGCACATGTAGGATGAGATGATCCTTCAATCAAACTGGTCCCAATCTGTTAAGGACTTTATGTACTGATAGCAAAACCTTGAAGGCATGGTTTAGAGTGTCAGAAAAAATCAGATTGCTTCTTAACAGAATTTCACAGACTCTTCACTGCTTGTTCATAGTCAGAATGAGTAAAGGGGTGGATATACCTTGTGTTCTTGCATACATTTCATCATTACTGAACCATAATAACTCTCAAATGTTCCTTAATCGCTCTACTGTCCTGAGAAATGGGTGTTCAGAATTTGCTGGTCGCTAAGTCCTAAAGTGTTGCAGACTCCTCAAGCTACCATGTTCCCTACCAAAGGTTAAATTTGCATGCTATTGCCACACCAGGAAGTTTTCTCAGTAATCCTCCTGGAATAACACTATGAATATTTCTTTTTAACAGCCTTTAGGAGAAGTAGCCTTAATGTAAACCTACTTCCATGTCAAGCACCTTGTGGAATATGGCCTGGGCCAAACATTCCCGTATATACTTATGGTGATCCTTCCTCATAGCATTTAGCTGATATTCCTTCTCTGATATTATTCTTCCACTTCTTGATATCTGCCAAGAAAAAGTAAAATGTAAGTACAGAGGGTGGTAGAAGATGCAAGATTCAGGCAACTTTGCCAAATATGTGTGTATTAGCCACAATCTAGTATGTCTTGAGGTCCAATGTACCCAAGGAGATCAATATGAACCAAGCCTTCCTCATTTCCTTTCATTGTCAGTGAAAGCTTTGCTAAAAACCTAGCAGAATGATATGCTCACCCCTTGAAATAGCTTATTACTATTATATGATGATGATGGTGAGGATTTAATTTATTTTCCATCTTTTGCCAGCAGGTGGTCCCAAGCAGATTACATTATAAAATTCAGAATTAAAAACAGTGAAAACATATCACAGTCACACAGGAATAGGGTAAGAACTCTGCCTGCTAAAAAATTGGCAGAGGAAACTAGAGGAGATTTTTTTTAAAAAAAATCACAACACAGTAAAGGAAGAGCCACTGGTTGTCTACCCTGTCTCTTGTTGTTCTTTACTTATTATCAATCTCTTTAGTGGCTAATGTCCTGTTCTCCTACTCCTTCTTAACTCCTGGAGAAAATCTTCCATTAAGAAGAGAGGAAGTCAGATAAACAAGGGGTGGAGAAGGGGTAGCCAATGTGGTGTTCTCCAGATGTTGTTGGACTACAGTTCCCATCAGCCCTAGTCAATACGGGCAATGGTGAGCGATTATAGGAGTTGTAGGCCAACAATTCTCAGGGCATCATGTTGACCATCCTTGGAGCAGAGGATAAGCCACCAGCTCTCGTGTCCACTCTGTGTTCGTGCAATTCCTATCCCTCCCACCTTCCTCTGCCTGTTGATCAGGAAGCCTTCAAAATGGTCAGCAGAGGATGTTCCCACATTGTGTGATTGTTCTCATGTTGTGAGTGTAATGTGTAGCCAAGCTCTAAGGACAGAACACAACGATGTGCCTTCACTCCTTACATGCTATGCCAATTTGTGCTATGTGGTTAAATGAGGTAGGAGACCTTGTAAAGTATCCAACGTAGCACAGAGACATTTAGGACCCCAGCCTGAAAGTCCATTTCGGCATCCTCTTTAGAAGACTCTTCTTTCATTTTTAAGCCTTTAAGAGCAGTCTTCCAATTCACTGGAAGCATGCACTAACGTACTAGGTTCATTGAACGACTTAAGAACAAATAATGCCTGAAAAGCTATGTAACAGAAGCACGGGAAGAAACGGCTTAAAAGCAGGCTTACACTTTGGTGCCATTTGTGGGTAGGAATGACTTGATGCAACTACGCTCAGAAGCCCAAGCCCTATGCCAAGATAGCAAGTATATGCAGACCTAATCCATCTATGTCACCAAAAGGTCTCCAGTAGCATTAAAATGGGTTGCTGCTGTATTACTGATAGTAAGTCATGTTTATTAAGATGGAACAAAGCTCCAGTTTCCATTAATACTTCTTCATCAGTCATTCCCAGTGTTAGACGTCTTGAGCACGGAACGGTCTTATTTAGCTTCAAATGTCACTTGAAAATGCTAAGTGCCTCATTAGGTGGCATGATTCTCCTCTAAATAGCTTTTATTCAAATGCCTTGTGACCAAGGAGTCCACTCTTCCACATTACCAAGATTACCCAATGGGTTCTCATTTATCTGTATTCCATGAACGGACAAAGTCTACAGCTCAAAAGCAATTCATCGGAACACTGCCTTTCCCACCTGGAAGCTGTAGACTGCCCCCTGATGGCCAGGAGGATGAACTATGACACACCATTAATTTAAAGCACATGACTTCCCGCAAAGAATTCTAGGAGCAGTAGTTTACCCTCACAGAGCTACAATTCCAGCATCCTTAAAAAATACTGTTCCCAGGATTCTTTGGGGGGAATCCCATGTTTTAAATGTGCTTTAAACATATGGTATATACACATCCACTTTCCTTTCTGCAATCTCTATGCCAAATAATAATAAATAACAATAATAATTCTATTATTTGTATGCTGTCCATCTGACTGGGTTGCTCTAGCCACTCTGGACAGCTCCCAACAGAGTAGTAAAATCACGATAAAACATCAAACTAAAAATACGATAAAACATCAGATAGTTTAGTCTGAATGGTTACACTGGAAAATATCCTATTAAGGCTGTGGTCCTATACCTGGTTACCTCAGAGCAAGTCCCACTGACCTTAATACAGTGGTACCTCTGGTTGTGGACACGATCCGTTCTGGGGTGCCGTTCACACCCTGGAAAGTCTGTAACCAAAGTGGTGCTTCTGCGCATGTGTGAAGTGTGATAAAGCGCTTCTGCGCATGCATGAACTGTGCAGAACGCTTCTGCGCGTGTGCACGCAGTGAAACCTGGAAGCAAACACTTCTGGGTTTGCCGCGTTCTTAACCCGAAAAAACGCAACATGAAGCGTTGGCAAGAAGAGGTATGACTGGAGGGCTTACTTCTGAGTAGACATGCTTAGGCTGCAATCCCATGCACACTACTGAAGGGCAAATGGTGTTCAGATCAGCGGAACTTGGTTCGAGTTAACATGCATATAAATGTATGCTTAGATGGAGTTATGTTCCCCATTGCGTTGTTAGGCTTTCTTTGAGAAAAGAGGAAGGGAGGAAGTAAATAAAATTAGAGGGATTATTTTTACAGGATATGTTAATACTGGAAAATGTTCGCAAAGAATGAGTGCAGGGGAGGTCTGCAGTATTTAGTGGGCAGGTGCAAAAATGTTTACGGAAACTTTAACTTTTGTGAATGTTGCATTGCCGGAAGGCATGATCACATTAAATATCTGTAACTACAATTCTGATCTCATTTAACCTTAAGTTTCAGATTTTTGTTAATAGAGATTCGTATTGTCACCTATATTTAGAACCAGAAGGAAGAGGTATGAATATTTTGAACAAAACTACACTAAAGGGGGGGGGGAACGACCCCACAGAACAGTTCCATTAATTGCAGTGTTAAGTCACAAGAGCAAGACAGTTTAAAAGCACCAGTATGCCAGATTTACCTATTACTGCCTTACTCACATATAACATTAGATATTTAAAGAGAGTGGGGGCTTCTAGCAAATGGGGCAAGACTTTCATTAACTGGTGACCAAGTTTCAGTTCTTCTATTAATCAAGAAAACCATAGCCTAAAAGTACACCGTTTCAATTTCAGTTCATCCACCCTCCCAGTATGCACCACATTTTATATCAGCAATTCTACTTTATTTTCATGAGGCCTGATTTTGTAGCAGTCATTATTCTTTTTAGCCCTTCATGGTTGATGTTACATAACTAGCTGCTGTAAGCAGCAGTTCCTCAATTTTGCATCTCTTTGTTTTTCAGGTTTAATTCACACAAACACCCCCCATCCCTCAGCTCCTCACAAAAGAGAGCATTTGTCACTGAGTTTCTCTGTGTTTTAAAAATATTAGGTGCAAATCAGGCAATTGCCTACAGTCAGACCTCATCTGCACTATATATTTAAACAGTAATATACCACATTAAACAGACATGGCTCTCCCTAAAGAAACTGGGAACTATGGTTTGTAAAGGAAGCTAAGAGTTATTGGGATACCCCTATTCTCCTCAGAAATCTACATTTCCCTGAGTCTTTTAACAATGAACCCCACTTGCTAGGAAACTCTGAACCCTGTAGCTCTATGAGTGGATAGGGGTTTCCTCAGCACCCTTAACAAACTACAGTTCCCTGAATCCTTTGGGGGAAGCCGCAACCATTTAAATTGGTATGATGTGGCTTTCAATGTATAGTATAGATGAGATTTCCAGGCAATGTGGGTTGTTCAGTGAGGAAAAGGAAGTTAAGGAACCACAAATGGAACATTCCATCATGGGAGCCATTATTTCGTGTCCCTCTCACCTACTGCTCTATCAATAGGTGAAGTCCGGCACAGATCAGAATTAGAATATCCCACTGATGTAAACAAAATGAAACGTCTTCTGTTTTCCAGCACTTCAGCAAAGTCAGAAGCAACTTGTTTTTGATCCATAAAAATTAACCTTGCACAAAATTATTCCAAATGGTGGTTGCCCACCTGGTCCACTCTCACCTGGGCTGCTTGATTTCCACTTCTGTACAGTGGACTCAAGTCACTGTAAATGTGAGTGACAGGTCAATTGGCCAATAATGACAACCCTGGAATAGAAGACACCCCTTCCACATCACCTGTGAGAGGGTCCATTCAGCTCAATCCTACAAACGTTTACTCAGAAGTAAGTCCCACAAAATTCAATTGGATGCTCCCAAGGAAGTGTGCAGCCTTTGTGCAAAATGCATGCCATGTAATGCTGCCACATTAATTGGTCAACTCTGGATGCTGTCACAATGATTTGTGACAGGTGTGGTCAAAGTAATAACAGGTGCGCTGACATACATTATTAGGAAAGCCACGGCACCCAGGCTAGGTAGTAAATGAAATACAGTGGTACCTTCATTAACTAACAGCTTAGTTTATGAACAACTTGGATTAGGAGCGCTGCAAACTCGGAAGTAGGTGTTTTGATTTGTGAACTTTGCCTTGGAATAAGAATTTTTTGCTTCCTGTTGAGAGTGTGTTCCATTTGTAAACTGAGTCCCCCGCTGCTATGGGAAAGCACGCCTTGGTTTAAGAATGCTTTGGTTTAAGAATTGACTTCCGGAACGGATTAAGTTCATAAACCAAGGTACCACTGTATGCCCCAAATGCTTTTTCTTGGGTGGCGGCAAGGGCAAGAGGCTAGGGTATGAAACCGAATGCTAAAAGTGTCACCACTTAGCCACTGTATGTGGATCAAATTCCCACTCAGCTGGCTCCCTGGGTGATCGTGGGCCACTCACTTTCTCTCAGCCAAACCAATTTCTCAAGGTTGTCACCAAGATAAAGGGTAAGGGAGAATCATGCATGCCATCCTCAGATCCTAAAAGGAAGGGTTGGATAACATGCATTTCAATAAACAGATGTGCTTAATTTGGGAATGAGAAACTCAACTCCCATCAGTCCCAGTGGCGTCGCCAATGGTCATGGACGATGGGAGTTGTAGTTCAACAATAAGTGAAGGGCCTTGGGCTCCTCACTCCAGGGCTCAACGCAGGGAAACTGACAATAAATATTTGCATACTTACCAGCCCTGATCTCCGCAGGTGACGTCTAATCCGGGTGTTGCTGAAGTAGCCTGCCAGGTGCTTGTCTGTTAGACTGTTGTAATTTGCAAGTAATCTGAAACCAAAAGAGTCACTTGTAAACAGTCGTAAAAAACAACAACCCAGAGAACTGTTTACCTTAAAATGCAAGGAACACACACACATATACACAACACCCTGGCAAAACAACCCACATAGTTACCTAGGTAACTTTTGTCAGGGCTAAGAGAGGTTCTATGCCAACTTCCCCAACCTGGTGCCCTCCAGAGGTTTTGGAGTACAACTCCCATCAGCTCCAGCCAGTACAGGTTGGGGAAGGCTGGAAGTTGTATCTGCACAGTTACACCAGCATTTCCCACAGCTGGTGTGTTTAATTAAGGTGCTCACAGAGCTATGTGTGTGCTTAAAGACCTGCCCTGGCCCAAGAAGGGTGATGTCTACACATGGGCATTTAAAGAGGTGCATCTGGCTTAGATTCTTTGTGCACCTCCTGAGATAAAGGCATAGTGGGAATAAGCCTAAGTAACCCCTCTTTTGTGGGACACGGGTGGCGCTGTGGGTTAAACCACAGAGCCTAGGACTTGCCGATCAGAAGGTCGGCGGTTCAAATCCCCGCAACGGGGTGAGCTCCCGTTGCTCGGTCCCTGCTCCTGCCAACCTAGCAGTTCGAAAGCAAGTCAAAGTGCAAGTAGCTAAATAGGTACCGCTTCAGCAGGAAGGTAAACGGCGTTTCCATGCGCTGCTCTGGTTCGCCAGAAGTGGCTTAGTCATGCTGGCCACATGACCCAGAAGCTGTACGCTGGCTCCCTCAGCCAATAAAGCGAGATGAGCACTGCAACCCCAGAGTCGGCCACGACTGGACCTAATGGTCAGGGGTCCCTTTACCTTTAGCTTTAACCCCTCTTTTAAATGCCAAGCAAGCCAAGGAAACTTATGCCACCTCAGCTTAAATGAAATGGTGAATACAATTATTATTAGCTCACCTTTCTTTTCCCTCAGTTCTCTTGTTGTGTGTTAACCCTGTGGCTTTTAGCTGGTGGATATGCTATCAGGATGTTGTGAGATGGTAAACAAAAGGTCTCTTGGTGAGATGAAAGGGTGGCATAAAAATATTCTCTTCAGAAAAGAACATTGACAAAAGCCAAAGACTTACAGGAAGTTTATTTTTGGTTTCACAATGATCCCGAAGCCTACACCAGATAAATTGAACTTTAAGCAGACAATTTAGTTTGACGTGTTATGCCTGGTGATTAAACACTGGCGCTATAGCAACTGTTTTATGTTACTTTCCTTATCACAGTAGTTGCATTTGCATCTGAAACTGCCAGATTACAGCAATTATGCCACGCATTGATTTATAATGTCTCCTGGCACTAGTGTGCTGCATGAATAGAGGTGTAGGGGGGAATAAACCTACCCCAATATTCTTTCATTTACTTCCTTCTCAGTATTTCACGGGCCAGATACAAGTTAAAACACAGATATCTCAAATATCACAGATATCACAGGGATGGAGCAACGCTAGCTGCTGAACTACTGTGTTACATTTCAGTTGTGGATAGTCTCATTTCAGCAAAACGTCCAAATTCATTATAGGCTCAAAGAGCACTTTGTTCAAAAGCCAGATTTAAGGTTGCAGTGCTCAATAGAATAAATGTCAAGTTCTTTTTCTCTGATGAGCAATTATTATTACTAATCCCAAGAGAGATGTTAGCTAGCTATGGGAGTCCTCACTTCTGACCTTTTGCCACGCACCTGCTCATGAATACCCGTAGATCAAGGGTGGATAATCTTTGGCCTTCCAGATATTGCAGAACTGTAACTCTCATCAGCCCCATCAAGCATCGCCAATGACCAACATTCCCCACACTTGCCATAGATCATGACCTGGACAGTTTGGGTTCAACCTGGAGTTCTCCATGAAGATCCCTGGGCTACGGTCTGGGTCAGATAACTCAACGCTGGCCAGTCTGTCAGCTACAGTATAAGTGAATGCTTAGCATTCACAGCGTATGATTGCAAGGAGGCAGCATTACTCCCCACGGGCAAGAATGGGGCAGATTCAGATCCAGTGAAACCCTGAGTTTCTTTTGATTAAGGAAATTATGTGTGTCTAGTTGGAAGATATGTAATTTGTTGGTCTTCTTACAATATTTGGCTTTACTTCTATTTGCTGCTAAAAACACTGTTTAGCATCTGAGCATCATGTGCTAGGAGAAGCCCATTACTGGTCCCCATTCTTTCTCATCCCCATGCATCATCACGTGCCTCCCCTTTCCCCTCACTGGTAAATATGCACAGGGATATACATCAGGGATTTAACCATACAAAGAGACACTTCTATATCCAACTGAGCCAGGCCAGTCCCCCAAACCCTGTTTCCACAGGTGTTTTGGATCACAGAGAAAGGCTTCCAGCTTTGATGATCTAGCTTCTAGGCAGACTCGGACCCCAGCCTCTTTTGCTTTTGAAGAGTCTGTAGTCCGTGAGAAAGAAATGGGCTCCTTTCCCACCTAGCAGGTCCAATACAATAAACTTTAGTATGACATCACTGGTTACGTGTGGGCATGGTTTCCACCCTGTTAAAGAAATGTATGCCTTTCATTCAAACAAATGATGCATGCGTGTGCACACACTATGTACTGAAAGACCAGGTTTCTGTTTCCAAGTGTTAACAGCAAACCATAGTACACATATTATGTTTTCAACACTGGAAAGACCACAAGCGAACAACATTCTTCTAATGTTACCTGTTCCTGGCAGTGCATGAAGCACTGTTTGTTTACCACAAGCCTACTAACCATACCTGAGACAAAAGAGAATAAAGCATCTTCATTGGGGTGGTGATAGAAGAGTAGGAGTGAAGTGTAGAACCACAGGCAGCAATGAGAAGAGCTTCCTCCTAGCACTGGAATAATTCCCTCAGTCACTCGTTAGTTCCTGAAGGGCTTGCTCCCCAAACACAGTCGTAGGTCCTGCAAGCCCTGAGCCTTACTTGTCCCAACCATTGCTTAAACTCACTGCCTCCTGTTAGGGTGTGCAAGCACACAACTCCAGTCAGAAAGGGGCACGATGAGGCCACCAGCCATCAAGGCCTAATCATGCAGAAACGCAGAACCATAACCCTTACGGCTTTATCAAACCAAAGACCTGCCCCCTTGGCAGGTTATGATGCAAGATCCAAATATATTATCTGCCCTTTACTACTGTCACGGTACTTTATGTCCTGTAAACAGTGTTGCCTTTCAGAGCAAATTTCTGTGACTCTTTTTATTGATTTGAAAGTAGATTTGAACATAAGACTTCGTAAGTCTCTAACATTATTTTTTAGAAAACAAATCTTCACAGTTAATTGTTCATGGTGCAATTAAGTTAGCAATGGTACACCAAAGAAACAATCTGGAAAGATCCTAGTTATTGATCGGTAGAGCCAGTTACAGGGAGTTACAATCTCTGCCTTATAGTTTACAATTGCACTTTATTGCCGATTCTACACTTAAGCTGAAATGAGACCCAACCGCAACCGAGATATTTTCCCAGGTTTAATAGCTTTAATACAGTGACCAATGTGGCTTTATTTCCAGTTGTGATAAAGAAAACTGACACCTTTGCAAACAGAATAGCAGCATTACCCTACATACGTCTGTTCAGAAATAAACTCCATTAAGGTAAATGGGTCTTGCTCCTGGGTAAATATATAATAGTGTACACACATTCCTGTTTACTCTGCATCCAGCACACTCCCACTGGAAAGTGGTGTACACTCAACATCAGTCACAATCCATATCTATCCTGTATATATCCTGTTGTTTCTTATGAAATACTCAGTTTTCCAAAAACCTGCTTTGATCTGAATTGAGAAAAGAGCAATGTAGCTGCATTTAAGCTGGTGTTGTGTACAGACCCTTCATTTAACAGGAAACTGAATGTTTCTTGTAATATGGAAGTCCCAGCAGATTATATACAACCCATTAAGATACATGAAGTCTCATGGCAAGGCTAGTTGACCAATCACTCTTGAGATCTTAGTTAATTTTTGAATGTTTGCTTTTGTTCCTTTAAGAGTCACCACTGAATCTGAAAATGGTCACAGTACACATGCTACCAGGAGAAATTATGGAAGAATTTACCCAGGCTTTAACTGGTCAAATGGCAGGTGAATGTTAGGACTCAGCTACATTAGTAAAGGGAAAGCATTTTATATGCGTTATAACACTGTGACACCAGGTGATGCTGTCGAGTTCTGTCTTTCGCCAACGTTATTTCCCTCATTGAGGTTTACAACGTGTTTCCCTTAAACACTTTTTTTCCCTCAGTGTGTCTAGATCCAGCCTCACAGTAAGGCATGGAGCATGATGCATGATGCAAAGGCATAGGAAGTGGAACAAAGATTTGGTTGACTTTGCAAAGTTATATATATTTCACAAGTTCCAATAATCACTATTAAATTATGATGTTTGGTTTTACATTGAGTTCTATTTAAAGGAAATGTTGTTTCAGTGTATTTTAAAGTTTTTCCTCACGCTAGGGTTGTGTGAACAATGAAAAGGTAAAGGTAAAGAGACCCCTGACCATTAGGTCCAGGCGTGACCAACTCTGGGGTTGCGGCGCTCATCTCGCTTTATTGGCTGAGGGAGCCGGCGTACAGCTTCCAGGTCATGTGGCCAGCATGACTAAGCTGCTTCTGGCGAACCAGAGCAGTGCACGGAAACGCCGTTTACCTTCCCGCTGAAGTGGTACCTATTTATCTACTTGCACTTTGACGTGCTTTTGAACTGCTAGGTTGGCAGGAGCAGGGACCGAGCAACGGAAAGCTCACCCCGTTGCAGGGATTCGAACCGCCCACCTTCTGATCGGCAAAATCCTAGGCTCTGTGGTTTAACCCACAGAGCCACCTGCGTCCCGTGAACAATGAAAAGTAAGTTGTAAATAATTTAAATAGACGTTGTATTGTGTTGATGGCTGTAAAGCCTCTGGCACTGGTTGGCTGAGAAAAGACTAATAGTATGGAATGTTTCTAAACATTTAACTTGCAGAAGCAAAACTCTGAGGAAGTTTGCAATGTGCCTTCTGTGATAAAATGGAGCTGCCGGTCTGGCTGGGATTAAAAATCAACTCAACATGGGACCTGGAGCCAGAATTAGAACTATTTTTCAAAGGCAGAATGAGTACCGGAAAAAGCTCTAGAAGATAGGGAACCCAGAATAGATGGAGGAGAGGAGGCTTGGGAAAAGGGTAAGGAAGGCCAGGGTCTCGCAGTCAAGAAGGGGTTAATAAGAGAGGGGTGCTGAATAAATGTTAATGCTGAGGTCTGGAGAGCCTTGAAGGAAGAGAAAGAGGCTTAGGTGATTGAGTAGCAAGTGGGCTAATAAAACAATGCATGGGAATGGTCAAGAGATAGAGTTGAAGGATTGAAGAACCAAGGTGAAGATGGGTCTCTGACACAAACACTTTTATATGGCCAAGGATCACAGGAGGCAGCAGTATTGATAGGCAGCAACGGAAAATAGTAGGGCTGGAGCTTAAGGCCAGTGATCCAGCATTGGCCACAGGTGAGGAACCTGCTGCCCTCCCAATGTTTGAATCTTCGAACTGCAGAGTTGGGAGGGACCCAAAGAGTCATCTCATGCAGCACCCTCTGCAATATTGAGCCTCAGTACCCAAGAGCCACAGATACGATGGCATGGCCAACAGTCAGGGATGATGGGAGTTCCAGCAACATCTGCAAAGACCATATGTTCCTCACTCCCAGTATATACCCTGATAGGTCTATAGCAGCTTTAAGAGTTACACAGAAGGACAATTTTGTCCACTGTGGCTTCTAGTTGTCACTAGTACCTTGTCAAAAAGGTTTGCCTGAACTATGTGGAGAGGCTTTGTAGAAGATCGTAGAAGATTAGCCTAGTTTCCTGTTCCTCTCCCTGCACATTCTATTTATGACACTATGTAAAGCTGCATTGCATATTTTTGCTATGTCCTGGATATCACCCACTGAGTTCAATGAGACTTAACAGGTAAGTGGGTATAGGATTGTAGCCTCAGTTAAGTTTAAGTCACATTGAAATCAACGGAGTAAGTTAATCATTATGTAAATGCCATTGGTTTTAATAAGAACCAAGCGCAACTAACTTAATCTGGATCCCTTAATTCATAATAGGTCCATCATTAATTGAACATCAGAGCACTCCATGGATCAGATTTGTGTAATAGTCCTCCCAGAACGATGCCAGATACAGCATTTCAGTTGGCATGGCTTAGCATGGATAATTTTTTGCCAAAAACAAGTTATATGGATTTGTCTTCATTAAGTTAATCTATACACACAGCTTCAGGGGTTATCTTCACTAAAGCTCATGTGTTTAAAACACTCAAAGTTCACTTAAAAATAATCATCTGTCCAAGTTCAAAACAAGTGTGAATATTACCCAATAAAAAGCTAGATGTTTTAGCAAATTAAGCAATTCTCAAATAATTAATTAGAAAACAAAAAAAACAAAAAAAACAACAACAGCCAGTGTTGACAATGGGAATTGAAAGTCAAAGTTATTGTTGCATCTCTAATGCAAGAAACTTGTGATGATTTAAATTTGGATCCCCTCCATTTTCTTCTTCTTCTTTGAAAAGGTGATAGATACAAGGGAAAGGGAAAAGAAAACCTTAAATTAAATGCAAGACAAGCTCAGAGATACTTTGCCTCCCAGCCTTTATTTCTGATGGCTCATTACAAGAAAGCAACTCATCACAGTTGCTTTAAAATATCAGTTTTACTACATTTAAGTTGCATAAAAGACTTATCTGGTTGAATAGCAAGAGCTGCCAAATTTGTATTTAGGCAGGTAACTCAAAAGGAGGAAGATAATAGTAACTTTAGTTTGGATACCGGTTTTTAATATTAAATTACCCCTCCATGCTCCTTGCCACCGCATCGCTCTTGGAGAATATGAATGAGTTCAGCTGTGGCACTTCCCTGTTCGTATTCCTCTGCTGTCTAACAAACTTTGCACTAAACATATCTTTCTGCTCCATTAATTGAGGTTTAGCACCTGACGCTTGCAACTCTGGCGGCGAGAGTGACGCATGTCATCATTATACATAAAAGCCTCTCTTTCATTTTGAAAAGAAAATGACGTTTTGGTAATGGGGGAGAAAAGGCACATATATGTAATTTTCAAACAGGAGATGAACCCTGAAACAATACCAAAAAGCCCCCCCAGCTGGTGAATAGGTAGGTTTTTAAGACACACAAAATATATACAGCTCGCTGTCTGCCCCATCCCATTTTATCCCATCCCCCCTGACCCTCCCCCTGAAGATCTGGAACCTTCTCACTTACCCAGGGTGAGGATGGTTCATTTTTGCAGAATGGCTTTTTAAACAAAAAACAAACAAACAAAAAACCCTGATGCTTAAAGGCCGTGTGCTTTTAAAAGACAGCAGCCGCCTCAGAAACTGACTGCTGATCCTCCTCGCCTCTTCCAGATGCCCGCGACCCTGTGGATTCCCCTCAGGAATCCTAACCTGGCCCCCAGCTGACTGTGCCAAAACATCTCTTCCCGTTGCTAAGGGAGGGCCACGTGGTGATGCTTTCGAGGAGGCGGGCGCACAGACCGAAATAAAGGCGGCGGGGGGGGGGGAGAGAGAAACCTCCTTTAGCCCAATGTATTGGGAGAACTGGGGAGGCTCTCTCAGCTGATAGGAGGAACGGCGCTGCCACTTGCTCTGTGTTGCAAGCAGGTTCCCCAGGCGCCTGTAACCCGACACACACAAATACACACAGACACACAACACACCGTCGGTGGAGCTTCTGGTCTGATCTGCAGACAGGGACCTCGGAAGAGCTGGAGAGAGACGATGAATGGTTTGATATACATATACATATACATATACATATACATATACATATACATATACATATACATATACATATACATATACATATGTATGTATATCTCCCCATCTCATACACAGAACTGTTACAGAGTTTGCAAAGTGGTTAGACCAGTGATTCATTCAGACATGGAGGCTAATTTATGATCCAGTCCCTTTTTAAGAACATAGAATGATAGAGTTGGAAGGGACCACGAGGGTCATCTAGTCCAACCCTCTGCAATGCCGAAATCTTTTCCCCGATCATGTGGGGCTCGAACCCACGATCCTGAGATTAAGAGTCTCAGACGCATTTTAAAGGTTCGGAAGCTGGTATTCCCTGGCCAGACCACCCACAATGCTTGTTCACCTACGTCCTAGGGGAACTGCTTGGTTTGATTCCACTGCGCTCCCGCGCAGCTGCCTCTGTTAGGCGAGGATCTGAAGCATTTGCCGCAGTTGTTGGGCTCTTATTGAAATCGCCACCTAGTCAATGCTGTGTAGAGCGGAGGCGGCGTATGCAGGACTAGGAGGAAAGGCAGAAAGCAAGTGATCCGTCACGGCAGGATGCCATACCCTCCAACATTTCTCCGATGAAAATAGGGACGTCCCATTCCATAATGCTAATATTATTATTTATACCCCACACATCTTAACTGGGTTGCCCCAGCACTCCGGGCAGCTTCCAACATATATAAAAACATAATTAAACATTTAAAAAACCACTTCCCTATACAGGATTGCCTACAGGTGGCTTGAAGGTTGGATAACTCCATACCCTCCAACATTTCTCCAATGAAAATAGGGACATCCTAAGGAAAACCAGACATCCCGGTCAGAAACCAGGATGGCTTCTTTAAATAAGGGTCGTCCCTGGAAAACAGGGACGCTTGGAGGGTCTGGGATGCCATCAACACGGATGTAAACCTAACAAGAGTTACCTGGGCAGAACACTGACTCCAAGGTGCTTACAATCTGCAATAGGCAGATTCGCCCCCCCCAAAAAAAACCCCATTTAATGTACATTCAGTCACTTCACCCAAAGAACTTTGGGAACAGTAGTTTGTTAAGGGTACTGGAAACTGTAGCTCTGAGCACGTGAAACTACAGTTCCCATGATTCTCTGAGGGAAGTCACGTGCATTGAATGTGCTTTGGAAGGAGGGTCAGGATAAGGAAAGTGACATAGTGGTAGACAACTGTACACACTTAAAGCAATGTTACAGATGGGGACCCGTATTAAAGGGACAAGCAATGGCGTCCGGTGTGCCACTAAGAAGTATGCATATTTTACTCCGAATTCAGGGGCGAATCAAGAATATTTATTTCAGTGTATGATTCTAGTTGCCTCTTGTCAAAAATATTTGTCACAGAGCTGCAAAAGGTGCAGAAAGTGTCTCCCAAATCTCTTGGGCTTGAACATGTTTCGAGAAATTATTCAGATAATGCACAACTTATTAAGGTATTACGGCCATAAGATGTAGTGATGGCCACAGGCTTTGAAGGCTTAAAAAAATGTATTGAGAAAGACACCGCTTTGATGGCCCTATTAATAGTAACTACAATGTCTGTTCTGGCTGAAAAACAGTGGGAAGGAAACTTTTAAAAAGCAACGGGTAGTATCCAACTAAATCATATACCAGTTAGACCCATTGAAATTCATGGACTTATGTTAGCCATGTCTAAAGTCCATTTATGGTCTGCTCTGAGCATGACAATTAAAAACCACCCAGTGCGTTTTGCTGGCATCTCCTACACCTAACGAAAATGTCCTCTTCTCGTCTGTTCCTTTGAATGGCTTTCTCTGTATTCCTTTTTCGATCCATATGAACCTCTGGACCTTCATTTCAAGGAAGACGAGGCAGTAGATGTCATAGTGCTCCACTCCTATCTTCATATCTGTCCACAACGGTCCCAAAGCTTACCTGTTATAGAAACCTCCATCTTTGTGGAATCAAGAACATGCCACCCAGAACAGAGCGCTAAGCAAAACTAAGCTGGAATCTAAGAATTTGATTCTGGCAACCTTCAGCACTTTATACATAGTAGTGGGATAGGTTATGCTTAGCTGTGTGTATGGCAGAGAAGTCCCTTCAGATGTTTTGGAACTACAATTTACCAAGTGAACATACATGGACCCTTCATTCGTGATCCCAGGCTCCTCTGCAGGTCCTCTGAGAAAAGTTTGAAGAATTATGCCAAGGGAGGGGGCCTTTTTGGTTGTGGCCTCACTCTATGGAATTCTCTTCCCAGCAAGGATTGCCTGGTGCTGACATTCTCCCCCTTTTGGCACCATGCAAAAATGTACTTCTTTCTCAAGGCTTTTGAGGCCTTATGATAATCTTGCTTATTGATGTTTATCTCTGTGTGGAGTTGTTGTGAAGGGGGTATTGTTTGTCTTAGGCAAATCAAAGTAATAAGTAACTTCCCATCAGCCCTAACTAGCACAGCCAGCGGTCAGGAATGATGGGACTCCACTGTGGGGTCCCTGCCCCATGCCTGAGGTACACTTTCCTAACACATTTAAAAATTGGCATAAGCTTATTGCCTTCACATAGTTCCGAGGAGACCACCAGCATTTCAAAGGTTAGTTCTCCCATTCTTTGCAAAGCAGGGATTTTGTATTATTATTATTACTGCAGCCCTGGTAAAGGAAACATGTTGAAACAGAAGTGCTAATAACTTACTGAAGAGAAGGAAAGGTCTCCCATTTCCACCTTTCTTGAGGTAATATCCCATGCGTCTCCCAGGTAGAAAGTGTGAAATTGTGTTTTGGCAAATGCCTTGAGGAATATCTCCCCATTCTTTCACTGGTATAAAGTGTAACACATCTTATCGCTGCAGATAAGAAATGTATTAGGAACAGGAGTAGCACGACCCCTTCTGGTGGGAAGTCAAGCAGCTCTCTTCATGGTCACTTTCAACTTTATCAACAGGAAATAGTGGAACATCACTGCTAGGCCTATGCTGTATTTATGCATGCAATTGTTTATTTTGAATAGAGGATATAATTCAACATCGTGCTCTTCCAAGCATTCCAGCCTGTCAGAGGGAATGGTCCTGCATTCCACACCCAGCCACCCTCAGCCAATTTTGTGGAGCATGTGGGCAGAGGAAGAGGTAATCCCACTGGGCAAGTGGAATTCCTCGTGCAGGGTTTCTGCCAGTTAAGTGAATCCTGCCCAAAATTTCTTGGCAACTTTTATTTCTTAAAAGCCTAACCACACCTCCTTCTTCTACTTGCATTCTCTATTGCATTCTGAATGGCACTGAAGTTCTGTGAAAAGGCTACATGACACAGTCCTGTTTGCATTCACTAAACTACCTTACACATGTCTATATTCAGAAGCAAGTCCTACTGAGTTCAGTGGGGCTTAAACCCAGGTAAATGGGCGCAGGATTGCTGGCAATGAATTAGTTATCCTTGAGCGCTTCACCTCATTTGATGTAGATCAGCAACAGCCAGCTTGGTATCCTCCACATACTGCCGATGACAACAACTCCCATCATCCTTAACTATTTGCTGGGCTGGCTGGGGGTGATGGGAGCTCTAGTCCATAACAACTAGTGGACACCTTGTTAGCTCTTTCACTAATACTGCACTGTTTCTTGTACACTGCCTTGGGAGGATCTGTATCCTGAAAGGCAGGATATAAAGAACTGGGATAGACAGATATAGGCGGGCACAGGGAACACTGTTGCAAAGAGCGTAGCATTAAGCTTCTCATTTCTGTATGCATCTGACCTCTCATTTCCACTATTAGTTACTGCCATCACAAGCCCAAACAGCTGCTACCATGCCTTCATAAGTAATATTTCATCTTCCCTGGTGCTTTGTTCTGACAGCCATAATCTCTATACTTCCATCTTTCAAGAAAGGCAGCAGTGCTAGATTTCAGGTATTTCATGTGCTCAGGTGAACCAAATAATCCAGCAGCATTAGGTCACATTTAGCAGAAGGCTCAGATCAATGAACGAGCACCTTTAATATATTTCTAGAGCTAATTTTGGGGAAAGGTGATCTGCAGATGCAGCAGACATTTATCCGGATTGGAAACCTTTGCTAATTAGCCATGCAACAGCTTGAATCAGAGTGGTACCAAAGCCATTTTCAAACGCTCCTTTTGAGCCGTAAATGAAATAAAGTGACCTATATGTTTTGTAATAACTCCACTGCAACTGTTCCTGCTCTCTATCATAGAACACCACTTGAAAAGGGATGCTCCATCTGTCACAAGCAGCCCCAGTACAAATTACACATGTAGTGGTTCAGAAGGACAACCATACTCTAACTTGAGTTCTAATGCCCAAATTAGCTACTTCTGTCCAATTATCTTGGCTATGTGCGGCAAGCAGTAAGCCAAAATGCAGTTCTTGGATAAACAGGGATGATAATGAAAAAATCAATAGGGGTTTTGTGTTTTTGCTTTTTGGTACCTGTAACACCGCATTGTGGGGCTATTCTTTGAAGAAACCCATTTTAAATTAAGATTTGTAAAGTGTAGTTCCTGCAGTATTAGCTCTCACAGCAAAGATCTGACAATTCAAGCCTGGATGTGTCTTGCATCTCAACACCAACATCCTACAAGAGTGCTGAAATGTTTACACTCACTGCTGGAGGCCATTTGCATAGTAATACGAGATGGCTAGTCTGAGTGGCAAGATTCTATTGCATTCCTCTTTCTCTTCCTGCTCCCATAGTAACATTTGGCACACTTGCATAAGTGCAAATGAAATTCATGACAGATTACGGTAAGCTTATTAACCTTACTTTGGAACCAGCTTTAGTGGCCCAACCTCACATACCTGAAAACAAAATATACCTGTATCCTATCAAATGCATGAAAATGAGCACATTACAACAACAACCCAGAAGAGCCACGAGGAACGTATCCCAATATTTGTTTCACTTGGTCATTGTAAATGTATGCCTACATTGTCAGTTCTTTTGAAAAACTGCGAGGGAAAAGAACATAGGGGGCAGGAAACTGTGGTTAACCTTAACTTGCTTTAGTTGAAAACAAACTAGTTTCATAAACTATGGTTTGAAGTTTTGTCTGCTTCAACAAACCATGGTTGACATTCACAACAGTTTACCCAGGTTTGCATGACATGGCAATATGTGGTTCACCTAAAATGAAACTGAAAGGCTCGGGTCTCTCCTACACACACCTGCACTGAAGAGGTGAACTATTCAAGCCTGAGGCTCACTATGCTTCATTCACTAAGGCATGACTTAGCCTTACATCAGAATGAAGCCACTAAATCTATACATTACCATTACTTCTGTTGCACGGAGAACAACAGTGGCTGGTTTGTGCATACTCTCATACGTGTGGAAACCCTATTTGCACAGTCCTTCCCTCTTCTCCAAGGAGCAAAGACAACACAGGCTGGGTATGACTGCAGGCGGATGTACACAGGCACTGATCAAATCACACCTTTCCCCCAATATCAGCAGTTGAAATGAACTGGGCATTTTTTCCAAAGAATGGCACTCCTTCTGGATATGTGGCTTACTAAAAGGTAACATGGCTTAAGTATGGGCTTTGTTACCCAAAGACGAAAAGCAAAGGAACAGTTGGGTCTGTCTTCCTTGTATTCTTTATTTTGAAAGAAGAGGGATTCTGAAACGTAATTCTGTAGTTAGCAAATTAAAGCCAACACAGTGGGTTTCTAATACTCCCTTATGTAGGCGCAAAAGCACGTTTAGCACATTCATGTGTGCAAATGGTAGTCCACAATATAGCAATACCATTCGGGTGCAAAACAAACATCTTTTACAAAGACCTGCAAGAAAAAAACCCCACTCCCAAACAGCAGAGTGTCTAAGTCAGAGATACAAAGCATGTCATCTTTTTAAAACTTGATATTCAAATATTTCCCCAAATTAGTGCTTATTGCATCTTATACCTGAACCACATTTTGAGGAGTATTCAAATTAACAACTGTGAGCAGCGATTATCCGATTGGTGTGGAGGCACAATTTAACACATGAGAAGCACCATCTTCCCCAAGGCACCTGGGCTGTGTATTATGTCTTTATGAGCCTCTGCCACCTTCTCCAATGAATATTCAGGGCCTACTGCTGGTTGCAGCCAGCCAGCTTCTACACCAGCCAGAACTGATGCTGCACATTCACGCAGCTCATCCTAAATGGAGAAGAAAACATTTTTAAAATTGAGCACGAAAGGAAAATACTTCTATGCCCTCCAGCAGTCAAATTCATTATTCTACATTGTACCGTGTGTGTGTGTGTGTGTGTGTGTGTGTGTGAAGAATGTAGGCTTGGCTCCAGAGCACTGCAACCACAATTTAGTTTTCGCAGCAGAGATTTCCCAAGCCCTACCTGTAAGCCCCGTGGAAAGTTGTCCCTAAGGGCTGGGGAAAGGCTTGGATGTGGCAGTGGAGGTTATGACACGTGTGTAGCGAGAGCTGGGAAATCAATGAATGCCTGTGGTCAATCACCCCACATACACCCCTCCCCCAATACCACACTGCCAACAGTGACTTTCCATGGGACACAGCAGGCTGCAGTGGAGAAGGAGGAGGCAGGAATTATCCACTGTACAAGAATATTTTTGCTTGTACCTTGGAAGTCGAACGGAATCCATTCCAGAAGTCCGTTCGACTTCCAAACCGTTCGGAAACCAAAGCACGGCTTCTGATTGGCTGCAGGAAGCTCCTACAGCCAATTGGAAGCCCCGGAAGCCCCGTCAGACATTTGGGTTCCAAAGAACATTCGCAAACCGGAACACTCACTTCCGGATTTGCAGCATTCAGGAACCAAAACATCTGAGTACCAAGGCGTTCGGGATCCAAGGTACGACTGTACTACTCTCAAGCCAAGCAACAGAGGTTTTTAAAAACATTGTTTCTCTCTAAATGCATGGAGGAAAAAAGTTGCAGGACATATGAAGCCCAAAGAGGCAAGACCAGCTCCTGAAAGATTAATGCTATTGCAGAATATAGTTTCACTGGCCAGTCCAAAGCTTCTCAACAGATAGCAACTGACTCCCGAGAGCTTATGTAAAGTTCCCCAGACTGTGAAATGAATAAAGGAGTGTGTGCGCCTGCAGGGACGAAGAAAAGTATAGGGAGAGATTAAAGAAGCTTTCCAGTACTTCCCATGTTTTGAAGCCAAGTATCCGATCCAGGCTGTGTTACAGAAAAGGCACGCTGACTCCTCTAAGTGAATTATGTACATATACTGCATGATGATGATGATTTTTACCTTAGATGCAGAGAATAAAAGAATTCCTCTGATGCTTGATTCTTTCAACATAGTGTCTCTGGGGTTTATCTCAATGGGACCACGGCTGCCCACAATCTGTCACACAAAGTGGTGGAGAGAATGAGATGCTGACAGCTTAATTCTAAGCCTTAAGATTCTCATTCATGGGGGTGCATCCTTACCATCACTCGGCCTCCACTTGACAGCAGTTGCAAGTCATGGGCAAGGTTGACATTTGCCAGCATCTCTATTACCACATCTATGCCATGTGCACCAGCAGCTTCCTGCATAAGAAATCAGCTGTTCAGTATCAAAGATACATGGAAGCCTGGCTGCTTTTGTGGTTCACAAGTTATTATTCATATCCTGCTTTTTTGTTATAAATAAATAAATCAAGATGCACACAAAGCAGCTCACAGGTACTATACAACACGACAAAGACACACATTATAGACCATAAACGGTGAACCAAACTAAGAGTAGAGAACAGCAAATGAAGGACTACAGTCAAATATTAAAAGCAGACTGAAATAAACAAAGGTTTTCGGGAACTGTTGGGAGACTTTAAAAAGAAATGGCCACCACTGATAAGGCACTGACTCCTCTGCTGCATTTCACATGATGGCACGACTGAGAGCAGAGATTATGATTTTTAACTGGTAGGCAGGTAATATGGCAGGTAATGCGGCAATACTGATAGAATACCACCATTCTAAAAAGCAAGAGTCCAGAGCAGAACAACCTGGCTACATCTATCAGCTAGAGAAGGAGCAGCTGAAAGGAGCTCATTTCCCTCCTCCATACCAGGAACAATGCTTGGTTCCAATTGCCAGTTGCCCTAGAACCACACAAGCGAAGAGAAAAACACTCTGGACTCCTGCCATTGGTCAGACTAACAAAGGCTGCTGATTCAGTTGCAGCCACACCTGACTATAAAACCCTCACAATTTCTCTGTTAAATAACGTTGAGAAATTGCAGGAAGCCAGGTGTATGGATACCCATTTGTATACCCAGTAAAGAATGCATGTGGTGTTAAAATGCTCATTAGGAACATAATGGGTTGGAACCTAAGGAGCTCTAAGCGGAACTCAACATGTTACTAAGGCGAACATTCCAACAGAATGTTCTCCTCTTCCTCTCACACCCCTAAATCTAGCTATTCCCCCAATCTTCTGGAGAAGATCTGGGGAGAAGATGTGGTTGGGGGAAAGCAGATTATGCAAGCAGAAATCCTTGCACTAACAGGACTCATTAGCAGAATACTGCCCTCTATCTTAACTAGTATTCCAATTACCACTTTGCAGTCTGTGTTCTAAATTACCTTTATCTGAGTGAGATAATCCTTCTTCTTGTGATTAAATGCCTCATGGGCTCCGTTTTGCAAAACTAGTTTTATCCCTTCCTCAGTTCCAGCTGTGCCAAAGACCTTCAGGCCATAAGCTCTTGCAATCTGACATGCTGCTATTCCAACCTAGGTTTTTAAAAGAGTGGAGGGGGTGGGGGAAGAGTGTTGTAAGTTTAACATAGTACTTTCCTTATACAATTATTGACAACAATCGTTTCGAAGGAGGAAATTTCAATAGCAACAGAGCCGCAGGTGACCCTTAATAACTTGTAGTAACAGTCTGCTATAGCATGACTTGATCTCCTACACAAAAACAGTATGTGGCTTCTCTAAGCACGACTTCCCTGAAATAAAATCAGGGAAATTAATAATTAAGCCAACCAGCAGTACACACTTCTGTTTCTCTTTTATAGAGACAGTAAAATATATCAGCTCAATTACCACTATAACACAACCACCCAGTCTTCACATTTCAAAGGCAGCAACTGCAAGGGACTTCTCACTAACATCATTTCAAGCCATACTTTGGAAGCAACAGTGTCAAACTTTGAGCATGAAGTACTTTTCTAAGGGTTATTGCTTAAAAAAGAAAACAATAAAAGGCACTTCATAAAACAGAAAGAACAGTAGTCTTGGCCAGTACGGTCGTACCTGCAGCCAACCAGAAGCTGCGCTTTGGTTTGTGAACGTTTTGGAAGTCAAACGGACTTCTGGAACGGATTCCGTTCAACTTCCAAGGTACAACTGTACTGGATTCTGCCATGTCTCTCATGACCAAAAGAGGCAATGTACAGAGGATTGACACTTTAAATACACACACACACACACACACACACACACACACACACACTCTTCCAGGACTTCAGGATTAAAAACCTAAACAGGGCCAGATTTGAATTCCACACAAACCCATATTCTAGCATTTTCCTCCATGCAACTGAAGTGGTGTGAAGAAACGCAGCTGGATTGTAGATGCAAGCCCTGCCCCCAAACTGTGCCCTGTATCAGCCCCACCTCACCCCATGTGTTGGGGGGCAAGTGGAGTTCTGCTCACGGGACCTCCCTTTCTTTCCTCTCCCAAAGTGACTCCAACCCTCTGAGGCAGAACCTGGGGCAGTGCGAGTGGGCTGCAGGGCAGAGGAGATGGAAGTTCAGAAATGCATATGGATGAAAGATCCAACCCACTGGGGTGACATGCCACTGTACTTTACCATGCTAAAGCCCCTTTTAAGCATAAGGTTAGTTTTCATGATACTTACCCCTCCGCTTGCTCCATGGACTAGCACGGTTTCAGCTGCTTTAGCAGATCCTCTGGAGGGGGGGAAACACACAAAACATTTTCAATGCAATTGTCTGGATTGTATTTATACAATAAATTATATCCAACAAGGAGTTGCTCGAAGTGGCTAATGAAGGATGGAAAACAAGTGTGTACCTTGCTGTGCTGCCAACAGTGCAGCTGTAGTGAGGAGTTAAAAAACTAAAATAGCCAATATTCAATGAATTTCAAATTGGGAAGAGCCCCAGAATGCACTTCTTCTGAATCTGTGTTAGGAAACAACAGTGTTTATGTTGACTGTCAATGTACCCTAATATTAAATAGTTACAGTGCAGCTACTTTGATAACCACAAAATAATCCTGTCAGCGATGAGCAGGAAATACAGTGGTATATTAAAAATACAACCCAACACAGGCGCTGGAGTTCCACTGTATTGCTGCAAAACAGCCAACTAACTTCATAACTCCCTGTTCAAAACACTGCCATCAGAACAAGCTTGCACTGAAGCCACAAGCAGACTTTGCCTAGGCATTGATCAATCAATCAATCAATGCATTTGTATCCCATCTTTTTCTCCATGGAGCACAAGGTGGTTTAAATGGTTCTCCCCCTCCTCATGTAATTCCCCACGACAAACCTATGAGGTAGGTTAGACTGAGAGGCAGTGAGTGGCCCAAGGTTATTCAGTAAGCTTCATGGCAGCATAGGGGTTTGATCCCTGATCTCCCAGATCAGGAATAGGCAAACTCTGATCCTCCAGATGTTTGGGACTACAATTCCCATAATCCCTAGTTAACAGGACCAGTGGTCAGGGATGATGGGAGTTGCAGTCCCAAAACATCTGGTGGGCCAAGTTTGTGGGAGCCTGCTCTAACCACTACGCCACACTGGCTTTTAAATACTGTCACTCTGTTGCACAAGTACTCCCTTTTTCTCAGGCTCAAAACAAAATGTGTGTGTGTGTGTGTGTGTGTGTGTGTGTGACACAAAGTGCCCACAAATTTGCTGCATTAAAGAACATGGAAAAATTAGTCTGACTGAATGTGTGACACAGAAAAGCCTCAAGGAAAAGGCAGAAAGGCCCAAAGTTACTGCATTTTTATTGCTCAAAAGCAATTTTAGGATGTCATTGCCTTACTTTTGAAAGAGAGCATAGTAAGCCGTAAAATACGGAATTCCAATTGCGGCACCTTGCTTGAAGTCCAGTTTATCAGACAAGGAAAAGACTGTGTCAACTGATGAAATGGTATATTCGGCATAACCGCCAGAAATGGTACCAAGGGTAAAAACCCTGTCTCCTTTCTGGTAGGAGAAAACAAATGCACAAGGTGAAGCATTGTGCCAAAGTGTTTTCTGTATCCTGTGTAAAAATGAAGGCATTTCCAGAAGAGTTAAATAAAACCCAATTATATAGGTGAAATACACATGACAAGAAGATAGCAGCATTACAACAGATCTAATCTGTAATAATTGTTTCCAATTTTTTTTTTTTGGACTACAATTCCCATCATCCCTCACCACTGGTCCTACTAGTTAGGGATAATGGGAGTTGTAGTCCAAAAGCAGATGGAGACCCAAGTTTGGGAAACTCTGCATTAGAGGAAGCAGAATTAACAACTAGCTTAAAATCCAACACTTTGAAAGCAGGGTGTACTTGAGTCTGGAGTAACTGAAGTACCAAAGAATATTTGGCAAAGAATGTAGGCCAAAGTGTGTTAACAAACAAAGGTTTACATTTAAATCTGTAGACAGGAAGGCAGAAATTTAAGATGTACAGGGATGACATGAATCATATCCAAGACACAGGAACTATGAAGAGACCCAGTTTAGTAACCAAGACCGGAATGATATTGTATAAAAGATAGCAAATGAGCAACATATTTAAAAATGGGATACCTTGAAAGTAGTTACATGTTCGCCAACACCTTGTACTACCCCAGCCACATCTGAACCAGGTGTGTAAGGTAAAGCTGGTTTTTTAGCATAAGTCCCAGAACGAATATAAGTCTCCACTGGATTAATGCCACATGCATGAACTTTAATGAGGACCTGCAGAAGAAAAGGATATTTGTTGAACAACTGAAAGAAATCTGGTACCTTCATTTTCATGCCAAGTTGTTTGTTGTTGAATGTCAAATATGTTCAAAATACAAGCAGCATAAATACTTATTAAGAAGCGTTGGGATTTGATATCCCGCTTTATCACTAACCGAAGGAGTCTCAAAGCGGCTAACATTCTCCTTTCCATTCCTCCCCCACAACAAACACTCTGTGAGGTGAGTGGGGCTGAGAGACTTCAAAGAAGTGTGACTGGCCCAAGGTCACCCAGCAGCTGCATGTGGAGGAGTGGAGACGCGAACCCGGTTTTTTTTGGTAACAGGCAAACCAATGTTCATTCCCTATAGAACATTTGCAGGATCTTTTATAAAACAGAGCCAAAGGTAAGCACAAAAGTTATAGCAGTACTTATGCAGTTGGTCTGGCAAGCAATGGCATGTACAGATGTCAGGATTGCTCTCCAGGGCTGTGTTCTATGGGATTTTTACTCTGTTTGCAAATTCATTCTGCATGCTGCAGAAAAGTTTCCAATAACTGTTAAATAACAATAATGCTAATTTCAGTGTGTACAGTATTTATATTTCCAGTTCAAGGTCTTCGTTTTTACCTGGTTCTCTCCTGGAACTGGCAAGGGAATATCTGCTTGCAGCTTAAGCACTTCAGGTCCACCAAATTCAAACACTTTGACAGCTCTCATCACATGTCTCCCAGCTGCCATGGCAACCTGAAAAATCACAGAGATAAAATACTGTACTATCTTAACCTCCACCGCCTTTTCCACTTCAAAGAGAAAGGATCAAATTACTAGCTCTTCAGGTGAAATTTAAATCGGAAGGTTCACCATGCATTTCACTCTGTTCTAACAATGTGCTGCCAATTTGAGGCTTTTCGACTTATAAAATTAGCCTGCAAAGGATAACTAATAGTTTCACTTTGGATAAGAAATGAATCAGATCGCAATCCTGTATCCTCTTACCTGGGAGTAAGCCCCATTTATTTACATCTTAGTGGACAAATACAGGACTGCACTGTTAAATATGCAGAAGTTTGCACAAACACACAGAAACCAGCTTGGAAAGGATATCTTTTGACACATCTTCAGAAGACCTTACAACTGGAGTTACACTAGCTTTAAAAAATTTTTTTAACCTAATCCGCATTTTTATAAAGACTTTATGCCTGGAGAAGAGTTTGAAATCCAAATAATGGGAATCATAGTAGTTAGGAGTCATAGGTGGGGAAAGTCCTATACAGTCATACCTCGGGTTGAAGTAGCTTCAGGTTAAGTATTTTCAGGCGCATTACTTCCGGATCTCGCCGCTGGTGCATGCACAGATGTTCAAAATGACGGCACGCGCATGCGCGGAAGTGGTGAAACGAGACCCGAGCAGTCACATGTTACGTTCTACTCAGGATGCGAAGGGGGCTCCGGAACGGATCCTGTTCGCATCCAGAGGTACCACTGTGTCATTCAGGTCCTGCTTGCGGGCTTCACATGGACATCTTACGAAAACAGAGCATCTCCTTGCATTAGGTTTTTACACATGGGATGTTTTGGCAGGGAGCTCCTGCACTTGCAAGGGGTTGAGCTGGATGACCTTTGAGATTCCTTCCAACTTTTAGGATTCTATAGAAGTGGCTCATTCTCTCTCACAGCCATTTTAACCAGTATTAGAAACTCAGATATAGAAGCTAATTGCCAAATGGTACATTAAACCTAGGTTAAAGTTGCCACAGCGGAATGTCTAAACACTTTTTTTTTTTGCAACGGGGTTTATTAATTATCATTATCATTATCATCATCATCATCATCACCATCATTTCATTTCTATACCGCTTTATATTTTAAAGGAAAAATCTCAAAACGGTTTACAACACATTAAAACACCAAAAAACCAAATCAGGACTAAAACAAAATTCAAGTTTCCATGGAAATATTTCAAGTGACATTTTGCTATCCCTATATTTATTTACCTACTTGATTTATATAGCTGCCCAATAGAAGTACTCTAGGAAGCCAGTGTGGTATAGCGGTTAAGAGTGTCAGACTAGGACCTGGGAGATCAGGGTTCAAATCCCAACTCAAGTCATGAAGCTCACTGGGTGACGTTGGGCCAGTTACAGCCTCTAACCTACCTCAAAGGGTCATTGTAGGGATTAACTGAAGTAGGGATGAACCATGTACTCCTTGGAGAAAAAAGTAGGATGTAAATGCAATAAATAAGCCCTTCTGCTTACCTGCTTAAGAAAGCTGGAGGGGCCAGCCAGACCGAGATGTCAGTTGCCAATGTGGCACTCAAAGATTTCCAAATGGTCACAACCGGACCTGCACCAGTCGTAAAACATACCTGGCTCCTGGGGAATTTTGAGCACTGATATTAACACCTGTGCTGGCTGCTTTCTTCTGCCTAACCTGCCTGTGCTTTGAAAACGCTTGGCATCAGCCTAAAACAACTGATCAATAAGCATGAAATCAGAACCCAGAGAGCAAGTTCACTTGCATTTAGGAAGCAGCCATACAGATCTTAAATTGTGACCCTTGGAACCATCTCTTGGGGAAGAAATGAAGGGCTCCCAAACTACTTCAAGTTATCCCTGGCATTCCAAGATTGAGTAACTATTGACATTAACTCAAACTCTGCACTCTGGCCTAAATCAACAATATCTTGTTTAGGCTGTAAATTGTAAAGTCACCCATGGAAAAAAAGAGTGGGGGAAGACAGAAGGTTCTAGAAACTTGATCAAAAATCTCTGGGCACAGAAAAGGCCTTATGAAAGTTAATAAGCGGCCTTCTATTATCCCTGCTGCAAGAGGTCTCAAGATCACCTGAGCACCCTTTCAAGTAGGCAGCCCAACTACATATGAACTGAAATGCCAGTAAAAGGGGCTTGGGTGAGGATCAAATTATTTATATAAGGTTAATTGTGCCCTGTCAACATTGCGAGCCAGCAACCCATGAAATGTAATTTCACTGCCGCTGATAGTAACAACCAGGTACTGTACTTAAGGAATCCGAAACTGTAGAGAAGTATCTAAAGATGCAGGTATCTGCTTAAAATTCAGTGTCAATATTTGACTTTTAAATGGCTACAATGAAATGCAATACTGTAATCGTCGTCCAAACACTCCAGATAGTGGGCCTTCATATAAAAATAGGTGTTTTACTTCCTTACACACAGACACACAGTTTTCATTTGTAAGATGTTAAGGTATACCCCTTTGCTACCATAGGTGCATATATCCATGTTAATATCTGCATTTCAACTGCAACCAGCATTAACCTTTGTATCCTTCTAAACCAGTAGAATTTAGATGAGAATAATGTTTAACTTTGACTGCTGCAGACGTAACAAAGGTCATCGTAGTGGTGGAAAAAAACAAGCCAAAAAAGGAGAGAAACAAATCAGCTTGAAATGATGGCAATGAGAAAAGAAATATATTCTCAACTGCCCTTCCCACATACCAAAAATGTCTCACGTTTCTACTCAGCAACTATGGTAGACTACTTCAGATGTACAGAAGTCACCAGTTTACTCTTTTCCCCATACATGAGAGCAGTCGTAAAGACCTCTTCTTTTAACCATCACTTTCTGGACTTGTTGCCATCAAACTGGCACTTTCAGCAACTATTCTGAAGCTGTTTATAAATGCCAAACAATACTAAATATGTGTCTTTTCTAAAATAAATTCAATAGCTTCAACAAGTTGTAGCCAAGTTAGAAACATTGTAACTCTCAATTATCAGGAGAATGAACAGATTCATGTTTCTCCTGAACTTCAGTGTGCATGGGTAACTGCCAGATTCTTATTTTAGGAAACACAGCTGGTCACATGCTTCAGAATAAAAATAACTTGTAACTTTTCTTTCAAGGTTGCTCTACATTTGTTGTTGGTTTTTTTAAAAAGTAAGAGATAACGAAATAATAAAGAGCCCCCAAATTAGTGGGACTGGCTGCCAGCTAGGATCTGGTGTCTGGTGGAAAGTGTATGTACTAAGCATACACGCCCCTGCAAACACATGTGGTTAACCAATGCCACAAGGTCTGTGTTCTCAAAACACCTGCTTTTTTTGTGAGCAGCCGCCCTAAATAATACACTAATCTGTACTTTTGTGCATTTCCTTTGCTTTTACATTATTAAGGGTGGTTTTAGACACCCCCCCCCCAAAAAAAACCCAGTTGCGATGATCACACTGACATCCTAGCATTGGTCAGCTAGTTAAGACACATTGTTTGCAGAGAGGAGCGTTTAGTATATGCAATGCAAACTCCAATCCTTTTTATGCCCACACACACGCACGCAATACAATGCAATGCAATACAGTGCTATATATATATGCTAGTTAAACTTTAAGGTGCTGCAAGAGACAGTCAAGAGTCACCCAGCCTGGAAACCATTGCAAACAGACAGCCCAGCAGGGAGCACAGACCTAGATGCTATCTCCGCAACGCATCCCGCTACGCCCTAATGCCCTCCTTGCCAACTGTGGGGTGGGAGGGGAACCCAATTTTACGTCACTCACCCTCTTGCTGTAGAACGACGTGATTGCGCGCCTAGCTAAACGAGCCTAGCTTAAATCACAGCCTCGGTTCGCCTACTTATCTTCGACACGCCTGCGCAATGAGCTCCTTCCGGGTTCACGCAAGAGAAGCCATCTTTTCGGAGTCCCGTAAGTTCTAGTGCGCAAGCGCCGCCGTGGCGGAACCTTCGCAACCTTTGCTCCGGCGAAAGTTCTGCCAGGGCGGCGCGCGCAGTGGAAGATGTGTCTATCCTCAGCGTCGCCTGCTCGCTTAGCAACTCTCTTAATAGACAGAATTAAAACTTATAGGTGCGGTTTTAATACTGTAACAATATAAAAATCATTTTAAAAGCAGTAATTGGTACAATTAAAACTATGCTTAATTATTCCCCCACCCCCGTGTTTTCAGCAGTTCTTATTTTTATCTGTGAGTCGTCTTGAGTTCCAGTAGGAAAAAAGGCGCGGTATGAAGAAATACGCAGTAACAATAATAAGGACCCTAAGTAAGTATGCATAGCGTTTTGCAGCCCTGGTCCTGTGTTTACTCAGAAGTAAACGGAGATTTTAAATCCTCCTCGTTAAGCTTTAATCCGGTGCCTTCTTGCCTGCGAGTGAGTCCAACCGGGGACTTGCTTGCGAGTACAGTACATATGCATGTGCTTGCACTGTCTTGCTTCTCTCCTTCGGGTTCTGGATTCCCTGGCACCTGCCTATTTCCCGGAATGTCGCCCAGCGAAAGGGGGGGGCGACAAAACTCCTCCTGCTCCGCACATAAACACTGGCGCCCTTATTAGATCCAATGAAAGGTTCATTCTGTCTCCCAACAGCAGCAGACTAGATGCCTCTAGGCAGCTAAGGCACAAACATGCACATAGAAAGACTACATCTCCTCCTTCTTACTCTCGATCCACAGCCTTCCTAACAACTCTGCTAATCCGAGAGGCTAATAATGCAATAGTGCAGCAACCCTTCGCAGACGCTTGGGAGCAAGTACTGTTGGAACTCCGTGGGGTGGATCGGGGTTGCACTGCTGCAGTCACGAGTCCTGCACGCTTCCAGGGGCGCAATAAAGCCGGCTGAAACGCAGCGAGCCTGCCGAGGAAAACGCGCAGGATAAAAGCGCGCGGCTGCAATCCTAACCGTTCTTCCTCACAGCAACAAGCCCAATCGGTGCGCCTGGACCGCAGTCTCAAGTTAACCCGGTTGAACTCAAGTTACAGACTCGCTCTGCCCGCGCTGGGAACATGCGCACGGGCCGCAAGTTTGTCCCAAGCGGGCCGCCGTCGGACTAAGATGGCGGCGCCCATAGAGCGGTAAAGTGGGCGGGCGGGGATGGGGGAGAGCCGGCGCCGATGGCTGATTTCAAGCGCTGGAAGGAGCAGCGGCTGTCGCGCGCGGACGGGAGCCGGAAGGGCAGCGTGGACGAGCCCATTGCGGGGATCGTGCGGCTTCTCAATGGGCACGACAGCTTCTGCACCACCAGCTCGTGCTCGGGGCGCGTGGTTGTGCTGGAGCAGCCGCCCCTGCCTCCCCGCGCCGAGGTGAGCGCGGCTAAGGATCGCTTGGAGAAGGGAGCTGGGCTGGGGCGATACTGCCACCGCCACCAACGCGGGGGACCCGGAAACCCAACAGCTTTTTCCTCCAGCCTAAATGGCTGGCTCAGGGTGTCTCCTGCGTCCTCTGGAGTTTTGTGCAGATTTCGGAACACCGCCCATGTTTTATTCATAAGTAAAACCTTAGTTCCGTACGCTCCTGTGCGAATCTTAATTTTTAGGATTTAAAATAACGCGGAGAGCCTGTCGGGCTTCTTAAAGCCTAATACATTTCATAAAATTTGTACACCGCTTTATTTACAAAAAAACCCCACCACTACACTCAAAGCGGTGTATGAAAAAGATAAAACCGTAAAATCGTGGCGGGGGGTGGGGTGGAATTTGACACACTAAAACATACGAGAGGTTAAAATACTAAAACAGATTAAAACCAGTGTGCCGTTAAATCGACTTCCTCAGACTGCAGGTTCTCGAAAACGTAATAAGACATTTATTAGTCCGCTTAAGGCGCCGCAAAATTCTGGGATGCTTTTGTTGTCGGAGACGGTGGTGGCTGCTCTGCTGGAAATCCTTGCTTAGTGCGACTTGCTACTGAGTAGCCGTCAGCAATAGGAATCCAGGGGTGCAGCCATTTCTACCGATCCCCGCCCCACTCACAGCCGCTAGACGTTGGGATTCAGCATCTCCTCTCCTTAAAATTGCATTATCTCCCTATGGAAAGAAATCTGCCTTTTCCAAAATTATTCAGGATTTTCAGTTCAGCTCACAGAAGTTTAAATGGGGATTGAAAACTCACACCTCGTGCCTTTGTCAAGACCCAAGGTGACTCACAGCATTAAAAGGAAAACAGTTTAACAACCCACAGTCAGCATAAATGGGGATTTTTTGGGGGGGGGGGAGTAATTTTGTTGAAACAGCACTGGAAACACTGAAAACCATTTAAATGAAAAAAGCGCGATGGAAATAAATGTGTGTAAACCCACCCTCAGAAGTCTTTTCCACAACAGCCCCTTAGTGGCCAAAGGCTTTGCCTGCTGCAGAAAGGAAAGGAGAGAGGGTGCCAGGCTAGCCTCCCATGGAAGGGTGTTCCACAATCTGGGAGGAGCCACCAAAAAGGCTCGCTCTTGTGACTTCCCCCAATGTGCCTGTCAGGGTATTGGGACCAAAACAGAAGTCTCCCTAGAAGATCTCAAAGCCCAGGCAGACTCAAATAGAGAGATCTGATCCCTCAGTTATCCTAGACACACGCCATAGGTCATAACTAGTGCTTTGAGATGTTTCTGGAAACAAACGTAACCAGTGGAGTTGTTATACTCCCTGTAACTGGCTCCAGTTAGCAAGCTGGTTGCAGCATCTTAGGACACTTTCCACAGGCAGCCCCACATAGAACATGTTGCAATAATCCAAATGGGGTATAATTAAGACATTGTACCACCATGGGCAGATCAGGCGTCTCCTGGAGCTGGCACAGTTGGTGCACAAGTGTAACTCTCCACAGCCCCAGTAGAATCCCTATTTCCTGATCTGCCTTTTTACTGACCAGGTGCCTTGTCTGTTTTTTTTTGTTCACCCCTATTTGTTCCATTACTGACACCAGACAATAGTTTAGCACCGAAACACCTTCCTCAGATTTAAGATGGAGAGAGATAGTTGGATGTCATTTGCATACTGGTGACACTGAAACCCAAAACTCTGGACAAGGTTATCGATGGAGGTCCATTCTTAACCTGAAACTATTCTTAACCTGAGGTACCACTTTAGCTAATGGGGCCTCCCGTTGCCACTGCGCCGCCACCACATGATTTCTGTTCTCCTCCTGAAGCAAAGTTCTTAACCTGAACTAGGTTAGTGGGGTCTGTAACCTGAAGCGTATGTAGCCTGAAGCGTGCCCAAGGTACCACTGTACCAGTAGCTGGAAATCACAGGTGGGAGAAAGAGTGCTTTTGAACTCAGGTGCAGCTTCCTATGGGCATTTGATTAGCATTGTGAGAACAGGATATTTTATCAGGCCTTTGGCCTGATCCAGCAGCAGTCATCTTCTGTTCATAAGGTTTCTTTTACCTAAGCCCAATGTGGCAGGTTCCAAAAAAGATTGTTTTTTGGTTATTTCTCTTGTCTCCTTCCCTCTCCTTCTGCTGAAACATCTCATACTCTCACTTTGACACATTTGTTCCACCGCACTGTGCTTTTCTATCTGGCCTTTCTTTCTCCCTCTCACCTGCGGTGTGAAATTTGTTGTGGGAAGTGTTCTGCATTGGTTTCTATATATCCAGAGATTTGTGAAACGATTTCGCCTTCCTGCTAGGCTACCACCGGCTTTGAGATACAGAAGCAGAATTGCAACTGGCTCATGGTGACCCATCAAATATGTACAATCGAAAACGTGGTAAGAGAACTGTTCCAGGGTGAATTCTTTATGCATGCATAGAAAATCCTTGTTTGTTCCATTTGCATACAGTCAATAATTTTGAGATTTATTTTGAGATCTGGAAATTGTAGCAGTTTCCAATATCTACCAGGTGAGGGCAGACTTAGGGTAGCAGATGCAAGATGTTAGCACAGAAATAAAATGCCATTGTTGTAGAATGATGTGTTAGATTTTTCATATTTGGCTAATAGAATTGTTACAGTGAAAGTATGAGAGATCTTTAACATCTATGAATCAGTTGCATGTAATATAGGCTGTATTTCACTTGTTAAAAAAAGTGGACTACCAAGTTTTTAAAGAAGGCAAGACATTTGATTCCATTGCTGCTGTATTTCTGCTTGTAACAGTTATAATCTTTGTGTGATAGCCTTAATGCTATCACACAAATATTATAATTGCTACCTGTCTGATGCAGGATTTCCAGGAGGCCAGTTCTTTTACATCAGAAGATACAGCATTCCACGCTTGTAGATCTGATTGAATCTCTGGAGGGAAGACTGTAGTTCCAGTAACTAAATACGTGAAAATATTTCCCTGACGCCCCTTTCTCAAAACACCACATGGCAAAACTCTCTATTATTATTATAGTTTAATGAAAAATGGGTATTTCTGAGATCTGAAAAAGGACTTGTTTCAACCTCAGCAGTATATAATTACAGTTCCAGAAGTTATGCTTTCATATTTATTGATTGAGAGCCTGATCCTACACCCACTGGGAATTTGGCAGTTGGCTTTTGTGGAAGAAAGGCGGGAGTGTGCATAGGAAATTACTTTCAGTATTTTAATATTAAAGTTGAGCCTTTTGCAGGAAATTAGTGATCTAGAAGCTATACGGTAACAATATCCTTCAATCACAATGCATATTTCAGAACCATATTTTGAAGAAACGTGATTTGTAAGTCTCCATAGATTTAGCCAAAGAAACTATAAGCATGTGTAGAGGAAAAGCAGCCAGTGCTTTCTTTGAAGAATGCACCATAGCAGCTCTAATACCCGATAGCTGTGTTTTAAAATGAATTTGTCTGTTGAAGCTGCTTTCTTTATCTAGTGATGCTACTACTGTGGCAAATTCCTTTTTCTTTTATCTCAAGGTACACCCAGGGTGTCCTCCTTCCATACCTGCCTATATCTTTTTTTGGATTTATGGTTTAGGATGATGATTAAATTGTATTTTATATGCTTCCTTTTCCTAGGATAGAGGATAAATCATTTTAACTGTAACTGTTCTGCTAGACTTACCTGTGAAAACTGGGAGGTGGGGGGAGAGGGAATATAGAAAAGTATGTTTGGGAGTCTGTAATTAAACTAAATTTTCAAATACACTGGCACCTTCATAATTAGGGTATTTTGAATGGAGTACGTACAGTATTTAAGAGCACAGGCCAGCTGATCTTACTTAAGCTTATCATTTCCAATGATTGGTTGAGTGGAGGAAGTTCAAACAACTGATCTTTATTCTATCCCCTGTGGCTCCCTGGAAACTCTCGCTAGAATTCGGGTGGATCTCCTGAACACTAGGGGCTGTACAACTGCAGTGCGAGGAGAGCAAAAGAATCTTGATCCAGGAGTCTCTCCCAACCCTCTGGCGAGGATTTCCCGGCAACCTTTCTCTTCTGACAGGGTTGCATGCTTTGCCTTCCACTTGCACAACCATAGTATACAACCCCTTGTTTTTACTTCAAGAGGTTAGTATAGAATTTCAGGGGCTGGTAGTTAAAGAACCCAGCTCTTATTTTTAGATCTCTAGCCCATAGTCGAAAGAGCATGGAGAAGAAGTGCTGAATCCATATGCCATGCAATATGGTCAAAGAGCCCAGGCGAGCTTAAGGTGTTAAAGAAGATGAAGTTGTGTGTCCTAGCAACCGTGTGGTCTCCTAGCAGCAGACATTCCATCAGGTAGCAGAAAGGAGGGGGAGAAAAGAAGAAGGGTTGTCATCAATCATCGCTGCTGAGAGACAAGCTGCCTTTGGCTCTTCCTCAGAGCTGTCACTTAGTGACAGCCATTCTATCCCAGCTGATTGTTGTATGAACTGGTTTCTTCCCCACCCCACACTAAGGACCTCCTTAGCAAGCCGCTCAGGGAACCTTTTCAGCTAATGAGTGGGCAAAAGCAGTTTTAATTAATTATTGAATAATTGGTATTGGAGGTGTAACCTTTCTATGTAGAGAAATTTGATGTGCCTAACTTGAATCTATAACTTCATTAGAGACCTGCAAACCTGTAGAAAGTTTGGGAAAAAATCAGATGTTATATGAAGATTTCTAATGATATTTTAAAGAAAAAACTAATACAGTGGTACCTCGGGTTAAGTACTTAATTCGTTCCGGAGGTCCGTACTTAACCTGAAACTGTTCTTAACCTGAAGCACCACTTTAGCTAATGGGGCCTCCTGCTGCTGCCACGCCGCCGGAGCACGATTTCTGTTCTCATCCTGAAGCAAAATTCTTAACCTGAAGCACTATTTCTGGGTTAGCAGAGTCTGTAACCTGAAGTGTATGTAACCTGAAGCGTATGTAACCTGAGGTACCACTGTACATACATCCTACCAACAATAGTTGGATTTGTTTTGATTTGTAGTTATTTTAATTGATGCATTCTTTCCTTTCACTTTGCAATATCGTTTGAATTAGTGTGGCCTACTACAGATTAATCACTACTCTTGGCTCATAACTATAGCTAAAAGCATTACTTAAATTCAGGCCAGATTATTTATTTTGGATGGGCAGAAAAATAGAGAAACTTTGAACTGTGCAGGCAAGAACTTCTATAGAGTACAGTGGTGCCCCGCAAGACGAATGCCTTGCAAGATGGAAAAACCGCTAGACGAAAGGGTTTTCCGTTTTGAAGTTGCTTCGCAGGACGAATTCCCCTATGGGCTTGCTTCGCAAGACGAAAATATCTTGCGAGTCTTGAGATTTTTTTTCGCTTTCCCCCCCCTTTATCTAATCTGCTAAGCCTTTAATAGCCTTTAATAGCCTTTTAGCAGCTAATCCCCTAAGCCTTTAAGCCTTTAATAGCCGCTAAACCGCTAATAGCGCTAATAGCGCTAATCCGTCAATGGGCTTGCTTCGCAAGACGAAAAAACCGCTAGACGAAGACTCTCGCGGAACGGATTAATTTCGTCTTGCGAGGCACCACTGTACAAACTTTCACATGGTTGGCACCAGCCATGATCCGACAATGGTAATTTAGCAACTGTACAAATTCTGCTGTGGTAAAAATTCCTCACTGAAGGGAAATTATACTCTAGCTGGAGCTGCTGCTTTTATCTAGCATAGAATAGTGACATTTACTAGACTAGATTTCAGTCTGCTTCTGTGCTGGTCAATCTCTTTCCAAAGTGGAGAGATAATATTCCTGAATGAAGGCACTGCTGAGAGGAAAAAGTAGTCATATACTGGTCTCTCCTCCCGCCCTTTAAAAGTCATCCTTTAAAAAAAAAAGTTTCAGAGTTTGATTGTCGAATATGTGCCCCCTCCCAAAATTTACACATCTCTCGAAGCAGTGCTTTACCCTTGCTGCTAGATTGAGTATTTTTAAAAAACAGATTGTTTGGAGGCTTTTGGTGAGACTTTACGAATTTGGAGCAAATGATTCAGCAGAGGAAACACAGCCCAGAATAACTAAGGAGATAGTACAAGAATACTTGGCTAGTTTAGATGTATTCAAGTCTCCAGGGCCAGATGAACTGCATCCAAGAGTATTAAAAGAACTGGCAGATGTGATCTCAGAACCACTGGCAGTCATCTTTGAGAATTCCTGGAGAACAGGCGAAGTCCCGGCTGACTGGAGGAGGGCAAATGTTGTCCCTATTTTCAAAAAGGGGAAAAGAGAGGACCCAAATAATTACCGCCCAGTCAGTCTGACATCAATACCAGGGAAGATTCTGGAGCAGATCATTAAGCAAACAGTCTGTGAGCACCTAGAAAGGAATGCTGTGATCACCAATAGTCAGCATGGATTTCTGACAAATAAGTCATGTCAGACTAACCTGATCTCGTATTTTGACAGAATTACAAGCCTGGTAGATGAAGGGAACGCAGTGGATGTAGCCTACCTTGATTTCAGCAAGGCATTTGACAAGGTGCCCCATGATATTCTTGTAAAGAAGCTGGTAAAATGCGGTCTTGACTATGCTACCACTCAGTGGATTTGTAACTGGCTGACTGACCGAACCCAAAGGGTGCTCATCAATGGTTCCTCTTCATCCTGGAGAAGAGTGACTAGTGAGGTGCCACAGGGTTCTGTCTTGGGCCCAGTCTTATTCAACATCTTTATCAACGACTTGGATGATGGACTCAAGGGCATCCTGATCAAATTTGCAGATGACACCAAACTGGGAGGGGTGGCTAACACCCCAGAGGACAGGATCACACTTCAAAATGACCTTGACAGATTAGAGAACTGGGCAAAAACAAGCAAGATGAATTTTAACAGGGAGAAATGTAAAGTATTGCACTTGGGCAAAAAAAAATGGGAGGCACAAATACAAGATGGGTGACACCTGGCTTGAGAGCAGTACATATGAAAAGGATCTAGGAGTCTTGGTTGACCACAAACTTGACATGAGCCAACAGTGTGACGCGGCAGCTAAAAAAGCCAATGCAATTCTGGGCCTCATCAATAGGAGTATAGCATCTAGATCAAGGGAAGTAATGGTGCCACTGTATTCTGCTCTGGTCAGACCTCACCTGGAGTACTGTGTCCAGTTCTGGGCACCACAGTTCAAGAAGGACACTGACAAACTGGAACGTGTCCAGAGGAGGGCAACCAAAATGGTCAAAGGCCTGGAAACGATGCCTTATGAGGAACGGCTAAGGGAGCTGGGCATGTTTAGCCTGGAGAAGAGGAGGTTAAGGGGTGATATGATAGCCATGTTCAAATATATAAAAGGATGTCACATAGAGGAGGGAGAAAGGTTGTTTTCTGCTGCTCCAGAGAAGCGGACACGGAGCAATGGATCCAAACTACAAGGAAGAAGATTCCACCTAAACATTAGGAAGAACTTCCTGACAGTAAGAGCTGTTCGACAGTGGAATTTGCTGCCAAGGAGTGTGGTGGAGTCTCCTTCTTTGGAGGTCTTTAAGCAGAGGCTTGACAACCATATGTCAGGAGTGCTCTGATGGTGTTTCCTGCTTGGCAGGGGGTTGGACTCGATGGCCCTTGTGGTCTCTTCCAACTCTATGATTCTATGATTCTATTCTGTGTACGTTGTGGACAGTCACAGCTACACAACGCTGCCTCCAGAGCTCCAAAATGATATCACCTGTATCTTTGGGAAGTCAAATCCCAGTAGAATGTGTAGCTGAATCCATTATGCTGAAGGGAATAAACCAAGCAGAGTATGTAAAGTAGTACGTGTTGTAGAAATTTATTTTTAATTAGCAGGCTGAATCAGCTTCTGCTGTGCAGTGTTTTTGCGATGCTAAATAGGCTAGCTATTTTCTTATGGCTCACAGATGTAGCACTGATAGTAACATACTGTACTGTGGATCTTCCAGCTTACAGCCTTACAGAAAGCGACAGATGATGCCATATTCAAATTTGAACCATTTGTGCTTCATGTGCAGTGTCAAGACCTTCAAGATGCACAACTCCTGGTAAAGTGAAGTATTGCTGTTGTACTTAAATTCCATACTTGCTACATAAGAAACAGTTGGCTCTTAACTAAGTTCTCACACCTACAAGCATTCCCCAAAGCATTCTGCGTTTAATAACTAGGACTATGAAAATACGATGATGGGAGCGAAATGGGATTTTTATTATTTCTGCAGATGTGATGCTCACAAGTGAAATTATGGCTTGGTTAAAATCAACGGCAAAGATCCCACTGATGTTGGAATGAGAATTTCAGAAACATTGCCTATCCTGTTTGGCTGACATGGTTTCATGTGGTAGCCAGCACCCTTTCGGGGCTAAACTTGTGATAATTAAGACTGTGACCATGCATCTTCCAGGAGCTATTGCAAGCTTCTTTCTACTACTTTGGTTCACATCAACAACAACAAAAATGCTATATTTGGCTTTTCCTAACTTTTTGGCTTTGCTGAGTATTATGTAATATGGCCACAATTTGGAGAAGGGCCTACTAGAGAAGACTTGGTGTTGCTGTTTTTTCCCTACATGGCAACTCTTCGTCCATCCAGCGTTTCTCAAACTTGGGTCCGCAGCTGTTGTTGGACTATAACTCCCATCATCCCTGACCACTAATCCTCTAAGCTAAGGATGGTGGGAGTTATAGTCCAACAACAGCTGGAGACCCACGTTTGAGAAACATTGGTCTGTGCCATATTGCAAGCTGTTTTTAAAGCTGGATGTTTTTCCCCCAAAAGTAGCCTTGGAAATTGTTTGGCAGCTCTGCTGCTCGAGAGATGCAAGCTCTCTCATGCACTGAGAGCAGAAGTGGGGCCATATTCCTTTGTGAGCAACCTTCTGGGGGCTGTAGGCAAGTGGAGGGCGGGCCAGAGAGAAAAGTGGGTGGAGCAACAAATGTGAATGAGGTGTAGCCTCAGAAGGCTCCAGGGGGCTGGATTTGGCCTCTGGGTCTGAGCTTCCTCGCCCCTGAATTGCCTGTAACATACGGCTTTTAAGCTTTCCAATTCACAACACATTTCCACACTACCATCAAGCACGCCCCTATTGAATTCAAATCATGAACATTTTAGAGTTGCAATACAATTTACAGCACGGTGTTTTATCTAAAGCTCAGGGGTATTTCAAAGCAAAAACAACCGTTTATAATTCAGGTTTTAATATAACAAGTCATTTGAAATAACCATCCCTATTTCTGAAAGTATTTAGACTGGAAACAAATACTCGACAGTGCACTTAGTTTCATTGTTGCCCATCTCTCCGAGGCCATAGCTGAAGGATGTGGTTGATGACGGCTGTTTCCCCTCTTGCCTTTTATAGCACAAAGTGGCTATAGAAGCCGGGTTCCGGAACTCTGGCATAACTGTTGGCCGAAAAGGAAAAATTATGATGGTATGTTATGTGTTCCTACATTGGGGGGGGGGGGGCAGGCACAGCCGAAGTACTGCTTCCATGTGGGTACTATTTACCGTATTTTTCGCTCTACAAGACACACCAGACCATAAGACGCACCTAGTTTTTGGAGGAGGAAAACAAGAAAAAAAATATTCTGAATCCCAGAAGCCAGAAAAGCAAGAGGGATCGCTGCGCAGCGATCCCTTTTGCTGTTCTGGCTTCAGCGATAGCTGCGCAGGCTGCATTCGCTCCATAAGACACACACACATTTTTAGGAGGGGAAAAGTGTGTCTTATAGAGCGAAAAATACAGTATGTGGCCTTCTCAGGTTCTGCGATGGCAGGGATGTCTTTTTGAGGCACTGGTATGACAGGCATGAATACGACTTTGAGTCCAGTACCCAGTAGAATGCTGTGGTCCTAACAATAATGCTGAAGAGAATAAACCAAGCAAAGCCAGAGTGGTAAGGCAGGTTTCAGATATATATATATATATATATATATATATATATATATATATATATATATATATACTTGGAATCAGCTTCAACCCATCTCGAGGTGCCCCCAAATGCTCTTGGTCAGACCTTGAGAGCAGCCACAGCCCTAAAAGTCATTACATCGTGGTTGCCACATATATGACCACATGCTAATTTTCATCAAGCTATGTGAACGTACTTTGTGGTGGAAATATGCAGTGCCTCCCTTTTGCCGTCTCGTTCCCAAAATGCAATGATAAAATTATTACTTTTCTTTAATTAATTTGCCTCCCCGGTGGGGGTAGCTGCTGCCTCCAGTTCAGTAAATGATGGTGAAATCTAGGTTTTCTGTTTTCGTCTCACTTGCAGGCTGTCCGTAGCACTCACTGCTTAGAAGTTCCCCTAAGCAGGAAAGGAAAACTGATGGTCAGTGAAGAATACGTTGACTTTGTGGTTCAAGTTGCTAATCAGAAGATGGAAGAAAATTGGAAGAGAATTGACAGGTTTGTTAACAATAAATAACTAGTTTATACCAATCCTAGCAGTTAAAACATTGGTAGCAGGAAAAGGAAGAAGATGTAGATAAGATGCAAGTGGTAAGCTACCAGATAGAAAGCTAAAATTAACTTATTGTCTAGCAGACCTTGAAGAAACCCAAGTCCATATGCCTTTATTTTTATTTTTTTAAAGGTTTTACAGCTCTCTCCAGCTTGCTTTGGAAAGCAGAGACCATTCCATTAGCTCACCTCTCGAGGAGAAAGAAGAGAACAAAGAAGAGAGCAATACCATGGACTCCTACAGAAGAAAAATTAAGTCTAAAGGAACTGAAAAGGATGGTGAATGTACTTCTCCTGGGAAAAACAGAGGCTTAGAAAGTGAAGATGAGACAGAAAACAGTCTTGGTGTTTTTCACTAAAATATGGTACAGATAATTGTGTGAAGTAGATATATACCCACATTATGTTTGTATAATGTTTAGTTTGTTTTGCTCTTTGTGAGAGCTTAGCCGATAGATTACTGTGCTCTATAAAGTAGCATTTTATTAACATAGATTACTATGGATATTAAATTACCAGCAAAGTAATAGAATGCCACAAAATGTCAATGAACATAGGGAAATGGCATTTTTAATACCGGAGGTAAAACTTGTTCTTCAAGCAATATTGTTTTACACAAAATATGCAATATTCCAAACTACCTAATTCCAAACTGCCACCATAGTTGTGCTCTGTATTTGCTATTCCAGTTTTGAAAACCCAGTCTGAAAGTTCTGTTGTTAAATATATTTATCTTCTTCACTTAGTAGAGATAATTTCAAATGTTTACGAGACGAAAATAAGTGTGAAACAAATTCATCCTTGATTACGCTACTGAAATAAATGATTGTCACAAGCATTAATCTTTGCCATGTCAGTCATTTGTAAACTTTTCACTCCTTCCTACTCCAGACAAGTAAACAAAATCAGATTATAAAAGAATTGGGCAGTGATATTTCTATTCGGAAAGCACATTTTTCTTCATCTTTTAGTGGGGTTCACGTAATAGAGACTCATTTGTACAAGGAGTTTTGCTTTTGCAATGGAACTTCTCCTCCAACAAGACCCTTGATCTTTTCTGAAGCATCTGGGTGGGAGGCAAGGAGAAGGAATATTTAAGTTATTTATATTTAAGGCTGCTTACAGCATTTAAAAACAGCAATTATAAAATAATGGATAATAAAAACAAACTAGGTTAAAACAATGACTAGAATACACCACAACATATCTAAAACCAGCAGTTAAAGTATACGGTAATTTGCCAGAACAACAGTTCCAGCCCTCAGGTGGAAGTCCTTGCACCACTGGGACAACTTTGTTGAATACAAATCTTTTATGTTCCTGAGCACCATTACACTCATTGCTTTAAAGATTTTAGATGGGTGTTTCTGACTGGAAATACTGTTTAAACAAACAGGCAATGTTGGCTTTTAGCCTAATAATAATCATTGCTTTTTAGAAGTAGCCAGAAAACTCTTCCACATGAGAACAGCCAGGAGCTAAAGGGACAAGACAAAGGAAACTTGATGGGCCTGTGGAAAAGTGAAAGTTCCTTTGATTTGTTCCTTAGTTTATTCAGCACTTTAGTAATAGGATTTCAAAATTCACTCATAGCAGGCACTAAGCAGTCCAGACCTTGATTTTGACTCTCTTGTGAAATAAACTCACTTTAACATTCTTCAGACTCTGGAGTTCATGATGTTCTTCCCAAGCTACATTTTGCAAACCCGCTTCTATATCATGGTTTGTTCCAAACTGTAATGTGGGATTAACTATGGTTAGCACTAACACCAGTGCACTCGACCGTAGCTTATTTCCATTTAGGTCATTGAATAGGCAACGCTACATCTGCACAACCCAAAGAAATGTTGACATTGCCCAAGGCGATGCTAATGATGCTCTAAAAGGGACGATATACTTGCATACCGCTGAACTGATTATTCAACACTTAAATCACCCACAAGTGAATTTTTTGTATATGTGTGTGTGTTGATAGACAAGCCATCACTTGATGCTGCAGTCATTAGGAAGACCAGGCATTTGTGAATTCACTTTTTAGGCTTCAAAAAGTAGAACTTCAGGGCTGCCAGATCCTGCAGCTTTTAAACAAGCAAAGGGTAAGAAGCAGAATTCAGTCACTGAATATTACAGACTTGATGTGTGTTGTTGGTCCTGCTGATCCAGAGATGACCTCTTCAGCCATCAAAGAATATGTAATTCAAATCATCCCAGAAATGCCCAAATAGATGCTATTACTTGCTGAACACCACATAGAAACAATATTTTGTGACCCCTGCGTGTTTTAAAAAGCAGCATTCTTTATCACTGCGGACTACATAATAAATGCAAAAAGTACAATATTTGACAGATTGCATATTAATAAAAAATAATGTTTGCTGGGAGGAAAGGACAAGGATATCAATTTTTAATATTGTATCCCTCAGCACAATTGCATTTTTAAATGAGGTTGAAACGAGTTTAGGAATTGAAGCAGCTATCGGAAACATCTGTCGGAACAGAAGACAAGCAGTGGGGATAAGCGAAGACTGCAGTCCTGTCCATCAGGCAAATAATCTATTGTAATGTAGAACATATTTTCCTTTTTTTTAAAAAAGGTTTTACAGCGGGCCACCAGGTGGCAGTATGCAACATAGAGTCAGCAAAGAGACTTACATCCCAGATTTTATACATGAAGGGGTGGAGGTGGGGAGTTTGGTAATTTTTAGAATAATGGAAAGCTTCTTAGTTTTTTGGGGGGTTGTGGGAATGCGTTTTCTCAAACAACTTGCTCAGAATGGCCTGGAATTAAACTGACAGCATTTGAGGAGAGTGATAAATGAAATGCGTGAGGAAAATGGAAAGGCTTAAATGGCACCTTGTCATTAGGAATGTGAAAGTTAAATAAGAATATGTCTGCACTGATTTAGACACAACATAACCCAGGTTAAACCTTTCTCACAGAGCCAGCCTATTGAAACTGTGTTAGAGATCCATGGACCTTTTTGCTGACTAAATAGATACTTGTGCGGTACAATCCTATACACATCAACACAGATGTAAGCTCCAATGAGTTCCGTGGAACTTACTCCCACGTATGTGTGCATAGAATTGGTGTGTTTAAAATCATCTTTGTTTAAAGGAAGATCCACTGGAAAATATATGTTTTTGTGGGGGCCACTGATATTTTATATAACCGATCACCCTGGTTGTCACGACGCATGCAGTAAGAGTTTGCCCACAGAGAACAACACACAAAATTGCACTGAATGCCATCACATCCAGGGGTGGGGGAGACCCCATAACAGTGCAGGATGCCACTGGGCAAGGTCAAATGAAGACAAGAACTGGCGAGCCCAGCAAACCAGTATTATTACTACTAGTAGTGGTGGTAGCTGTTTTTTGGATGGTAAGCTTTAGTATACATGGCACTTTACTTAATCTAAGAGGGCAGGTTCCTGGCTGGGCAAAACCTCCAATCTGAAATTCGGCATAGGGTGGGGGGGAGGACATTCAGAAAGAGAAGCGGATGCAAGGCTAAGCAGGGAGGCAGTAATCTGGTTCTTAAGAGTTACACGTGCTTAAATTTACAGTTTAAACTTACAGAAGGCTGATCGCCGAAGAATTGATGCTTTTGAATTGTGGTGCTGGAGGAGACTCTTGAGAGTCCCCTGGACTGCAAGAAGATCAAACCTATCCATTCTTAAGGAAATCAGCCCTGAGTGATCACTGGAAGGATGGATCCTGAAGCTGAGGCTCCAATACTTTGGCCACCTCATGAGAAGAGAAGACTTCCTGGAAAAGACCCTGATGCTGGGAAAGATGGAGGGCACAAGGAAAAGGGGACGACAGAGGACGAGATGGTTGGACAGTGTTCTTGAAGCTACCAGTATGAGTTTGACCAAACTGCGGGAGGCAGTGGAAGACAAGAGTGCCTGGCGTGCGCTGGTCCATGGGGTCACGAAGAGTCAGACACGACTAAACAACAACAACAAACTTACAGTTCGGCATGGAAGCTAAGGAGCTGTGCCAAACACCTCGTGGGAAAGATGGCTTATGAGAAGGGATGGGAGGAAGGAAGAGAGCTACCACAACCACCCACTTCCGTATTTGGAGGCACATCCCCATCCAACAAGGTTGTGCGATGCAAATCATACGCAGCTATCCCTGCATCAAGCCTCCAGATCTTTCCCACTGCCATGCCATCGGAGATCATTGCAACTGGAGGCACCAGAGATTAAACCTAGAACCAGTGTTATTTTTCTAGGAAAAAAATAGGTGCTGGAACTCACCATGAACTCACCCTTGTTCTCTTATGATGGCAACCGCACCCACCTGAGAGGTGCCAGAACTCAGTTCCGGTGGGCTGGAGGGGAAAAGCCCTTTGTGTTGTATCTTCCTCTCCATATATTCCCCCCCCCCTTGTGTGAAAACAAGAGTGCGATATGTAATGGCACACACTGGAGCTGTTTTGATCCACCTTCCTACTGCACCCCCTGAAAAACTGCTGCTGAAGATGGCATGTGATGCACCCTAGAGAATTCAGCTGGATGGAAAAACCTGCACCTTCCCTAGGATCTGTGGGGCTGCTTTGCACTCAGGCCATGGGCTCTTTGGATCTCAGCCAGTTGCTATACAAGTTAGGGTACACCTGCCTTATTTCTAATATACTATAACTTATCACTCCTATGCACACGAAAGCTCATACCAATAACAAACTTAGTTGGTCTCTAAGGTGCTACTGGAAGGAATTTTTTTATTTTGTTTCGAGTATGGCAGGCCAACACAGCTAGCAACCTGTAACTAACCACTCCTAATAGGTTTAACAAAAAAACAGTTATTAAGAGCAATAGGTTATAGCTTATTAGAAATAAGGTGGGTGTTCCCACAATACACACAGTAATAATAATATTTATCAAGAGAGCACACGGCAGCTAAATGCTCTGTGTAGGCCAAGGAAATAGACACATTCTTGCCCATATTCTAAAGCAGAAAAAAAAAGCACAAGATGGGAAGGGAGTAGGGGGAGTTGAAAATGGAAAACTGAGCCAAGATATTTGGGGAGGGGTTGGCAGGGAGAGAAGATAGGAGAGAAACAAGAGATGCATTTTTAAAAAGGTGGATACTGATGTTATTAACGTGCTACATAATATTGTATGATCAGGACAGCATACTTTTGAACTAATGCACTATTTTCAATACTGTACTGGCATTATCTTAATTCTTTAATCCATACAGTTCATGTACCTCACTGGATTATATCCTACTAATGCATAATGACTGGAAAACACTTTTCCTTTGCTTCTCGGGTTAGTCGGAACTATGTGTTCAAAACAGTGCAGGACTGTTAATTTCTGGTATTTGTGTCTTCGTGTTTCTCTTGTGGCAAATATTGGAATATGGTTTTCGAAGGTCTGTGATAGCCTTTAAATCCTTTGCCTCTGTAGCCAGCATGAAAGACGAGTCACAAAGGCAGTTGCAATATGATTAAGATAAAATAAAAGGAGTGGTAATGGCCTACAGCTCTAAATCAAATATATATTAATTTAATAAGTAAATCAGTAAAAATAGCACTGCCAGTCATCAGCTAGAGGGACTGTCAATTGATTGATACCTGAGAACAGAACAATTGTTTTTAGTTTCCAATAATATTCAGACTTCAGCTTTTTGAGTTGTTGAATGAACAACTTAAATTATCGGTTTTCACTTCTGAATGTTTTAGAAGCCACAGCACAGGGAATGAAATTTCAAGGAAGCTGCACTAATTTTCTGGGATTTGCAAAAGAAATTTAGAAAATACTGATATATTCACCCTTAAAACATTATATCTTTTTTAAAAAAATCTCTTAATATTTTGCTTTA